CTCAGGCACGAATGAAGAGTTCCGCAAAGAGTATAAACTCGTTGTCAAGGATGACAAGGGATTGCCGCTGCATCTCTCACTGCATCATTTCAAGATCCCCAACAGTGGAGGTGCTTCCAAGATCACAGTCTTCAGCCCCTATGTTGTGTTGAACAAGACTGGCGTTGATGTTCAAGTCCGCGCCAAGAGCTTCCTGCAACAGGCCAAGCCAGCAGCGGGCCAATTCCCTCTCATGGATACATCTGATCGAGAGCGTCCCAAGGCTCTTCCCTTCATGTTCTCTTATGGAAATGATGATCACCGCAACCGAGCCCTTCTCAAGATTGCCGACTCGGAATGGAGCAAGCCTCAAAGTTTCGATGCTATCGGCAGTACCACTGAGGTTGTGTTGAACTCAGCGACTAAGGATAAGGAGATTCACGTGGGTGTTACTGTTGAGTCAGGTGAAGGCAAGTACAAGCTCACCAAGGTTGTTACGATTGCTCCTCGATTTGTTCTACACAACAAGATGGATGGAGAGATTCTTGTTCGAGAATCCAGCTCCTCTGGCTATCTCACTCTTAGTGATGGTGCTTTGCAGCCGCTACACTTCATGCAAAAATCCAAGGTCAAGCAGTTGTGTCTCTGTTACCCTGGTGTCAACAACCAATGGACATCTCCATTCAACATTGCGGACATTGGCACAACTTATGTCAAGATCGCCAAGGCTGGGCAGCGACAGAACCTCGTCAAGGTCGAGGTTCTGATGGAGAACTCTACAGTCTTCTTGAATCTCAGCATGGAGAAGAAGAACTGGCCATACTCGATGCGCAACGAGAGTGATGTTGAGTTCATGTTCTGGCAAGCCAATCCCAATGTTGACGAAGATGGGGACGAAGACCGCAGTGGATGGCGACTGATAAGATATCGCCTTCCGCCTCGCAGCATCATGCCATATGCTTGGGATTTCCCTGCTGCCAAGTTCCGAGAGATCATCATCGCTGCAAATGGCAAGGAAAGGCATGTCAAGCTGGCCGAGATCGGTAATCAGATTCCGATGAAGTTCCATACTTCTTCTGGAGCTCCTAAGATTGTCGATATCAACGTTGCTGCCGATGGACCGAAGCAGACACTGATTCTCAGCAACTTCCGTGCCAGCAAGAGCATGTACAAGCCCAAGGCATTGGCTAGGACCAACACCGGCCCCGAGGCTTTTGAGGTCAAGGATCAAGATACAGGTGCTACATTCCGCGCGCAGCTCAAGCTGGCTGGTATTGGTGTCTCCTTGGTCAACGCTCAGATGAAAGAACTTGCCTACTTGACTTTCCGTGATGTCCAGTTGCGGTACAGCGATTCGCCTCTGATCCAGACAATCTCAATGGCTATCAAGTGGATCCAGATCGACAATCAATTGTACGGTGGCATTTTCCCTATGGTCCTTTACCCCAGTGTTGTGCCTAAGAAGGCGCAGGAGGTAGAGGCTCATCCATCGCTGCACGCCATGGTCAGCCGTGTCAAGGATGATTCGTATGGTGTGCTGTACGTCAAGTATGCGACCATTCTGCTGCAGGAAATGACAATTGATCTGGATGAGGACTTTGTGTTTGCTCTTCTTGACTTCACAAATGTGCCTGGCGCCAGCTGGACAGAGGTTGACGATTCTGGGAAGCTGTGCGACGAAGATCTTGACATTCCTGAGCCATCAGGCCAACCAGCTGGTCAAGATATCTACTTTGAGGTTCTCAACATCCAGCCCATGCAGCTTAACTTGAGTTTCATGCGTACAGAACGTGTCAATGCTGAGGACAAGACATCATCGCGCAACCCCATCATGTTCTTCCTCAACGTCATGACCATGGCTGTCGGAAACGTCAACGATGCACCACTTCGGTTCAATGCGCTTATCCTCGACAACGTGAGAGTGACCACAGCGGTACTTATTCAGAACTTCTCCAGCCACTATAGTCAGGAGGTCATGTATCAGATCCACAAGATTCTGGGATCTGCCGACTTCCTCGGAAACCCTGTGGGTCTGTTCAACAGCATCTCGTCGGGTGTGACAGATGTGTTTTACGAACCGTATCAGGGCTTGATCTTGTCGGATAAGCCAGAAGAGTTTGGTCTGGGCATCGCCAAGGGCGCCGCTTCGTTTGCCAAGAAGACGGTGTTCGGATTCAGTGACAGTTTCTCCAAGTTTACAGGGAGTCTCAGTAAGGGACTTGCAGCGGCGTCACTGGACAAACAATTCCAGGATCGTCGTCGTATCACAAGGGCTCGCAACAGGCCGAAGCACGCCTTGTACGGTGTGACTGCTGGCGCGAACAGCTTTATCACAAGTGTTGCATCAGGCGTTGGCGGTCTTGCACGCAAACCCTTGGAGGGCGCCGAACAGGAGGGTGCTCTAGGCTTCTTCAAGGGTGTCGGCAAGGGCATGATTGGACTGGCTACCAAGCCGGCGGTTGGTGTGCTTGACATGGCAAGCAATGTCAGTGAAGGTATTCGCAACACTACCACAGTGTTTGACGGTCAAGAATTGGATCGCACACGATATCCACGATACATTCCACAAGATGGCATCGTGCGCCCTTACAACCCGCGGGAAGCTCTCGGTCAATACTGGCTGAAGCAAGTTGACAATGGGCGATACTTTGACGAGCAGTACATTGGACATCTTGAGCTACCCAAGGAAGATATGGTCGTCATGGTGACATATGCTCGGATCTTGTTGATCCGATCGCGACGTCTGACAAGCGAGTGGGACGTTCCTCTGAAGGATGTTCAGACTATCGCAAAGGAGCGGACGGGTGTGAGCTTGGCTTTGAGAGGAGGAGCTAATGGACCGTTTATTCCTATCGGTGAAGGCAGTGAGAGGGGATTCTTGTACAAGATGATTGGGGTTGCGGTTGAAGAGTTTAATAGGAGGTTTAGAAGTGGAGAGTAAAAGGAGGATACTGTATGAGGGCCGTTGTAATAGGCAGTAGTGCGATGGAGTTTGGAGTATTGCTAGATCGTATTTAATAAGAACACGAGGTACACGAATGAAGCATTGCGACATCTACAATAGTGACCAATCGAATACCTGAACAGGTCCAATCAATGGCGATATGCCCGACTTCACAACGACTTGGAATTGACACCTGTCGAGACAGAGAGCAGAGAAGTCTGTCTCAGTCACTCGCATTTCATCATTAACACGGCGCATGGGGTAGATACTGAGCCGAGACGCGAATGTCCCCGTAAGGTACACAGCCTGGCCCGACGCGACATATCAAGCTTATTTACACGAACCCCCGTGACGACCGAGATAACCGTCATTGAGGCCGGGCCGTCGCTCTCGCTCGGCTGTGCCGCTTAGTAATGGCTTACGGCCGGAGACAGATGGGGCTGGGACGATGAATCGGATGCAGACGCGAAAGAGACGATATCGTGGAGAGGTTGCGGCGATATGGACATGAACGCTTGTAGTGATGAACCGGTGTAGCCAACGTTGGCGCGACACTCGGGAGGAAGAGTGGGATAGGCTGTTATCAGTGTAGCCAAAGTCAAAAAGAGGTCATCGTGATCTCACATGCGAAGGCAACTCGGCAAAGTTGGGATGTAAGAGAAGAGGAGAGGAGATAGGGAGATGCCATATATGGCAAGGACAAAAGAGACATGTGATGTATGGAGTCCACGAGAGAAGCGATTAGCAGATTAACGAAGATGAATTAGATCCAGATTAACAATGCATGCACTCTCGAAATTGAGGGGAAGTGTGTCAAGCAAACCCAAGACAGCGGTCGTCTTGATAGAGTCTGACGGGCGGGCCAGACCGAGATATCAACGGAGATGGCCGACAATCACTGTGACATCCAAAACGACTATATCTTTCACGGAAGGAGACGAATGAATTATCCATGCCTATCTCTTTACCCAAGCTGACATGTGTGTGTGCGACTGTGCGTGCCGTGCTATTATTTGCAGATAATAGCCCAGCCCCAGCCTCGGAAGAAGAAAGATGGTGTGAAGGGGAGGGAGGGGGGCCCGTTAGCTGAAGCTGGGGAAGTAGGCTATCAGAATCCCTGTCGATGCATGTCGATAAGCTCAAGGTCTGGTCTGGGCAAGCAAGACAAGCTGGGGGTTAGGTTAGTTTACTGGAGGAGGTGCTGGGGGAGATGAGTGGTTGTTGTTGTTACATAACGAGGCTCTTTGAAGCTGTAAGCCAAGGACAGAATGACCTACCTAAAGAGTGATAGTCCCATTTCGGGTGAAAAGTAAAAAAACTGAATTTGGATTAAAGAACGGGTGTGGCTTTTCTTGATCAAGTGGAGAGGTATCGGAGATTCAGTCAAGAAACAGGCTTGGTCTTGCTTCACTCGTCAGGTCTGGACATTCACACAGATATCAACACCCTTTCTTATCTATCTTGTGTCAGAATAAGGTAAGGAATAGATAGGGCCAGTCTGTATCAGATATGGCCCGGGGAACAAGATGCAAATGGTGACCGAGAGCCAAGCTACACAAGTTCCCCAATGAATCAAGAAACCGAGTCCTATTGGCCAATGAGTGAGCAAGTGGTGGGCAAAGGGTCCTCCGAGCTATGCCAATAACGAGCGGTTTCTCCGTTTGTGGAGACTACGTCAGTGGAGAAGACGAACTTGAGCTTTTCAAACGTTCCAGCAACCTTCTAAAATAGGGATAGTACACGCCGAGGTTTGGGCCGGGGGTGGCGACTACAGACAACAGAACAGCATCTAGATACAGAGGGCTTCAGTCTTGACAGAAGTATACTGAGATAGCTGAGTATACAGCAGATGAAAGAGCGCAGTGAGAGCAGAGGGCGATACAGCTGTGTTGCTGTCACTGTTACAGTACCTGCAGTGTATCTCTATTCTTCCGATCGTTCAACACCAGAAATATACTTGGTGCAAAGGCATCTCCGAAATATATGGACCCCAACTGATAAGCTCACAGTCCAGATCCCTCTGCATCCTTGTTCTTGTCCTCGTGCTCACCTCCTCAAAAAAGATCGTCGTCTGAACAAACATTGGCTCAAGTCGTTAGTCTGGGGTTTAATTGAACCAACAGGCCAATCCATCAATAGATAATGAACCTACAAGGCACACCCCTCCAATCGCGCCAACTGTATCTCAAGGTACACTCCCTGTCCCGGAGCTGGAGGCAAAAAAGAAAAAAAGCTGGGTTAAAAAAGTCAAGCAATCCCCACGTTTGAAGAGAAAAAATTGTCGACCCACGAAGATCGTCTCTTCTGTCAGTTCAGTTCAGTTCAGTTGCTCCATCGTCTGACTCCATTCTCAGCGTCTCCAGTTTTGAGGGCTAAACTTTTCTGAACAAAAGCCCTTGTTTCGCCATCGCACTCCCAAGGGTCCTTCCTTTCTTGTTCTTCTCTTGTGCTTCACTGCTCAAGCTTTGAAGCTCCGAGGTCTCACCTCTGCCTCTTTATCTTTATACCCTTTTTTTATACCCCAATTAGTGTTGAGTTGAGAGAGAGAGCGCGGCTACAATGGCAGATTCAAACATCCACCATAATCCCGACCCAGCTCTCGAGCCCTCCCACCAACACCACCACCAGCATCATCACCACTCTCCCCGCGTCGACACCCCCGGCCACGATGATCCCGTCTACACAACCGGCACCACAGATGCGCCAGGTGTAGTTCCCCCTCAGCGCCACTCCCACGAGAAGGAAAAGACTGGCGCGCATACTCCTCCTGACTATAGCGACCACGAGAAGCACGAAGCAGGCGTCGTCGACGAATCCGCCCGCGCAAACTCCCACAGCGACGCCCCCGCTGTCATCGGCTGGCGCAGACGTCTCGGCCCTGTATATCGCTACCGCCGCCCCATAATCCACCTCGTCATCTTCTGCCTCTTCACAGGCTGGTGGATCGCATCTCTCGTCCTGCACCGCAACGACAAGAACTGGGTTGTTCCCTTCCTCTTGTGGCTCGCCATTACTCTCCGTCTGATCTTCTTCCACGTTCCCAGCCGCCATGTCTCCAACGTCATCAAGAAGGTCTGGCTCAACACCGCCGTCAGGATCTACGACCTCATCCCCGCCAACCTGCGCACTCTCGCTGGCGCTACCGTCACTGTAGCTGCTATTCTCATCGGCGCTTTTGTTTCGGAGGAGGTCGCTGACAACACCCGTGAGAACCGCGCCGTTAGTCTTTTCGGAATGGCTGTCTTTCTCTTCATCCTCTGGGCTACTAGCAAGGACCGCAAGCGCATCAACTGGCGCACTGTCATTGGCGGCATGCTCACGCAGTACGTTATCGGTCTCTTCGTCCTGCGAACAACCGTTGGATACGACATCTTCCGCTTCATCGCCGACCGCGCCGCTGATCTTCTGGGCTTCGCCAAGGCTGGTGTTGCATTCCTGACCAGCGAGGACGTCGCCAACACTGGCAACTTCTTCTTCGGCGTCATCCCCGCCATCATCTTCTTCATCTCCCTCGTCCAGGTCCTCTACTACATCGGATTCGTCCAGTGGTTCATCGTCAAGTTCGCTACCTTCGTCTTCTGGGGTCTCGGAGTCTCGGGCGCTGAAGCCGTCGTCGCAGCAGCTACCCCCTTCATCGGCCAGGGAGAATCAGCCATGCTTGTCCGCCCCTTCGTTCCTCACATGACCAAGGCCGAGCTTCACCAGATCATGACCTGTGGTTTCGCTACAATCTCCGGATCTGTCCTTGTCGGCTACATTGGTCTCGGTCTCAACCGTGAGGCCCTCGTGTCGTCCTGCATCATGTCCATCCCCGCTTCTCTGGCTATTTCCAAGATGCGATATCCCGAGACTGAAGAGACTCTCACAGCTGGTCGTGTAGTCATTCCCGATGATGATGAGCACAAGGCTGAGAACGCTCTCCACGCTTTCGCCAACGGTGCTTGGCTCGGAATCAAGATCGCCGGTACCATCGTCTGCTCTCTTCTCTGCATTATTGCTCTGGTCGCATTCATCAACGGTCTCTTGACCTGGTGGGGACGATACCTCAACATCAACGATCCCACCCCTCTTACTCTCCAGCTCATTCTTGGATATCTTCTCTTCCCCGTGTCTTTCCTCCTCGGTGTATCTCGCACCAACGGAACCAACAAGACTGGCGATATTCTCCCCGTCGCCAAGCTCATCGCCGAGAAGATCATCACCGTACGTTTCCCCCCCTTCTCACTCTCCCATCAGATACTGACACATTCTAGAACGAGTACAAGGCCTTCTCCCTCCTCACAAACCCCTCCCCCAAGGACAACGAATTCTACGGCCTCTCCCCCCGCTCCCAGCTCATCGCCACCTACGCCCTCTGCGGCTTCGGCAACATCGGCTCCCTCGGTATCCAGATCGGTATCCTCAGCCAGCTCGCCCCCTCTCGCGGCGGTGATGTTGCCAAGCTTGCTGTCTCGGCTCTCATCTCTGGTGTTCTCGCCACTCTCACCTCTGCCAGTGTCGCTGGTCTCGTCGTCACCAATCAGCTTTCCAGTTTCGGTCAGAACGCTTCCTCATAATTGGACCTGATGATGATGAAAATGTAAGAGAATGAGGAAAGACGTGTGTGTAAAAAACGTTTGAAGGGTCGATGATTATGTCGATATGCTATACTATACTATACTATTTACAAATGCTATACTGAAGACCACGAGCTGGTACTAATTCACATCACTGCTCTACTGTGACTTCGTTCTTCATTTGCTATAATCACTTTCGCTACGCCATACTTCGTCTCACGTTTCCATTGTCATATACCCACTTACATCGTCACTTACAAGTGAAAACTTCGACGATGACACTGAACCACCCTCGTCCGAGGCACAGGCCATCCCATGACACATCGTACCACAAAACACCAAGCGGGGTCATCAAGTACAGAATTTTCGTAGATCTATCATGGCATGAGAATAATCAGATACGGCTACCGAAGTCAGGTGCATTGGCCCATCATCGTCTGATCGACAGATAAGCGGACCGAACTGCCGGAGATGTACTCCCAGTGGGTTGGTACTTTATAAGCGACATAGGGGTGTCTATAGACGGCATGGCTATAGTTGATGACATGCATGAAGACTAACAAGAGACTGAGGGTGTGATATAAGTATTCGTGTTCATGATCTATGTAAATTAGGTAGGTATCAACTATTTATTAACCGTAATCATCATATCCACATATATCCTCATCCTCATCCTTCATCCCACAACCCTTCAACTGTTCTGCTTCACCAACTTTTTAAATTCCTTCGACGTCCTACTACTCGATCCATCACCCCTACTCGACTCCCCATCCTTATCCGACCCCCTCTCCTTTTCTTTCTCCTTCTCCTCCTCCTTCTTCTTCTTCTCCATATGCTTCATAGCATCCTGCGTCAGCTCCTGTCTATCCAACAGCTCCCACACGTCCTTCTTTCGCGTCTTCCGATCACCAATGCTGATGAGCAGACCGGCTGTGATGTTGCAGGTTATGCTCACACAGAGGATCACGGTGGTCAGAGCGAACGGACGCGTGTGGTAGTCGATGCCCCAGGTACATGCGCCGAGGGATATTTGAAGACAGGAGTGGCAGTCGAGGAGAATTACGATGGCGATGAGATACCTTTGGGGGAAAGCGAAGTGGGTGAATGTCTCGTTGGGCTTGTAGAAACTGTGTGACTTGGCCATTTTCTTCTGATGGTGCTGCAGGCTCTTGAACTGAGCAAACGTCAGAGCGGGCATGTCTGACTCAGGGCTGTTTGACTTGGCGCCTTCTAAATCAACAGTCTCGGGACTCTCAGGTTGCGGTTGAGGTTGGTTGTCGATCGTGCCGACCCTTCCGTCTCTCTCAGGATTATAGTCCTGAGCTTCGAGAAGAGCACGAGCCTGATGGCCCGTCAAGTGCGAATGCTCCGGATTCGTAGACACACCCGGCGGAACACGCTTCTTCTGTAATCTGTTCCTCGGTTTCTTTCCCTGTTCGGCTCTCTTGATCAATCGCGAGAAGCGCCAGATGAAGAACATGTGGTATGTGTCGACGGCTCGGAAAGGCGCGAGACCATCACCCATGACGGCGAAGAGCGCGACAAGAACACTGTCGATGACGTGAATTGCATAGACTTGTTTCTCGCCGACGTAAATCCAGCCGATGAGGAATAGAACCCAAGCGAGACCGAAGAGCGTGATAAGTGTAGCGTAGAGTGTAACGAGGAAACCGAGAGGACGTCTGACGTATTGACCAAAACCTTTCATGCGACGCTTGAACCGCGCACGTCGAGAGTGCAGCATATGTCGAACATGGTCATCCAACTCGGCCTTTTCCTCCGGCGTCCAGCCATCGAGGTTCGTTCCATGTGGAAGCGCCGCATAGTGCGAGTCTGTCAGACGCGAAGTGATAGTGTTACTCCGCTGCGGAAGACGAGGTTGGTCTTCTTCTTCTTCTGCTTCAGCTTCTGCAATCGGCGGGATCGTAGCGGTCTCTTGTGCTTCCAGTGCAGCTTCGCGGCGTCGTTCCTGCTCAACGGCGCCTCGTGCCCAGTCTGCCTGGGGATCGTGTCGGGACAGAGCGTATGTCGGTCGACGGTTGACCCATTTTCCGAGATCGGGAACGAAGAGCGAGTTTTGGACATTTGTGAGTGTTGAAAGGGTTTGGACTTCGGGGTCTGTGATTGTTAGATTTGTTGGTGTAGATGGCGTGAATGTGAATGTTCTTACCGATGACATCGAGCCAGTCCACAAGTTCTTGGTCATATTCATCATCACGACGATCGTCATCTCGCTGCCCCATAGGTACAGCCTGATCCTCGCCAGATTGCCGACGATGCCCAGGCCAGATGAAGCGACTCGCCCGCCGTAGCCGACCAAGCCCGCCCCTCCCATTCGTGTTCTCATCAGGAAGCGAAGCCGTGGGCGACAAAGGAGCAGACTGATCATCACTGATCCCTAACTCGGCCAGACTCGGTCTGCCTCCCTCCTCTGTAAGTCGCGGCATCGCCACCTGCGGAACCCTCCTGGAATGACGAGCAAGCCCATCCGAGACCCTCGCGCGCTCAGGCTGCGAGATGCTCCTCGGTCTCCCATCATCGCTAAACCCATCAAACTGGCTCGTCACACTATGATTCGAATAGACCGACCCGTTTGAATTTCGGCGGATGCGGATACTAGGCTGTCTAGCCTGATCGACCGGCGGTCTTCGTCTCGTCTGCTGCTGCTGCTGCTGCTGTGAATAATTCGATTCTTGATAGGATGGAAATGCCGAAAGGGATGTTTGCGACGGAAAGCGCGGGAACGACGATAGCGATGTCTGCGACTGTGCTGAGGGCGCTTGGCTCAGCGGGTTGAAGTAATCCGATGCCGTTTCTTCGACGGGGCCTGGACTTCCGGGATCGGGAGGCACGGGACGTGAGGTCGAGGGACTTGGAGAGCGACGATTATTGTAATGGCCCGTTACGTTGAGATGGCCCGAGGGCTGAAGGCGATTATTATTGGAAGCCATGCCCATGGAGATGCATGGTAGAAGGGAGAGAGAGAGAGTAAATTAAAAAAAGAAAAGGGAGTCGAGGTGAAGTGAGGTGAGAAAAGTTGTAGCGATACTGGTCTGAACGGTAGAGGCTGGAATTAGTCAGTCGTCACAACATGAGCGATTCGGGTCTAGTCTCAGGCCTTGATTAACCGCTTGTCAGTGAAGATCAGCCATTTTCTCAAAACAAGAAAACTTTAGTTGAACCGGACCGTACGTAGCGCACCTCCTACGTAAAGGTCGTTAATCAGGTAGTGCCGGAGTGGGTCGCACTACGTCACAGGTTGATTCCGCTATGGCCAGTAATCTCCAGCCCCAATAAAAAGGTTTGGCGCCCAGGGGTCAGTTAGTGCCGGGACATCCGCAATATCCCTCCTTCAGAGCCTCTCCTCTGTAACGAGCTTATATCCGCGGGAATATAACAAAGCATTATTATTCATGATGACTGTGATTTTAATCTGCTGATACATCAGACATTTGGCACTCTTATGGAAATAACGTGATATTACGGATACAGAAGCCTCTTCATCTGTAATCCACCAGCCAACGCCACTAGTTCACCACCCGCAATAATTACATCACAGCTTCTCCAGATAAAGACAAGGACAGCCGTTTCATCTACACAGAACCACAGGCTGAGAACACAGCTTGGCATACACGTTGCACAGTAAATCTCTTGGCTCGTGAACCCTTGTTTCCAAATCAGGATTCTGTTAATTTTTAAGCTTATTCTTCCAGTATGTACGTGCAGAGACCTCGAGTGCAGGCATCTCCATGTTTGGTGAACCACCCTACACCTGGATGATATTTGCACAACTCATCAACGCTGCGCTATTGCTTGAGATGTGATGGGGAATGAGCAAATGTTTGGTGCTGGTGTTTTGAGTATTGGATCCGTGACGTGGATTGTAAATATATACTCGGTACTGGAGTTGTGTGATTGATGCGTGCCAGACATTACTCGCTGCAAGACAAAATGATGATAGGCGACTTGTGTTGTTGTGCTACGTAGCACCGTGGGAGAGACTTGCTTTTCTCGGTCTCTTGGATCTCGATCGATCAGCATCACGTTCCAGACCTTTTCGCTTAAACAATTCGTGACAATATCAGCCTGATGTCCAAAAAATTATTTTCATCATTGGCAGTGAAATTGTTTTCTCTCATCAATTGTTGGATCCGACGCGACAAGCGAGTCTGTGCAAAGTCAAATCATAGACGCATTCCAGACTCAGGTTGTCAACTAAATCATTAACCAATGATAGGGCTTATGGTCTAGGGGTATGATTTTCCCTTCGCATCTTTGAATCGACGCTTGGGAAAGGTCCGGGGTTCAATTCCCCGTGAGTCCATCTGATTGCGTTCCTTTTTGCTCTTTCACCGCATCTGGCTCTCAGTTGATGAGAGACATTCAGATCACTTATTTCAGTACCCGGGAGCTTTGGCTTCGAACATCCTTTTTCGCCAAAGCTTGTTCCAACTCAGTATCCCGCCTCCCAACTGTTCCCCTCTCCCATGCTTTGCCCAACCATCCCATGACAAGCAATCATCTAACCGCAATTACAACCAACAAAAAGGATTGCCACGCATAGCAAAAACCATGGACTCACGGGGAATTGAACCCCGGACCTTTCCCAGAGATCTTGATCCTGATCATGTCAGAGTGAAGATGCGAAGGGAAAATCATACCCCTAGACCATAAGCCCGATGAATGATTACATAAGATTTGTTTCTGTGTCGTCCCATATTCGCTCGCTGAGGAGCGTGGCGTTTGGTGTTGCACGGACTCCGTGGACTGCCCGAAACACTCCCGGAACCCCGAAAGATGTTGCCAAAGCCACTGCAGATCTTGAAGCACGAGACCACGAAACAAAGGGACCCCGTTGTTTCTATAGAGTTTCTGGTTGCTGTGGTTTGGCGGTAGGGCATCTGCTCTATTGGTTTCATCGTACTCGTATCGTGCATGTCTAAGCCTCAGCACTAAAGGCCGAGCAACCGACCTCACCAATGCTTTTGTGTTCACTGCTTCAATTGGACATGAGTTTCTATTCTTAACAATCTCTGAGTATTCCAGTCGATTGCTAATGTGTAGTGTCTAATGATCTTGAGAAGGGTCCGGAGTGGTTCAATATGGGACGTTGATGCAGAAGGCCGCGGGCCGTGGGCGGCTTTTGAGCCAATGCTGCAGCTGCCGACACATCACTCTAAGGCACAACAGTCAATCCACTTAAAGGCTGAGAGAAGGAGGTGCATACATGCGGGGAAGCCGCCCTCAGTAGGTTGAGAGACGCTGGCAGCTGTGTGATATGCAGTCATTCGGAAGTGTTTGTCGATCTGCAGCCCGGTAGACGGTCTCATCAATATTGAGGGTCATGCGCCTGATGGTGGATGGCGCAATTGTCCAATAAATTGACCGATCAATTTGGTAAAGAAAACTCTTTAGAAAGCATGCTATACTGTGTCGGGAAGTACACAAGCGGATGCGGATGGGTAGACATGTCGAGTCGGCAATGCACGACATGGTTTAACAAGAGCTCAATCCCCGACATATGCAAGCAAATAACGATCAAAAGCCTATGATCAACAAGTATCAGCCATGTAACAGATCTAAGTGCCATGGCCAGAGGTAGAAGTGATATGGTAGGGGTCTTACAGAGGACACAGTGGTTGTCGCCCGATGCATGGGGCTCGACAAATGGCCACTCAACACCCCAGCAGTATTACTGAAAGGTCAAGAATCGCTTGGGAGTTTCCAAAGCAATGTCAAATGATTGCTATTATAAGGAGCCGTACACTATGTCGAGGGCCGGCTAGGACAGCCTGCCGTTGTGTGGTGTTTTGAGGTGTTTGTAGTAAGGCGCCTAGGTGTAACGAGTTCACCACACTAATATATCAACAGATCAACAAAGAACAGTACAGCATAAATCTTAAACTTCAGTATACGGCGATAGAAGGATTATGAAACGATGGTTGAACACTAATACCACCAAGCTCAGGACACCAATCCGACAGGCATCAACGTCGCGCAGGATCATTATTGGATGGCCTACCGCCAGTCCATCTTAACTGGAAGATGCCATACCATCTCATATACCCTTAATTAAGTAGCTTCGCTCTGCGCTCAAAATCAACCTCAACTTCTCTAGTGAGAAGTTCCACGCTAGGGCCGCTACTGAACAGGCCGTCCACTGGCCCATTGAGGAGGCCAGCCTCAACTGATGGATGCTAGGCCAGCTCACGGGGGGCGTTGTTGAACAGAACAGCCATGGGTCATCCTGTGAAGCAGCCTGGCGATACGTTATTGACCTGGTCGAGATGGTAAGAGAGTGAGACCGGTGCACACTCGCTATAGGCGCAAGGATGGGAAGCATCAATACAGCCTCAGCACTTTCACCCAGTAAAGTCCAGCTATAAAAAGACAAGCTCAATACTTGTATTTTGGTTCTTCACTTCAAATCAATCGCATGGGTCAGAATAAACAGCCCGCCCACCCTTAGGCAGCGTGGCCATTTCGAGCCGAGTGAGAGTCCTACAACCTCCTCTATATGCCCAGCGAAGCCCGCGCCCAGAGTATAGCTAAGGCTCGTAGGACCGGGCAGCGGCAGCGGGTGTTGCCGAGGGAGCGCACCGCCGTCCCGTAAGATAGAGAGCTGGCATCGAGCGCACCGCCGTCCCATAAGATAGAGAGTTGGCATCGAGCGCGCTCACCGAGACTTATACCGCTATACCACCTTTGCTCACCAGAAACTCTCCTCCAAGTTTGCGCATGACACAAATCGAAGAGGTAGTTGATGGGATGCTCAAAGATGGCCTGTGAGTTGCCAATCAGAGATATGTCCGTGGTCGGGGCGTTTGGGAGTTCTCTTGCCTTGACCCCCATTCTTACAGTAAGTTCACATTGGTAGTCAAGTTCGAGCTAATGTACCAACAACAGGGAAATATGTCTGTTTTATTTCGCAGAGTCAAGTAATTCTACACTCGTGGAGAACTTGTGCGTGGAGAACTTGTGCATGGTATTCGACTCATGTCAGCTGTCAAGACTCTGATTGACTCCGTGTATCTGTGCTGTTCGCCGACGTGTGACCCTACATAACGTCAATATGGACATTAACGCAGGTCAATTCAATCCTAGGCGAGCAGGTATCCTGTTCCATGATCAAAGCCAGTATAATAAATCTTCTTCATTTATGCCCTTCGTGTATTCTAGTCGTCCTTCGTCTTTACTGCTGCACATTCCCTTCGACCCCAAAGCTTCTCACGCTTCTACCAGCCTCTTCATGCACAAGACCATACCCAATCTTGACATTACACCCTTCTCGCGCTCCCAGTACGTGGAGATTTGATGTCCTTGAAGCTTCCATGATAGACGATGGCTTCATATCACGCATAGTACCCTCCTCAAGATAAGCCTGTAGACCTAACAACACGCCAATAACTGCCAAAAGTATACTTGCAGCATACACGCTAAGAAGCTGAGTCATGTTGTAGTGAAAGAAAGTAGCTATCCTCTCACGCCGGCAAGGATAGGCCGTTGAAGGACCTCCCTTGGCAATGCCAGATGGTTTTCCATCAGCGGCCCACGAGACAACCATGAAAGAAGGCTCCTCAAAAATCGAGATGATCATGTCCTCGTAGAGCTTTTGGATACCGTGGTGAAGGTTCTTGACCGGGAGGTAATTTAGCGGCGTGAACAAACGCGTGTATAAAAGATCCGACTTTACTTGGTTATATGGTATCTTCATAGTTCCATTGAGGCACTGCCTCAATCTAGAGCCAATAGAATGGTAAGCTGCTGTCCGGCGGTACTTTTTGACGTTATTGGGGAATATGTAATTGCTGTCAGGGATAGCACGTGTTCGGTCTTTTAGTCTCTTGTCAGGGTCTTCGTTGGGTATATAGGTCGTATCAATAACCTTTCTCAGGTATTCCCGCCGCTTAACGTCAACAAGTTTGTCACCACTTGTGTAGTTGAACTGGACTGTATAATTGACTTCGTAATGCTCACACCCGATTATAACAGGTGTATAGGCTTTTCTCCATGCCTCTGTGCCTGGGGTATCCGGCTGAGGGACCGAGAGATCATCCACAGTTGCGTAACCTATCCATATAATAGGCTCTGTTCTGAAGGCTCCAAAGTTGTCCGGATACGGGGGATCTTGCTTCGGTCTCCCCCCCGCGTGAGACGCCATTTGGGGATCACCATATTCACCTCGGTCGTTGATGGCATAATAGGTATAGTTTCCCCTTGGCGCAAGCACAGAGGTGTTGAAGGGTGCGGTAGCATTCCCAAGCTTCCCGACTTCAGAGTTCACTCCGTATGCTAGCTCTTGACACTTATAGCCAGGAGCAACAAAGTTAACCACATATGAGCAGTTCCATCCCTCTCCGCAAATCTCAACCGTTGCTTCCTTGCGGATTATGGATTCGCTCATGAGTGTCGATTTCGTGGTAATGAACATGTCGTACTGCCGGCTAGGGCAATGGTAGTAGTCAAAACCCGCTGGGTTGGAGTCTGAAGGGCTCTTACCCGGGGGAACAGTCGAATTCCATAATGACATCGAGGTCAGAAACTGGCCGTTTATTTTCATAGGATTGCGCCAATATATGTTCTCCTCGTTTCCAAAATTCAAAGTTCGGACAGAGGGGCACGAGGTCATTTCTTCGAATACCCCAAAGACAACTGAGAGAGTTTCAGAGGTCAGTATCACAACAAGAGGAGTGACCCAGCAGTAAATAGCAAGCAGGGTACCAACTCTGCTCTTACGGATAGAGCTCCAGGTAAAGAGAGAGAATATATCCGAATTGGCAGTGAAAATAGAATTAATTGTCTCAATACGGGCTGTTTTAAAACGGACCACTCTCCACGCTCTTTGGTGAAAAGCAATGGTAACAGCTGTGCCGAGACTGGCTTTGGCACAGAATGCGATGGCGGTCCCATAGCGTAGCATCAAGGACTGGTTGATAGCTTCTCTGCCGTTGAGACGAAGGTAAAATAAGTGATGGCCAACAGCGAAGAGAGCGCCAATGAGGACCAAGAGGAACATGTTCCAGGGCTTATGTCTGTACACGTTCCAAACCTTCCAGAAGTTGTTGCTATTGCGCTTGACCAAGGCAAGCCCAGGGAACTTTCTGCCATGTTTTCCGGGCTCAGCCTCATCCCTAACAAAACTCGAGCTCTGAGATGTTTGAGCTTGGCGGTGTTCGTCCGGGCGCAAAAGCATGATATCGTCGGTGGCGGCGATCCACCTTTCATCTCGTTCACGATCGTTCTCGACAGGAGAAGGCAGAGGCCTTGGTGATGGAAACATCTTGTCGCAGACGCGAGAGCTAGTGCGTATTGGAGAAAGGTCAAATGGGCTCTAGCAGCATATGAATTGGAGGTTATTGCAAGAATCAAGTTTCGATTCTGTTCACAGCCTCGTTTTTCAGAAGTAGGCTGCAGGTAAATATGCAGCTTATGGCAGGCTTCGCGCCGTGGCTAGAGTGAGTACCGATACCTAGGCCGATCGACAACAATATACACCAATCATGGTCTGATATCTGTGCAATGTGATATAGTGTGATACACGTATGCATAATAACGAAGTGCAGCGCCTGCTTATGCCAAGCAACGGGTGTGCTAGGACCAACCAAGATGACACAGCCACATATACTCAGTGATAAAAGAGTTAAGCTCGTGGAATACCTCTTGTTCTTGAACTAGCATAGACTAATACTTATGGGATTTCAGTATAACACGCCTATGATATCCCGCGTGCATCTAGGCTGAGCTGTTAGGCGAGAACGTGCTGTAAGCCAACAAGTATGCCCACAGTTGTGATTGTGAATATGGCGGACAGCCTTGATTTAGCTGGCGGAGAAAAGAGAGGAAAGAAGCTGGCTGGAGGGCATATATATGGAATTCGACACCTTGTGGCGTCAGATTATTACTATGGGGGGAGGGTAGGAACAGCTCCCAATCTATGAATACACAGGACGGTTATGAATCCCACATTTTGTGCAACTCAGCTAAAATTAGCAGCAACATTATCATAAGCCCTTTTCAACAACACAATCAACTCATCCATCTCGCTCTCCGTAATAGTCAACGGCGGCGAAACAATAACATGATCACCCTCCTTTCCATCTGCTGTCCCAGAACCAGGATAAACAGCTAAACCCAACTGAAAAGCCCTCTCCTGAATCTTGACACCAAATCGAATCTTGCTATCAAACGGTGTCTTGGTCTTCTTATCCTTCACAAACTCAATGCCCCAAAACAAGCCCCTCCCTCTAATGTTTCCAACAAACTCCAGATCTTGGAAGACTTCGACGAGAGACTTGTGTAACCGTGCCCCGAGGGAAGCAGCGCGAGAAACCAAGTTATCTCTGCGGATAATCTTCTGAATCGCCAGTGCAGCTGCACAACTTACAGGGTGAGCTTGATACGTGTGACCATGGTTGAAACTCGCCGTTCCCTTCTTCAAAGTCTCGATGATATTTCTATGCACCAACGTCGCAGCGATAGGAGCATATCCGCCTCCGAGACCTTTGCCTGTGGTGACGATATCAGGACGAACGTCGCCGTCTTGCTCAAAAGCGAAGAATGTGCCGCATCGTCCGACTCCGCACATGACTTCGTCGAGGATAAGAAGAATACCATACTTTCGACAGACTTTTCCAACACCTTCGAAGTATCCAGCTGGAGGACTGATACAGCCTGCTGTTGCACCGCCAACTGTCTCTGCAACGAAAGCCATGATGGTGTCTGGACCGACGGCTTGAAACTCTGCCTCGAGTTCGTCGACTAATCTCTGAGCATAGTCTTGTTCTGTCTCATCGTCTTTTCGAACTCGGTATTCGTATGCTGGACTAACGTAGCTCACATTGTCGAGAAGAATAGCACCTTCGTATGGCGCCCTTCTCGCCACGAAACTGCCCACGCTCATAGCTCCAATAGTGTTCCCATGATAGGCCTGCCTTCTCGAAACAAACTTCGTTCGCTGCGGCTGTCCATTCTCAACATGATACTGCCTCGCAAGCTTCATAGCCGAGTCCATAGCTTCACTGCCAGAGCCAACGAAGTACGCCCTCGTCAAGTCAAAAGGTTCTCCTTCTAGGATATAGTTTGCGAGGTTCTCTGCACTGTCGGTTGTGTAGGCCATGGTGTGCACGTATGACACACTCGACATCTGCTCCACCATTGCATCGCGGACTTCAGTGTTTCCATGGCCGATGATGGCGACTGCAGCACCTGCGCAGCCATCGAGAATCTTGCGGCCGGATGAGAGTGTGATCCAAACGCCCGAGGCAGATGTTACGGTTTCTGGACGGGTGAGGAGGGAGCGGTGCATGAGATGGGGCTCTGAGGCCGAGGAGAGTTGAAGGTCGCCCATTGTGTCTTGTAAATAGTTGTTCCTTTAGTAGATGAAGACTCAGATGCAGAGATGGGAAGAAATATCTGGACAGATGATTGATTGAGTTTATAAAGAAGAGAATGGTGTTCTGCCGGTTCACATCGAGTTTGAGGTGGAGCTGAAGCCACTCGGCTTAGAACAGGCGATTCGGGTCTGGATACTCTTTTCGGGTTTCAAGGAGATGCGAGCGAATGGTATAACAGCTTCCAACACTGAAACTGTCTTCTCATCAAGACACGCGACAGCTTTGTTTAAAGAACATTAACTTTAGGATTAAACAAAACAAGACCTAAGCTACGTTTTCATCACCCATATTATCCATACTCGTCGACAAAAGATGCGGATCATCACAAAACGACAGTAACCTCCACCAATCCTCGCCCACAAACTCACTCCCACTTGTCTCCTCCAGAAATCCAAGCCCATCCGTCTCCACGCCCTGCTCAGCATCACCCGCCACCAGCTGATGCAACTTCGGCCCATCATCCGCCGAGACCAGACCCGCCGGCCTATCAAACGTCTGCCTCGGCATGCCCTGCAACGGCGCAAGATGAATAGAATCCTCCAACTCGGGATAATCATACCTCGATCTCTTGACCCTCCTCCCCTCACTAACTCTCGTCATGATACTCTTCGCCGTGTTAAGAACATCAATCCACTCCTCCGCCAATCTCCAAACCTTGCCTATCCTCACAAGAACAGCCACAGTCCTTTCTGCTTGAGCATCTGCGTCCGAGGTTTGACTTGGCGTGAAGCCCATGAAGTTTGGAAACGCTGCGCCGTATATACTCCATAGTGTAGAGGAGAAGGCGCATAGGCCGGAGAAGGGGGTGCGGAGGGGACAACCGACGTGTTCGAGATCGCAGAGGAGAGAGGAGATTTGGGATGCTGCGTCGTATAGATCGGTGACATTTTGGAGCCAGAATGAATCGGGGCCTCGGGCTTTGAGGAGTGGTGGTTCGATGGGGCCGCGAGGTTTGACTTCATCTACCGGACTGAAAGGGATAAATTCTCGGCAGAGAAAGAGTAAACTACGACTGATCAGTATCATGATTCACATTAAGGCGGTTGGTGCTTACCTGACATAGTAGACCAAGTTGATGTATCCAAACCTCTCGGCTTGTCCTCGCTGAGCATGCACCGATACCTTCGTAGCAGGATACTTCATCAACGCATCCTGAGACTCTCGCCACTTGATCAAAGCCTGCCTCATCTTACTCCAATCCGAAGTCTCATTGAACGGGCACTGCTCTGGCTCAGTCATACCAGGCTGTCTTCTACCGCCCTCAGCAATCCACGTATGAACTCTTGACCAGATACGTAAACCTTGAATGAGAAGAACAAGATGATCATCTGGCCCATAGCTTCTCAGACTGTCATCTACCGGTGCTGTTTGTGGACTCTGCCCAAAGAGGAACTGGGTGTCATTCACCGGTAGGGAGAAGTGCATGTCTCCATCAGGGAACATAGCCTGTCGTCTCTTTCCGCAACTTAGCAGTCTATCCATCTTGAAGCAAGTCCACAATGTTCTTTTCTCAAGTTCCGAGAGTGTTTCTCTCTTGCCGCAACTTGCGAAGCCAGTGCTGAGTAGTCCTTGAGCCATTCTTGTAGCGATGCCGCAGTGCATCCATGCATTGAAGCCATCTCCGTCTCCCCAGTTGCAGAGCGAAAGTATGAGAAGGGTCTGGACAAGAGCTAGGCTCGGACCACTCGTTACCTTTTTCTGCACCTCGTTGGCTATAAACAGAATATTCTTGTTGTTGATATCTGCGGTGCGAGAGTCTGCATATCGGTGTGACACTGCAACAATGACAAGAAGTCGCAGTTTCTGAACTATACTGAGTTCATCTTCGCAATACTCAAGATCATCCGGATGAAGAAACCCAAACTCAGGAAACTGAGCCCTGAACAAGTTAATAGCAGATATCACTTGCGCTCGTGACGTCTGTTCAAAGGCTTGATTGATATCTTGCCAAACATCTCCGAAGATATCTGTTTGCGACTGATCAACACTCAGCCGCTGTCTTTTAGCAGGCCTCTTAGACCCTAAGCTTTGCCCCAATACTGGACCACTCAGAACACAAGTCTCGGTATAACCACTCTTTATGCAGCCTGCACAAGGGGGTTGGCCATTGTGTCTGCATTTGACTTTGGATCTTCTATTGATGGTGGTCAGACCCAGTCTTAGGTCTTAGAAGAGGGGTATTACCTGCATCTACGACCGCATTAGAACTGTACAAACGAGTCCGCAGATGTGATTAGTTACCTCTCACACGCAATTGTCGTTCTCATTGTCTCTGTTTCCGATTTCGCGTTTCAATTGATATGAGTCTGGGATGATTCAGGCGGGGCTTCGGGTCTGCTTTGCAAAGATGTTTTCGGGTCCAAACCCGATTCGGGTTTGGCCAAAGAAACCTCGGGTCTAGCTCACGTGCCATAAGGATACGCGTAGAAGTGAAATTTAAAGATCAAGGGATCGGGGAGGGTATAATAGTTATAGGGTGATTCCTGTAAATTCTGTCCCCGGAATGTCGACTCGCGTCATTCCAAGCTGTATGTATGATCTTCTCATAACATTAGACAAATAATGAGATGTCATCAATCAATGAACTGGATTCTTAATAGCTACGCTTACATTATCACGGGAATTTCTGTAGCTCTTCCATCTGATTTGGATTCACTTGGAATCATTCCCATACTGATAGCCCAATCGTCCCAGCCCATTTCTTCAACCAATTCCACAGCAAGATCTTGCCAAAAGAACTCTTATTACTAATTAATATACAGACGGTCAGGTGGCCTTATTATAGTACCAGAGGGTATATCTTTATTATCTTAAAATTGCCTATATATTTAATAGTAGTAACCTTAATATTAGTAAAATTCTATAAGGTCACTCAGATATGCTTTTCAAGTACCTTAAGCAGGTCTCGAATATTACATAAAAAAGGCGATTCTTCAGAGCTCACGGATTCAAGCCGACCAGAGAAGCTGATCAAAAGAAAACGAACTTGTCTTTAGCTGATCGTCCTCTCCTCTCCCGAGACAGAGACGAAGCAGCAATTCCTGGAAAAGAGGCCACAAAAGGAGGCCCGGAACAAGAAGAGGCAGCCAATGACCATGGAGAAGAGCAAGAGGAAGCTCAGGACGAAGGAACTTCCTCTAACAATATTACGAGGCAAGAGAGTGAGAGTATAATCACTGTTGAGCACGGGAACGACAAAGAGCAGGCTGGAGCCTTGAATGACGACAAGGGTGATGATCATGCAAGTGCAAGACATGAAGCTGCTATCGAGGTCATTAGCGAGAAGAGTGAACGAAAGGAAAGCGGCTATGTTAAGAATAACGATGAGAACAGTTGTGGGGAGGTTAATGGCCAGACAGTTGAGGATGTTGATGATAGCAAGTCCACTGATGAGGGTAACAATGAAGAGACCGACAATAGTGATGTAAATGACAAAGAGGGCAACGAACAGGTCGAGGATAACAAGGAAGCCAGCGAAGAATCGAGCGGCGAAGAGTCAAAAGACAAAGAGTCGGTGAAGGAGGAATCAAGTGACGATCACGGGAGCGAAGACCGGATACCCGATAGAGATACGAGTGTTGTGTATGAGAAGACTGAAAGTGTCAGTGAGGGCACTTCAACAACCCAGGAATCCATGACTGTCTTGGGACTTTGTCCACCAGATACCAAGGAAGGAGATTTTATATGCATCCTCCTGGGTTGTTCTGTTCCAGGTGTCTTGAGAGAGACAACTGACAAGAGGCACATGATTCTCATTGGAGAAGCATATGTTCATGGCAAAATGGATGGTGAGGCGATGGAGGATACGCATAGGGCACTAGAAACCTTCTCTATTAAGTGACAGGTAGCAGGTCGCAAGCATAGTGGGCAGTATAGCATACAGGAAGCTACTAAATTGACAATCACTCCTGTGTAAGAGGTATTCTGTATAGAACTTTGGAGATAGTGGCAAAGGGGTCCTTACAGTTTAATTCGTTTTTGTTTTATTCAAGCCGCCACATTATCCTATCTAACGCTAAGAATTACTGAAAGCTGAGAAGATTCAAATGAGAATTCCTCGAATTTCCGCTGTCTTAGAATTTGAAAGGAGACTAGAGCCGTCAGTAGGACGGCCTGGCCTTGGCTGTATCCCAGCCTTAAAATTCTTGGCGTTCTAATTGGTTTCTTCGTAATTGGACGGTTACCCGGCTTTTAATGACAGTCTTGAAACGCCAAGACGAAACAAAGAATGGTTCATCCAAAGCGTAATAGCCGTCAGGGGTCGCCCAATCATTTGAAACCGGCGAAAATTATCCAAGCTTCAATTTCCACTAACAACTTATGAGTAAACCTTTGGCGCTTTTAACAGACAGGCTCAGCTTGTCGGCTTCCGGCCGGGACCCGAGTTTCATAATTGGCCGTTCTAGCCGTCCCAGCATCACACTTGTCTTCTAATAAGAGACCTATAGTCTGGGGATACTATCACTCGTATAGATCGGTTAATTCGGATCTCGAATATAAGGGAGTACGGCATTGCTTGCAGAAACTTCAAAACATTTTGGGTCTGGTCTTGTCGCTTACGTTTGACTACTATTGAATTACGAGACGAGCACTAGAAGCTGCTCCAAGAGCATGAGATCTGGGCAAATAGGGTATTAGCGTAGATGAACATAGTCGAGATGAGAGCTATATAAAGCTTGGCATGTCTATCACAAATTGTTCTCATCAACCAACTCAACCTACTTCTATTCTTTATCTACTTGAGCTTTGCTTGACGCAATATCTTCAAGTTTCTCTAATTAATACTAGGCTGGTCCTACTCAATCTGCATTACTTCTCTCTTTACCTGCTGTTCAGAACTCATTTAACCTCTTTCATATCTTTTATCCTTCAAGATGTATTTCTCTAATGTTATCGTCGCCACTCTTGCCGCTCAGGCCCTTGCCCAGGACAACCGTGTCCCACGCGTTCGCGTTGGACGAGTTGTGGTAAGTGACTCTTTGCGATCTTGTTAGTGTCTAGCTGATAGCTTGCAAGGCCTTGGTGGCTGCTGCTGCTCTTCCAGTCAGAGCACTCCCCGTCTTCGATGCCCTTGAGGCGCGAGATGTAAGTTCCTCCACTTTTCTCTACCCATTCATCAACTAACAAGGATAGCCCCATCATGGGGGTGCCAAGGCCAAGGCGGTCGAGGGATGCAAGGCCAAGCGAGACGATGAGGACGAGGAAGCCGTCGAGGGACTCGTCGCCCGCCATCACCAAGGAGCCAACGGCAAGGCTGCTGCCAAGGCTACCAATAACTGCAACAAGAATGGCAAGCGAGATGAAGTCGCTGAGGAACTTGAAGCGCGAGACGTCGAGGAAGATTCCGAAGAAGACACCAATGAGCTTACCACCAGGGATGTCGAGGAAGACACCGAAGAGGAAGCTAGCGAGCTTGTAGCCCGAGCAAAGAAGGGAAAGAAAGGCAAGAAGGGTAAGAAGGGTAAGAAAGGCAAGAAGGGTAAGAAGGGTGGAAAGAAGGGCAAGAAGGCTGGCAAGAAGGCTGGTACCAACACCAATGCTGGTGCTACCAACGGAGCAACTAAAACTGGTACCAACACCAACGCTGGTGCTACCAACGGAGCAGCCAAAACTGGTACCAACGCCAACACCAACGCCAACAAGAACGCCAACAGCAACACTCAAGCCAAGGCTGGTACTACTGCTTAAGTGTGCATCCGAGACCAGGCAACGATAGGGTAATAGTTATAAGGATTCTAAGGCTGTTAGTCTTTAGGTCACTCCCAATATAAACTTTTACCTAGGAAGCTTCCACAAGGAGAGATTCACCTACCTTACCCCGAGGGATCATGATACACAACAAGCCGGGCAGGTTTTCAGAAAGGTCGGCTAGCCTAATTCTCTTTACAGTTTTGCTTCTATATAAGTATTTCCTTAAATTAAGCATTTATAAATATTTAACCTTTTATAAAAGTACTTACAAGTATCTATAAGCTAGGTATTTTGAGCCTTATACTTAACTTATTTATTATAATCTTTACAAGGACAGGGCTATATTCTCTCGCCAATGACATCGCCTATGCATAGATGTATATAATTAAATTTACTAATTAAGAGCTTGTTCTCTGCTAGAATTTAAGTTGGTGCTTAATAACATATAAACTCTGAGTTAATTATAATTTTTTGCTGTTTTGGCTTAATGTATCTCGTGTCACGGTCAAATAGTGCAGGGGGGTAGGCCCCTACAGTTAGCGCAGGTAGCTAATACAACCCTATTCACTTCGTATGTCGTTAAGATATCCTAAGCTCAAAACTATCAATCAACGGCGGCCTAGTCTCAGGCTATCTGTCAGCGCTCTGCCTCTCAGTCAGATCTTCTGTCCGTTTTTGACACTCTGTCGTGAGTTCACTTCGGCAACATGTCTGCGCTCTTCGGTATAAGAGTCGAGAAGGGTAGGACTGGAAGGACGGTGAAAGGCATGGGCAACTTTGAAAGCAAGGTTATAAACATCTGCAAGGCTGGAGTTGAGACCCAGACCTCCCGTGGGTGGAAACAAATGCGCTGCGTCTCCTGTAAGAAATACATTTCCCTCCCGGTATGCTTTTGCGACTTTTCGACTCAGGATCCAGGGGCGGTAGCTCAAGACCTTGAGGGACATATCTTTACCGATGGCTCCCTTGAGCACCTGTTGGCAGAGATCTTTATTCCACGTATCAACTGGGTACTTGTCAGAGTCGAAATGGGTGATAAGGACGGCATTTCCGGAGAGATTGTAGGCTATAGTGAGCCAGATACCGGGGATCGAAAAACCAGTGGAGCATGCCTACGCGATCACCTACAACCTCCCGAAGGTTTACGCTGAAATGAATCATCATCATAGTCTCGTATAAGTAGAATATGTCAGTAATGTTTGTCGTGATAGAAACGAGTGGTATCAAACCCAAACGAGTCTTCGCCGTCGCTCTCGATACCACGTGCTGGCAGACTTTACTCTTGGCGCCGTCACAGGCTATAAAATACTTTGATCTGATCTTGAATAGTTTAGTTACCCAGTCGCGCGTTCTTCAACCACAGTCGTGACTGTAACTTTGGACTGCGCCAAAGAAAAAAACGGCACTCCTTTCTGAATATCCACGCGATACTCATTCGATAACCTTTCACCGAGATATTCCTCAAAATCCGGCTGGGCGATATTGTGGATCATTTCAGGTGTATGATCGAGAACACCCTTATCCATACGTTCATATATAAGCTGTCCTAAGACTTCGCCAGAGAGGGTTGTGAGGAAATTGACCCAATATGCATCATCTCTCGGTGTACCTAGGCTTCTGATATGATCCACGTCTAGGCCAAACTGGCGACATATCTCGAGTGACCTGGGAGAGAGCCCATGAGCTTTGGGCGCTCCGAGTCTTTCTGGGTAGCGTTCAATCACGAGAGACTTGAACACCAAGTTTCGATAAGAGGTAGGCTTGCAAGAGGCCACTGGGACCACCTCCATTTGGCCGAAGCAACCTCGGGTTCAGCTCACGTGCTATAAGGGATACGCGTATAAGTCAAAATTTATAGATCAAGGCATCGTGACAATTGTTTCCGATCAAATCCATCGCTCAAAGGATTATATAGTCCGAAGACTCAGATGCGATCTTATATCCACTTATCGGATCCATTTCTATGCGCGGGTTCGGATGAACCTTGCTTGTCCCAGATTAAGGATGAACCAAGCGCTGGAACATGAAACAGACCATCAGCAGCACCACCAAAGAGTAGAGTAGACTGACACTAACGGCAAATTCCGTGCGATTTTACTATCTGATCATGGCCTGAAACGAAGGATGTTTTGGCGGAGATGAATTGCAAGAATACGAGCTTCCATGTGAACTCTTGAAGCAGCTCCGGGACTGATGAAAGTGCGAGTAAGAATTTCCATTGAGCAAATTCGCATCGGCTCGGGTGAAAACGAAATTCGACTGACAGTATTTTTTAAGCATAAAATAGGTAAACTCAAAGACTATTAAAGTATCTCCTCGAAGCTTAATATAAGGTTCGCCGACGACAATGCCAAAGAACTGGTCCATGACAAGGGATAATTACACGGGCGTCAACAAGATGCTAAAAACTGCCCCATTTGGCACGATGACATGCCATACCGGGGAGATGGACCACATTAGGAGATTGAGAAACCGGAAGAGCACAGACACAAAAGCCCTGTCCTTGAACAAACCGAGAATTATGGATCAACTTCTCACGATGGAGAGTCTATTGTTTCCGTCTTATTATTCCGCCAATCAGGCTCTCTCACCATCTCGTAATAGGACATTATTCGATTCCATATATAACATGAGCTGAGGACGTGTAAGTAGAATCTCAGCAAGCATCTCTGGTAGACATTCGTTTTCTGTTCATTCGTTTCTTTCCAACCCAACACTCGTTCAGCTAACTCACATTCTTTCTTTCAACCACCACCATGCGTTTCTCTTCAGCCGCTGGCCTCATGGCCCTCGCTACGTCGACCGTAGCCCACCCCAACTCCGCCACCTCCGATCTCGACGGCTCCGTCTGGAAAGCTCTCACACCTCTCAAGTCGCGCTCATGGGCCTCTATCCCCCGAAACCGTCCCACCAAGCGCCAGTCCGGCTGGAACCCGCCCTCCAACCTCGCCACCCCCCTCAAAGAAGTCTGGGACCACGAAGTCAAAACCTACAGCGACGCGCTCGGCTTTAAGAACTATGGCTGGGACCAAGTCATCGCTGGAAAGGGCCAGCTTAACGTCTGCGTTCGCTGGGAGTCTAGCGCTTCTGTGACTGCTGAGCAGCGCACCAAGGTTGCTGCTGCTCTTCAGGACTCGTATAGTGCTTGGATGAAGTGGGTTTCCGGCTATGATAACTTTCCCTACGAGGAAGTCAAGATCAATGTCGTTGGATGGGCTGTGAAGAACAAGAGCCTTCTCCAGGGCTCTACTGAAGGTCTTGATATCTACACCGACACCGACGCCGAGGGCATTCCCCAGTGCTCCGAGAAGTGCGGCCGTTTCTTCCACCAGGACGGTGACTACAGCAGCTGCCCCGGAGGAGCTGAGCGACACTACGATAACTCCCTCTGGCTGACCGACGGTATGCAGGGCGGAGCCGGTGGTGATTGGGGACAGCGCATTGGCCGGGAGTACTTCATGGATCTCCTTGGTCAAAAGGACATTCACATTCTCGAGCACGAGATCGGCCATACTTTCGCCCTTGACGATTTCTACGACTGGACTCCCACCGGCCAGACCAACTTCATCATGCTTGCTGGTTCATCCACCAAGGTCACTGACTTTGATGGCTGGATGTTGCGAAACTGGTGGTACGAGCTTTCTCGCAAGCGTGGCTGGCAATCTACTGCTTCTAGCTCTGCCTCAAAGGGTACTTCATCTGAGAAGGCTGTTACTCCCGTCTCGTCCAAGGCTGCTAGCACCAAGACTGCTGTTGCTAAGCCTACCACCACCACTGTCAAGCAGGCTGCTACCCAAACTGCGGCCAAGCCTGCCAAGGACACTACCTCAAGCGCTACTGCTGCTGCCTATGCTCAGTGCGGTGGTGGTGCTGGCTATACCGGCCCTACCAAGTGCGCCTCTGGTCTGAAGTGCACCAAGCACAGCGAGTGGTACTCTCAGTGCCTTTAAGCTGCCCCATACACACACTATCTGAGCTTGACGCTTGGAACCTTTTTGTATATACTTAGTCATTGGAAAGGGATACCTGAGTATTATAAGAAGACATAATATACTACATATCGATATAGATCCCACTGTTATTCAATGGGCCACATAAAACCCTTCTTACTTTGTGATGGGTAAATACATGTACCCCAACAGTATTCGACCTCAGGTTTGCGACCTCTATCTCAAGTGATGAATATTTTCAGGTAAGCTACGTATAACCTATCCTAAGTAATAATAATATTCGGGTTGGTGTGTCTTTCGACCAGGTATTTTTGGCACCATTATTAGATATCAGAAGCTTTTTCGCTCCCTTCGGGACCCCTCTAAGATCCCTGCATAATGCGCTGATCCCGTGTCTCAATTGCTTCGACGCCAGTCTTCTCTGAGAACCGGACATCCTCTTCATGGACAATCTTGACATCACCAAAGATCTCATCGATCTCTTCCAGTGATTTGCCTGCAATTTGTTAGTTGGTGAAATCCAATCCCGAAGCTCTGACTTACCGCGCGTCTCAGGATATACAAAGAAGAAGATAAGAGCGCACATTGCGTTGGTGAGAACGAAGAGGATCTAAAAAGCATGTCAGGGCTGATTATCGGCCAGAGATCGTGGCTGTACTTACATAGTACTTCCAGCCCACGGCAGCCAAAGCGATGGGCGAGCATTGCGTGATGATCAGACTGATAGAGTAGTGGACAACCTGCACAATGGCATTTGCCTTTGCTCGTAGCTCAGTGGTGAAAACCTCAGGACTGTTGAAAGATCAGTAAATGCTCTAAGCTTACTGTTGTGGAGGACTTACGGAATAATCCAGGTCATCGGTCCAAGAAGAGCAGAGTAATTCGCCGACACAGCAAAAATACACGCAATCAAACCCCTCTGTGCCGCAGCATTGGTCGGCATGCCAGGAACAGCAGGGAAACGGGCTGCCAGAATGGTAATGATCAAATAGCACAACGACAACAGCGACGAGCTGATAACAAGAATCTTCTTTCTTCCAATCTTATCGACAAAGAACAAAGAGATGAGACAAGCGACTGGGGCGACAGAGCCGTAGAGGCCACTGACGAGAAGTTGACGATCCTCGCTGAATTGAAGCGTGGCATAGATAGCAGTCTGGTAGTACTGCACGAAAGAAATACCAGATAACATAGCAGCAGCCCAGACGAACGAACCAACAAAGAGGCGCTTTCTGAACGCTGGAGTCTTGACTAGATCTGCCCAAGAAAGGCGCCCTTGAGCTTGCAGCTCCTCAGAGATGTTGACTTGAATGACAGTGAACTCAGTTCGGCACCAATCATCATTGGTTCCATCGTAGTGATAAGCTCTAAAAGCCTTCTCCGCTTCATCATGGCGGCCCTTGAGACAAAGCCAACGGGGTGATTCACTGAGAAACAAGACCCCAACACCAAGGATGAGAGCAGGAATACTTTGGATCGCAAACCCAAGGCGCCATTGATTCGCATTATGCCATTTGCCCTCTGCAACACCAATCCACAGCGCAACGAAGAAACCCCATGCTGTCATCATCTGATTCACAGCCGTGACTTTCGCACGTTCATGGGTCTTTGCAATTTCTGCTCCAAACACGGGAGATACTCCCGTGATGGTACCAACGGCAAAACCAACGAGGAGTCGACCGATGATGAGCATGGCAACATGAGCGGCGCCGGCCATGATCGCACCGCCAATGACACCCCAGATGCAACCGAAAGCAATGGCTTTGCGACGACCGAGTTTGTCACTGGTGATACCGACTGAGGCACTGCCCAACCAAGCTCCTGCTTGGTACATAGACACAATGGCGCCTCGAAGGGGAGGGTCTGGTTTGCCGAAGTAGGTGAGGAATGAGCTCAGCGCCAAGCTTGGCGTGATGATGCCGGAGTCACTGCCAGTGTGTTAGCATGATAGAGATGACTGATAAGGCTACGGACTTACAATCCATAGAGAAAGCCTCCTATTCCAAGGAATATAGAAGTCAAGAAGGGCTTGCTAAGCCAAGCGTCACTCTTCATTTTTGCAGCCGTTCAGATTTACTCAAAGACAATAATGATTCAATCAGTATCCTCAGCATATTCTTCCCAAAGCGATGCAATGCAACCTCTTTATCTAAACTCGGGGTAAAATTAACCGAAAAACAAGGATGTCGGAGTGTCCCACCAATCTAGGGGAGACAAGAAAACGTGGGACATCTATCCTAGGTGACAAAAAGTCTCAGGTAAACCCAGCAATAAGTTCCATAACCTGTAGACCAGTTTATTTAGACATCTTGTCTCAAATCAGATGTTTTCTTGCCCCCCCCGGATCCACCAATCTCTAGCTCAGTGGAGACCCCGGGTTTAAACATCTCGGCATAACCGGTTGTAGTTTAGAACGCGGGGTTGGGAATAACATGACATCTCGCCTCGAGAAGTTAGAGTCATTAGAGCATCCTTTAATGCCTTTAGTATGAGTCGTTGACGCGGGGGTGCTTATCCAGTCTTTTGGGTCGGCAGTTGAGGGTGGCAGTTGAGGTTGTTTCGGTTGTATGTATGCGTGTTTTCGGCTTCTTTTATTACCGGATGATAGCTGACTGACAAGTGACATACATCTCGCTTCCAGATACAGCTCTTACTTTTACCAAGCTGTCAGCCTGTGAATCTTTCAGTACTGGCAGGGCTCGGTGAAACTCACTGTGAGTACTGACAAAATGGTGGTAAAACTCATCCTCTACGCCGTCGTCGCTCTGGGCCTGACATATCTCGCCCTCATATTCCCAAGGGTAAGCATGATCCACCAATGACAACCGTCCCTTTACCAATACTCACAACTTCAGCTCCAACAAGAATGGAAACTCTACTCCCACCGCTCCCAACTCCCCCCAGGCCCCAAGACCATCAGAACCGGCATCCGCAAGCCATGGCTCTGGTTCCAAGAACTCAGCCAGCAATACGGCGATGTTGTTTATCTCCAACTCGGCCCAACACCAACCATAATACTCGGTTCCGCCCAAGCAGCCTGGGATCTTCTCGAGAAGCGCGGCGCCGTATTCTCCTCCCGTCCACGATTCATCATGGGCGGTGAATTACTCTCCGGCGGTATGAGAGGTCTTATGGCGCCTTATGCTTCGTATTGGAGACGGTGGAGGAAGTTATTGCATAGTGGGTTTATGCAGAGACAGAGTGAGACGTATAGACCGGTTCAGAGTCTTGAGTCCAAGGTTTTGATGTTTGATCTTTTGAAGAGACCTGCTGATTTCAGGATGCATTTGGAGAGGTATGCTGCGTCGGTTATTGTTACTGTTACTTATGGGCGGCGGGTTGAGGATGTGAGGAGCGATATTGTGGTGAGACGCAATGCTGAGGCCATGGAGCGTCTGACTATGGTCAAGTGAGTTTACATCTACTCCATAAACTATCTGACGCTAACAGTGTTGTAGTATTCCCGGAAAGTACGCCGTCGAGCGCTATCCGGCTCTAAAATATCTCCCTAGCTTCCTGGCCCCGTGGAAGAAGGCAGTTATTCAGCAACGTCAGAAAGATATCCAACTCTATACAGAACTCATGGATGAGGTTCGCGAAAAGGTCGCTAAAGGTACTGCACCAACTTGCTTCGCGAAACATCTTCTCGAAGAGCAAGAGAGCTTGGGTATGAATGATCTGGAAATTGCTTATACGGCTGGATCACCTTTCGGCGCTGGTGTTGAGACCGTAAGTCTACTCTTTCGTGACAGAGGACTTTGTGACTGACATTTTGACAGTCCGCGGGGTCACTCGCAAGCTTCCTTCTCGCCTGTGTCAAGTTCGGACCTCAATTCATCCCAAAGGCTCAAGAAGAGCTGGACAGAGTAGTAGGAAGTGCTAGACTACCCACGTTTGATGATCTGCCAAAGCTGGAATACGTCAGAGCTATAGCATCCGAGACTCTTCGATGGAGACCTGTTGCTGTACTAGGAGGTACACCCCATGCTAGCACTGCAGATCACGTCTACAAGGGCATGTTTATTCCCAAGGGAAGTACCATCATCGCACCACTTTGGACCCGTAAGTATCACATTCACTGATTGTTTGATAATGGCTGACATCGTCAGTGCACCTTAACGAAGCCGACTTCCCTGAGCCTCATGAGTTCAGACCAGAGCGCTTCATGGAAAAGCGAGAATATCCCGGTACACTTGGCCACAGTGCTTTTGGCTGGGGCCGACGAATTTGCCCAGGCATGCACCTCGGAGCTGCATCCGTTACGCTTAACATTGCACGCATTCTATGGGGCTTCGAAGTCAACCCTGAGAAGGATGAGAAGGGGCGAGACGTTGATGTTGATATGTAAGTTGAATGAGTGAGCACAAGAAAACGCTGGATGCTAATATTGGACAGCTTCGCTTATTCGGAGGGCTTCAACTCAAGCCCGTTGCCGTTCCCTTGCTCAATTACACCTCGCTCTGTGAAGCATGCTGAGGTTATTGAGAGTGAGCACGGGAATGCCATGGGGGATTTGATGGAGTACACTGCTGTTACGAGCAAGGTGTCCTGATGTAACAAAAGGCAAAGAAGAGTATATGCATAGCAAGAAATAAGAAACGATCGTGATATAACTTTTGCCATTGCACCTCATAATCCCTCTCTCATGAGACCAGTAAACTTGATCATTCACTAACCTGAATGAGCTTCTTCAGCGACTCAACAGCCGCGACCGTATACTCATTCATATCCGTATTCTCCCCCTCAAGCCCATCAAACACCTCCACAGACAACCAACCTTTAAACCCTGTCTTCAGCACAGCATGTAGCATATCATGAACAGGCAAATACCCTCCATCACACGGCAAAGGCCTATAATCATGACTCCACCTCGCTCTAGGTCGACTTCCCTCCTCGTCTTTCTTATCCTCAATAGGAGGATCCATCTTGTACGCATCTGAGATCTGAAGGAGATAAATCTTATCTGCCGGGACAGTGGAAGCTAGTTCTTCAAGACTCTTGTGCCAGCGAGTTTTGCGCTCTTCGTCACTGCTTGCTTCGATTAGACCGTCTTTGGTAGTTGGATCACCCCACTCGAGACCCGCGGTTTGGAACGTATCGAGACACAGACCGATGTTAGGTCTGTTTGCCTTTTGAATGATCTGCCAGACTGTTTTCCAGGTTGGGGCGTGGGTTGCCCAGCACCAGTTTTCGTAGGCAATGCTGAAGCCTTTTTCGGCGAGAAGGTCTGCTAGTTCTGCGAGATCGGAGGCTAAGTCGTCGAATGAGGACGAGATGCCTTCAGAGTCAGATGAACCAACCTGTGATTGATTAGCGGGCTGGTAGCATATTTAATGTGGGCGGATTTACCTGAAGCAATGTGATGCCGGCAGCCTCCATAACCTTGACCCAGCCCTTCGCCTTATCAAAAGCCTGTTTTCTCTTCTCATCATGTTCACCTTTCTTCCATCCCTCAAAATTCGCAAAAGGCTGAAGCATCATAATCTTGAGGCCTAGTTCATCCGTCAACGACTTGATCTGCTTCGCGACATTCGCAAGCGTGTCATAGTCGTCCTCTTTTGGTTGAGATCCACTGACAAGTTTTTCATAGTCAAGGATATCAGGCATAGAAAGCTCAATTCCGTCGAAGCCGGCTTTTCGAATGGCGCCAAGCTTATCGGGAAGGCTGGCCTTGATCTTCATGGGGATGCTGCATGATGCGAACGAGATGGGCATTTGAGACCCTTGATATCGGATCACCATATTAAGAGTATCCAGCAGGTGAAAACAGTGGACAAGTGAGATGTTGTTTTGTCTAGGTTGAGACTGAATGCTCCATTGAAGTCATGGTTAAAAAGGCTTCTGACGATGGTTGACGTCATCTCAACCGTCATCATGGCGTGAAGTTCAGCTGACTCTAATAATGTGGGATGAAATTAAAACATTCCCAGCCTACCTAATATCGCAGATAAAGTTAGGGAAGATGTTCAAACAAGTGACCAGCACCGCGCTCCACGATATCGCTACACTCCAGGAGGAGGTTTGCGTATTGCTTGAGTCTCACAACTTGGAACGGGGATCAGCATATAGAAGCTCTAGAAATATTCATCCATATATTTCAAGCAACCCTGAAAACACGTGGCATCGGGACCCATGACACGTGGGGCGCTGCAAATTATCTTCTCACAGCCCTCGAGGTCCTGGACGGAGTCTTGCGAGTGCAATTAACCTCGCTAGAGCTGTTCGAGACCCTACTTGCCCTGGGTATCAAGCAGGGGCTACCCCGAAGGGCATGCGGGGTATGCCACCCAAACTTTCAGCGTGCCTTGCAGCAATTCCTAACTTATCTTGGCGTGTGTTGAGAGACTTACCATGGGTTCCGAAGAGAACAGCCGCGCTGAGGCGCAAGCTATATCCACCGACTCCTACGGAGAACTAACTTTGCCGTCCTGATCTGGAGGATATGAATAATAACCAAGTGTCCAAAAAGAAAAAGGACACACGAGTACTTCAAACACCCTGCCAACTAACAATTGTTACCTTGCGCTTATCACCAACTTTCTGGCCAATCATCATGGTGCCTTGCTGGTACAGTATCAGCACTAATAAGTCTCAGCTCGGCATGTTCAGGGCTGGCATAATGCACGGGCTTGGTATTTGAGTGATCGTACTACCCCGCTCTTCTCTTTTTTTCATATTTACAATTTCACACGTATCTTTTCTGTCTTTCCAAGTTTCATAATCTGGGTTAACACAACAACATCCTCATCATGTCGCTGCACAAGCCGTTTCTCGATTATCTATATCTATTTATAGTAGTTCTCCATTTGACTGCTATGCTAGGTGAGTTTAATCAGCCTGTGGTGCGCATGGAGGTAACTCATGACTGGACTAGGGGTCGATTTTGTTCCATTCTATCCGCAGTCTCTATGTCAACCTCGTGGCTCGCCATTCCACTTTCTTGTCGCCTATCGTCAGTGGTACATCACAACAATGTCTGATCCTTATTATGACCTTGACATTCCTGGGCACTTCTTCGAATTCCTAGTCTATGTTGAGCTTGTTGTGCAGTTCCCTCTAGCACTATATCTCACCCACGCACTGTTATCCAAACAGCGGATCTCTGGTTCTGGGGAGCTTGCAGCCGTCGTCTACGGTGCAGTGACGGGCCTTTGCACGGCTATAGTTTGCAACGATATGTGGCATCTGGGTCCAGAGGTTATCACTCATGAGGCCAAGCAAACTCTGCTGTTTGGGGCATATCTGCCATATGCCGTAATTCGTAAGCTTCATCATGCGAGCATTATCGAGAAATTACTAATATGTGAGCCAGCGACCTTGATGTCATTGGAAATGCAAAAGCGGCTGCTAGCCCGGCTTCATAGATCGTCTGGAATCAAACAGGAATAGTATTTCTTACAGTCAACTATAAAGGAAGGATTTAGACAGTCAACGAGGTGTCAGGTATTTACTGGAGATATGTATTAGTTGATTTATATTCGCGTTCTCCCACCTATAGGTACTCAGCAGACTAACAACAAGGAGCAACATGGTGGTGTCTAGACTAGCATAAGTCAATTTGCACCATACTCAAAGGGTAGAAACTTCCATGCGTCTCGAGACTCTATTCTTTAGCTTTGGCTAATAGAAATCTATATTACAGCACCATCGTCCATGTTACTGCTCTACTCCGTAGTAATGTTAATACACCTAGCGGCAGGTGTTCTTTGTCCACAAGACGTAAACCTCCATAGTCGCGGCGCAACACATCCCGATACATCTGCAATGCCCACCGAACTTCTTTCGTCTTGCTGCCCGAATTATTTAGATTGGCGCCTAGGGTGGATTTAAGAGTCCACGAAACATCAGCGTCTAAATCTGGGCTAATGTCGACTGGTACAGTCTTCAGCGCCATGTAAGCCTTCAACAAGGCATTACTCGTCAGCTCCCTGTGCTTTGCGTATTCTTTGATGCTGAAGAAATTTTCGAGCTCCTCAGTCGACAGTAGGTTCTTAAATGTTTTAGAGCTGACGGTTCCTGCACTTCCTGCGGCCTTGACAGCTTCATTGATGCGGCTGTCGACACTTGCCAGAGAGTCGAAGTTCTTCTTGTATCGCTTATATCTCTCTTTTTCTGCATCAAAGAATTTTTGAATGATTGAGGTTGGAGACTTCTTTGCAATGCTTTCCCGAATCATCAGAATAGGCAAGAAGGGATTCCGTAGACCAAGTCCTCCCAGGCGTTCAGGTAAATGGACGAATGCATCCGGTACATCTACCCCAAAGCGATATTTTATCATGTGCTTGATGTGACTGACGGCTCCGTGGCTGCTTTGAGATGAATCTGACGCCGCGGGGAATAAGAATTTCTGCATCATCTGGTAAGTCTCGAGGATGCTGTCAACGTGATGCAGACCAAAGCAGTTTGCTGGTTCGCCAAAGGTATGACTAAAAAACCGTCCCATGCAGCTGTTCCATGTCTGCACCCATTCCAGCACACTTATGCATCCATCCAATTGCTTCTTCAGCTGCCTCATATGCCCCTCTACCTCCTTACGGTCGATTTCCCAGATCCCCGACTTGGGGTCAAGAGATAGATGCCCAACTCGGACTGGACCCTCAGGCAAAGCGCTCGCAACGTCGAGATCTCGCTCTTTCCCCCCCTCTGTTATGTACACAGAGCCGGTTTTACCCCTGTTGAAGGTGAGGCCGAGGATTTTGGCATACTTGTTCATAGCAGCCCAAGCCCTTTTGCAGTGCAGTGGTTCGCCACATAGCCATAGGTCGTCGTGGAGTCGGTAAAGTAGCATCCCATCCTGTTGGTTCACCACAACATCCATGACGAAGAGAACAAGCTCGCCAAGGAGCTTCTCTGGCGCGTGAGCCATCGGCACTCCACGACGACGCACTCTTGGACTGCCCGTCATCGGCGAGTCTGGGGAGGATTGCACGTTGAGAGGCGCCTGAAGAACCTTCTTGAAAAACGAAATGGCACCTTCAGTATAGCCAAAGAATCGCATGTTGGCAAAAATAGTTGTATGGGACAAGCCCGTGGCAAACCACTCCAGGTCGGTCTGTATCAATGACACTTCACCCTTCAAGGTTTTCTGTATGGTGGCCTCTGTGGCGAGCGTTCGTAGTAGGCTCTGTTTAATGTTGGGCTTCTTGGAGTTGTCTTGCTCCTCTGTTGGATCGGTATAGCCACCAGCCCCAATCGTCTCAACATCCTCCGGTAGTTGTGACATGAAAAACTCATTTGTGTACTGCCTTTTTCTCTCGCTCGTGAGATTCGAGCTAGTAGTAGCTCCACTGGACAAGTAATACATGCGGCGCTGCTTCTCATCACGGCTAGGATCTGGCCCGGTGTGCCACCTCCAGAAGCTATCCTCGGAGTAAATGAAGCTGTTGAGAGCCTTTTTGAGAGCAACGCAACACTGAATCCCAATGTAGTGGATGAGAATTGCTTGCAACACATCCTCGTCCATCCATATTCTGTATTTACCGTTCAACTGCTGCCTCGGAAGAACAGGGACTAGTGCAATGGAGTTAGTTGTTTCTTCCGCAGCTAGAAGAGAACAATTCTGGAGGACTTACTGCCTTGTTCACCAGCATCCCATTCCCAGCTGTTAATATTGGAGAAACGCATATTGAGGACATCGGCGATCTCTCCCAAAACAACCGGTTTCTCAAGAAAGTCTCGAAGAATGGCCTGTTTCTGGTCGCTGAGCAAATCCTCAGCGAGTAGCCCATTGATACACCACGTGAGTGTCGTGGAATCAAATGGCGCCTTTTCGCCAAAGATTTGTTGGCAAGAGTCACCGATTGACTCTCTCAGAGCCTTGAGTGACTTGGCACCCTCTTCACCTTGTTCACCTTGGAACAGCTCGTTGAGGTAGAGATCAATCTCAACTTCATCGGTTTCCAGCGGCTCAAAGACTACTCGCTCAAACTTGTCGCACAGCTGCTGCAGCCTCTCCTTTTGTTGATCCAGAACCTCGTAAGATTCTTCCTCCGAGGCCGGACGGTCGCTGAGAGAGGCAGTCATCCATTCCGTGATGAGCCGAGCGTAGAGGTGGCCCAGTGCTAGTTTCCGACTTGGTACCTCTAGGTGCGACCGAAGTAGTTCTTCATGGGCCTGCATGAACTCGCTTGGAACAGAAACATCATATTTTGACTGACTGAGCCAGTGCTTGATGTTCTTGACTGCAGGGCTTTGGAAAGCCTCAGCGTTGAGATTCTCAACTCCTTCTAGGAGAAGGTTGATTCTTGCAGTTCGATCATCTTCTTGATTGGCCTGTTCCAAGACTTTATCCTTTCGTGATTCGTAAATAGTGCGCTGCTTTTCAAGTTCACTGATCTTAGTGTGGGTGATTCCTCCAAGGGTTTGCGAAAGTGCAAAAAAGGACGATGCCATCTTCGCTAGTTTCTGATGTGCTGTGGTCTGTGGGAAAATGAAAAGGGTTCACTTAGAAGACACTCAGTTCAAGTTGGGAAAGGTTCGGGTAATAAACAGAAAGATAGGAAATGCATCTCGTGGGTTCTGCGGCTGTATAATAAGTTACTAGAACAGAAAGCGGTGTGAAGCTGGATCAGGCAACAACGCTAAGCATAGGCAATTGGTCGGGCGTATATCTTGATGTGGAGTGAACACATGCACCGAGACCCATCACCTTTTTGCTGATATACGTGAAAAAGTGAACTATTCACGACCAACACATACATTGTTGCGGGGTCCAGATCCTTCATCTGACACGGTGTGAAAAGTTGGGTCAGACGCTAGAAATGTGCACATAGTCAGGAAAGTAAGTGACGGTCGAATAATGAGGGGAAATAAATAGCCTCCTGATTGATATTCTAGGTGCGGATGTATTCTAGTATCTTCTCGAGAGCAATGCGATCACCTTCCATTGTCCCGGCAAGGATTTTGGGCACCTATCCCTCCGTGTATCCACCACTAAAATTAATAAGCCAAGTATCCTATATTAATTAGGACATTGTCCGGTTTGGCATCTCCCTAAACGATTCTAGCATCATGTAGTTGGCCAATAGCTTCCTGAATTTGTGCAGCCTATCTCTCCCTTAGTAAAACTTCGGTTCCCGGCTCTACTATATATAATAGTGTTATATGCCTGTAGTTAATATAGGTAAGTAAAAGACCCAAAGTAACACCATCATTATTCTGCACTAGGCCATAAAGGCATAAAATCCTTATCTTATTATTAAGTTGGGCTCTGTTAATCTTCCTATATATATCTAGTTTATTTATAAGGGGCTGCTTATTGCTATGGCGTATGAGCTTAAGGAATGTAATTATCTTGTCGTTTAATAGGACTTTGCGCGGCGTATTAGAAGGCAGGCTAACCATATTCTTATAAAAAATCCGTACTTCAGATGGATCAAAGGACTTCCATGACGCACAGAGTTCATCAGGAACAGAAATACTGAATAGATATTGGTGTTAGGTGTCTCTATCTAGCTGTGGTATATGCTTATCGGAGACCGTTTGAAAGATATAGACGAAAGTTTCAGGGTTGAAAAATCTATCCAAGGTCTGTAGTACTGCCTAGTCTAGAGTGGGCAGCTTCCGGAAAATAGGGAGTAGAGGGTAAATAATCTAATCCTAGAAGTCCTCGATAGTAACCCTAACCCTAGGCACACCGTCTGCAATGTCGACTAACAGTCCAATTCTGATATTGAAAAGGCTAAAGATTATATGGGTCGCGACGCTGGCTGCACTCGATGTGCCATATCCATCAGAAAGAACAGCAATCACGACGTTGTGATGCCCCATTCGACCTAAAATGTACTCATTGGGGTCACTTCTTGGAAATAAAAGTCGACAAAGGGTGTTTTTCATCCAGAAACGTCTGTGCAGCAACATACTCAGTCTCAAGGGCGCAGATCCAGCCTACGGTATAGTCCAATGGATCAACCATTATAAGCTTGCCAGAGAAAAGTTGATTACATAGGATGAACAAATATATCAAAAAATAATTTCATATACAAAGCTGATCGGTTTTTAAGATCTTAAAATGTTTTCAATACCGAGAAAGTCGAATTCCAGCAATTTGTCTCGTTGCTGTTTCACATGGCCTGGGTCTAGCTGTATGGTTGGTTTATCTGGCATCGTTGTTGAGCGCCAGCAAGTCGCCCCCCCATGCAAGACCAGTTTCGGGCGCTTAAAACCACTAAGATAGATATTTGGCATATTTTCATCTAATAAGAAAGCTTACGGTCGCCTTGAAAAGACTGAGTTAGAAGATACAGCCCGGCGAACATGTTGGGCGGCTAAAAGCGAATCAGGAACTTGAGCGATTGAGCCTGATGTTTCAAGGAGGAGAACTTGATTGTGCTAGATTGAACTCGACGGTTCTGGCCAGTATTCATCTATAAACTTCCACGTGCCATTCTGGCCACATTATATGCCACGTCGCCCTCATAGAAACACACGAAGTAATAGTTTCTGGTACTTCTTATGACATCAGTAGACCTCCCTAGTACCATTGTCAATTCGAGACTTTTGTTATAATATGCCCCTGAGATGGCAGAACGGCCTGCAGTGACTCGTTGCCTCCATTGGGCCATGGTCTTCTCCAAACCTTCAGAGTCCCATGCCAAATCACCCTCTCGTGCTTCCACAAGTTTCGCCGTAGCATAACAAGAGTCTTCTCTCTTCTCTACCCCAAGCAAGATATAAAACTCTGGATCTGGATTCCTGTCGGCTCTTGTAATCAATATTGCCGCCACCCCAATATTGTCAGCGTCAGTTGTCAACGTGATAGCACTCAATAGCGATCGCGGGCTGATATCGCTCCCGTATAGATCGTGGAAGTCCCATCGGCCCTGAAGACACGGCGAGTCGAAGATGGGGATGAACGTGACCGTGTTGTCATCGCTGCCGTCCGTTGAGCTTTTCATCTTTCTGGACCCCCCACCGGGTGTGAATCTATTCATCACAAGAGATTCACCGGCCCTCGATGAATGCATGGGTCTAGAAGGATATGAAAGTCTATCCATCACAATAAGAGACTCTGTTTTGAAGCTTGCCGCATATTCCCTCGATATAGTCATGGGCCGAGGAGGGTAAGACAACCGTGTGACATAGAGAAAGTCGCCTACCCTACGGCCCATAACCGAAAGACATGCTACCTCTAGATGCTTGAGAGTAGCGCTTGCTGCTGGTGCCGCTTGTAGCATGACGAACCAAGAGCTGGCTGTGATATGTGAAGCCCCGAAAGCTGTTATGACAGGTAGCCGAATGGACAGGCCAGCATTGGTCATTGAAAAGACAGATATCCCGTCGCTGTTGAGTTGTTCGTATTCCCCAGAGCCTTTATACACGGTCGGCCACGGCGCAAGAAAACTTGCCCAGTCTTTCGGGACGTCATCGTTCCACTCCCAGCAGAAGATGGTATGATCGTTGCAAGTCCTGATGATCTCTTCCTGGAGACGGAGGAAGGCCCTCTTTTTTTCTCCATAGACAAGAGGCATGTTGATGTCGAATATGCCAAGCATGCAATAAGCCATGTCTTCAGGCTTCGTTGTTTTTCTGTTCGCCAGCCACGACATCCGCTTCGAAACGGAGACCCTGGATATGTTCCTCTTGCCGCTGAGATATATGGTATCAATATTTGTGATCGATGCGATTAAATCAGCCAAAGATCCTTCCTTTTTGCCTATCCTTGACCAATCAGCCGCATAGAACACCAGATGACGCGGTGCTATCAGTTCCTGGAGTGTCCAGCCGCGAGTAAACCAATGGCTGGCTCGAATTTGCAAAAACAACAGTTCTCTATCCTTACTGGATGTAGGAACATCAGCTAGGTAAGCAAAGCAGACTTCTGACTTCTGATAGTATGCAAACATCGAGTTTATCTCTTCCGTCAGCTCTGCCGAGCTGGTCTTGTCGATACAGTTTGTATCAACCCAGAGCCATTCGAGATTCTGACTCAGAGATTGGCTGCACGCATTATTAATCTTCGAAAATCCTTGCTTTGAGGCTGCGAGGTGGCGATCCTGCCAATCTTGGAAGGTAACTTCTTCGGCACCCCAGACATGTGACAGAATCGCATATGGAGGTACGTTCTCGCCGGAGAACTCGTGAAGCTCCAGCGTTCTCGTGTTAATTAGACGCATCGAAATTGAAAATGACGAGATTCGACGCAGGATGCGATGCGCTGCGCCGCTGCTATGGCAGATGTTCAGGATTTGCGAGGCTAGGCTTGATATATAATGAGAAGCGGGGTAACGTAAGCACATCTGAGTATGCCTAGCGAAGTACTCCTGCAAACTTGATTTGCTGGTGGTGTAATTCCTGTCGCAGCCTAGGTTGAGTCAACTCAGCTCACATGCACCATGGCACAGCCGCCTGGGAGGCATCCATTCTTGAAAATCACTTATGCGGGGTCCGAGCTTCCCAGAAGTTCATGCCTCATGAAATCTTCTCAGCATTTAGCCCAGCGCCACCTAACGATAACAAGCTTCGCTACCTAAAAGTTCCAATCAACATATCAAGCGTCACAGTTGCGTAGGGAAGTTGAAGTAAGCCTCGTAGTCTCCTGCTGCTGGTATCAGGAGCTAAATTTAGCTCTACCTAAGTTATACCAGACCCCACTACGGAATTCAATCACGTGCCGCCTGCTTAATTCCGATCATGTTAGTAACTTCTGATTCGTTATCTCAACCTCCTTCTTCCACTTCTCATGATGCGTAAATACATGAGCAAGCGGCAAAGACCCTGCGACTTCTGCCGTTCTCGTAAAACAGCTTGTCGGATTGAGTCTTCCCCACCATGTCGGTTATGTCAGCAATACGGGAGAGAATGCACTTTTGTAGAGGCCGCCCGACCTCGCAAGAGGCAGCAAACGACCGAGACCAGCCCTGGACATCATGATGCGAACGATGTAGACGGGCCATCTAAGGAAGTCATTGAAGAGCCCCTTACATCATTTGAGCAGGATATGGTTTCACCGACAGGAACTGGCACCTTTCCGGATATCAATATAGACTTCCTTCAAGATCTCGACATAGACGGTCCTGAATATCAGTTTATGTTCCAAACACCTGATAACGACCCTCCATCTACCGCGGCTGAATCAACAGATGGCTCATACAGCAAGATCTACCCGCTTTTGGATGGACACGAAAATCTTCATCCAGAAACGCTTGGACTCAGTGGAGATATGGATCCCTATCTCCTCCAACGATATCAATCAGATGAGCATGGCACATTCAAGTTCAAACAGCTCGCGATACGATCAGTGAACAACAACCCACCTGTTCAGTTCCTAATTTCACAGCCATCGCTGTTTGCTCAAAGTCGAAAAGAGGCTGGACATACTGGCGCGTCAATATCATCGCAAAGAGCGGAGCTTGAGAGGGCCGTCTCTCAAAACATGGGCAAGAGGTTGATAAGTCTTTACAACAGATTCATCCCACCACATTACCCAATATTCTCAACAGAGTCCCCTCCTGATCCGGCAACGAGTGCACCTTGTTTGCTGGCAGCTATCTACTCAATTGCACTCCCCTTCGCCATGTACGACGACCAACTCTGCATCGATATGGCTTACGACTCACCTGACGCAGAAGATCTGGCTGTCCTCATTAATACTGCAGTTGATTTCGACATCCACTCTCCCAACATGGCCACCGTTCAAACGCTCTTCTTGCTCATCGCCCGACCATCATCAAACCCATTAGTGTCAGATGCATCATATCGATGGACAACAATGGGGACGCTAGTATCAGTAGCTACAAACATTGGACTTCATCTTGATCCCTCACTGTGGAATATCCCGTCGGCCCAAATAGCTGCGAGACGTAGACTGTCGGTTTTCATATACGCGCTTGATAAGTGGCTAGCAGCTGCTTTGGGAAGGCCACCTCATATCAATCGCGAGAATTGGCTGGTGGATGAGCTGTCGACTCAAGACGAGCATGCTTCTGGACTTGGTCCATCGCAGTGGGCTGATATAATGGATTTCTCAGCCCTAACATCTTCCCTAGCCTCCACTCTCGATCGTCTTTAGTAAGTAGATTTCTGTCACCCAGCGCTGTTTATTGAAACTGACCTCCTTTTTGCTCTCTTCGATCATCAAGTCTTATTCAGCGGCCAGAAGAGATGCAAGCAACCGTTCTTGAGCTCTCCAAGACTTTGGAATATAGAAAGACCGACGGAGCAAGGTCAGCAGACCCTAGCAATGACAAATCAATGCCTGGATTGTCTATCAAGCTCGGCTACTATTACACACAACTACTAATACTGCGCGCTGCCGTGCACGCCCAAAATTCTCACCCCTCAGCATCGAACACTTCGGATCAATGGTCCCCACGCAAGAGCCTGAAGACAGTTCTGGAACAATATTCCGACTTCCTCAAAAGCCTCAAGAGCGACGAAACAGCAGAACACTGGCCACCTTGGTGCCAAAGCGCATTCTCGTCACTCTGTTTCGCCATGTTGTTCATGCTTGTCTCGGCCGCTACCTATGAAGAAGCACTCTCATGGATGAAGCTACTTCAAGCAACACGGAGGCAAATGCGTCTCAAAGCCAATGCCTTCGTAATCATTCGATTGGGTCTACTGAGAATGGATGCCATATTCTGGCGAGGAGTCGATCAGGTTCTCAAATTGGAACCGCACGTGAAACTTGCGTTGGATGCGTCAAAGCAGGGAACATAAATTACACATCTATATAATTCTGCTTACAATAATGACCTTGTGGGAAGGGTGCTGAGAATATCCTCGATGCTCTTGACAGCATCCAACGCCATACCATAGCCAGCTTGAAAGCCTGTACCACCAGCACCATAATTATGCACAATCACACGTCTTTCTCCATCGACGGGGATCTCATCACGCTCAATTCTTGCGCCACCTTCGCGAGATGGGCGCATGCCCGCGAATGCAGCCAAGACTTCAGGTTCCCTCTGCTGCAGCTCTGTGCTTAGTTCCGTTGTCCTTTGGAGGATGGACTCGCTCTCCGACGAATAAGTGGCGCTATCACTGCCATTTTGTCAGTTTTTCGTCTAAACTTTAGAATCAAGGATCTTACTCATTGCCCTTTTGCATGTATCCTCCCAAAATTACATTGCCATTTGATCCAGGTCTCGGGATGACATACGTCTCATAATCCTTGCCGTGACGCATAACATTTGTGCTGACATGAGATGCCCTCACGAGCAGAACCTGACCTCGAGTTGGATAGCACTTCTCGTCTTGTACGCCTGCAAGTGTCTTTGCTGCGTTGCCTGTGCAATTGAAGACAACTTTCGTGGCCGGATTGTTGTACGCCTCATAGATACTGCCGAGCTTTCGGCGGATGAACCGCACACCAAAGTCTTCTCTCAGTCTTTTGTACAGATACAGGCAGTGAGCGGGCGCGTTAACGGTCAACGTGGTGAACGCGCATCCGAACTTGACGCCTTCAGGAAGTTCTTGAGCAGACAGAGCTTGGAACTACAAATCGTTAGTATTTATAGCAGCAGCCGAAGTCTGCCAACTTGGTATCGACTCACATCATCAAGATAATCAGCCATAGCCTTGATCTTGTCATGCGGCACATTATCATCCCAGAACTCAATTGACGGCGTCCTTTTCACGAAGGACTTGTCAGAATCTTCTGCAGCGAGTTTCTTGAGGTGTGCATAGCCGTGGCGATCCCATTTGATCGCATTGGCATCGGTGCCAGAAATGGCGGAAAAGTTGCAGCCAGCCCTGGGCTTGTTAGAGTGCTTCAGCATGACAAGAATGGAGGCTCACCATGGTGAGGTGTATGATGGTGAAGTGTCGCCGGGAAGGTACTCGGCTATCACCGTGATATTCTTTCCATAGCCTTGTTGAGACAGAACTAGAGCGACATCGAGGCCAATGATTCCCGCCCTTGAATCCTTGTCAGTGAAGGTTCAGATTATGAGTAGGCAACTTACCCGACGATGACAATGCTATCAGACGCCATTCTTGATCTTCAGGTATGCAATTAATAGATAATACTCGATGGAACTCCTGATTAGATAGAAGACTTTACTTCTGTATGGAGGAGACTTGAGATTTATCTTCCGTCGCTCGATCTTTTCACGCTGCCGACTAACAGCCGCGGACATGTCCGATTTCGCCTAGTCTCGGCCAACCCTTGTCCATCTCCATCGGCGTCGCATATGATTGGTGGCGTTTGCAGAGTTGACCGCGGGAAACATCCCCACGGAAAGATTATTGAACTTTGAGACACGAATCGTACGATGACTCGTCAATTTAACGGTCGGTATCGGGGGGTAGAAATATCGAACATCGAGAAAAGCAAGAGCGATATCCAATGCGAGTGAGTCATTTGTCTTGTTCTATACAACCGCCATTTTCTCACCGTAACGCCTTCACGCTGTAGGGTAGTTCTCGATCAACGAAACAGTCATTCATTGGAAGCACCATCCTGTTCTGCGAAAAAGCCAGTAAAGCAGTCTGTAGTATCAGTCTATAATATCAACTACTAATTTTCGATTTATATACTAAACTCATGTACATATCTTAGCAACTCAGTCGTATCCTCAATGAACTCGAAACTCTTAGCCAATCCCCTCTCCGGATGATTATAATGCGCAAAAGCATGAGGACAACCACTATAACGCTTCATAGTGACCTCATTCCCTCCATCCTTCAACAACTTCCCATAATACTCCCCCTCATCTCGCTCCAGATCGAATTCTGCAGTAACGATGTGCGCCCGAGGAAGGTTTTTGAAGTTTGAAGCGATGACAGGTGTGAGAATCCACTCGTTGTTCAGCTTTTCCTCAAGCTCGTCTATCAAGTTATGTTAGTATGACTTTGTCTTTGAGATAACATAATTGTGCTTACCAGCATCCTCGCCAACAAAATATTTCAAGAACCATTGTTCTCGCCCAAGAGGTCCCCAGGGTACGTCCTTGAGCTGCAAAACACTCTCATAAGGACAATTCTCTGCTGTGAGTTGTTTTATCTTGGAGTTGCAGTATCGCATGTCTGTGGCCGGGACAATCATGAGCTGCAACTTGATGTCGATGCCCTCATCACGAGCAAGGTGGCCCAGAACAGCAGTCATGTGACCACCGGCTGAAAGACCACCAAATGAAACGCTTTTCGGGTTGACGTTAAGCTCAGTCGCGTTGTCTATGGTCTACACACAGTTAGAAAAGTATCCCTTATGGAAAGCTCGACCTTACCCATTTCACAGCATCCCAGCAGTCGTAAATAGCAGTTGGATACCTACATTCAGGACCCATGCGATAGTCAACGTCAATGACTTTGATAGCCGCCTTGTTGCATATTTGTCGACACCACGCCGCTTCCGATTGAAGACCGCCCAGTACCCAACCTCCACCGTGGAAGTTGATATGAACAGGAAACGGCCCGGGGCCTTCTGGAGTGTAGACTCTGATCGTGATCAGGCCTTCTGGCGCTGTCACAGGGATTTGTCTATCCTCAACATGAAAGACTTCGGGGCCTTTCCATGTTGGATATGTGAAGCTGTACTTTGCTGGATTGAGACGGTATTCTTCAATGCTGACCTCATCAGCTCGAATCATGGAACTTCCATGAGTGTTCCATAGTTTTCGCCATTCCGGATCCAGGTCAGGGTATTCATCTGGTCCTATTTCTAAACGCTTGAGGCTCGGGAATGAAGCTGTGACCTCTTCGGTTGCTGTCGTAGTATAAGACATGGCGAGAATAACAAAGATAATAGTAAAAAATTAATAAGCTTCACTAGATAAATCTCATTAAAATACTATTCCTGAACAGCATCTTATTTTATCTCCCATCTAAACCGCCTTTAACATCGGCGTCACTCCTGATTGGCGGCGTTCTCAACGCCGATCAACCACGCTATCTCTCCTGATAGCGCCAGATAGGCCGTCAAACGCCGCCTATCAGAACCCACAGCGATGACCCCGCGTTATCTCTCAGCAGGGTTCCCAGCAGAATGGGTCTGCCGGTCCGGGGTAATTTCTCCAACTCATGATGTTTATATACAGGGCGTTGCATCCCGAGAAATGAAGAACCCACCATCGTTCGAGAGCCGAATCATCTATTTATTACCTCGAGTGAATTGGAGAATATGACGACTGAAGTGAACATGGAGAAGAAGATTGAGAGCAATCCTTGTGATGCTAAGAGCATTGCGGGACGTGAGGAGCAGTGGCACGGTTTGCGGAGGGTTCCTGATAAGCTACCCAAGATTGCGCTGCTGATCTTGGCCGTCGAGGTAAGAACCTAGTGCTTCCGAGTATTCGAGATACGGGTAGTTGGACTGACTAACGACATGTAGCTTGGTGAGCGATTTACCTACTTTGGTCTCTCTGGACCGATCCAGAATTACATCAAGTTTGTCACTGTCATGATACTTTACACCTCTTGCGATACTGACAGTACTCAGCAACCCATATGATCCTAGCTCCGATCTGCCAGGTGCCCTTGGAAAAGGTCAGGCTGTTGCTACGGCCCTCGGAAACTTCTTCAAGTTCTGGGCCTACGCTTCGACAGTCATTGGTGCCATCGTCGCTGGTAAGTCCATAACTCAACCTTGCTCAATCGCTTATGTCTAAGTGATAAACTCCAGACCAATATCTTGGCAAGTTCCGAGCCATCTGCTGCGCCTGCGTCATCTATGTCATCGGCCTCGTCATCCTCGTCTCGACTTCAACACCTACAGCCCTTCTTAACAATGCCGGCCTTGGAGGCCTCATCGCTGCCATGGTCACAATTGGTCTGGGAACTGGTGGTATCAAGGCCAATGTTACGCCTATGTGTGCTGAGCAGTATCAGCATTCGCAGCCGGTTCTCAAGACTCTCAAGTCAGGAGAGGAGGTCATTGTTGACCCAGAACTCACCGTGCAAAGGCTCTTCATGTGGTAAGACACGTTTACTCAGTCTGGAATATGCACCCGCTAATCAACGTCAAGGTTTTACTGGGTCGTCAACATTGGAGCCCTGTCACCGCTCATCACAGTCAATGTTGAAGCCCACCATTCTTTCTGGCTGGCGTACTTGGTCCCATTAATGTGAGTCCAATCTCCCTCACCTGAATTACACATCGACAGCTGCTAACCATTTTAAACAGTGCCATCCTCATATCCGCCGCTGTGTTCATCTCCGGTCGAAACAAGTACATCCGCGTTCCTCCAGTTGGCTCAGCCATTCTCGATGCGTGCCGCACTACCAGTATCGCCATCAAGGAGAAGGGCTTCCCCAATGCACGACCATCAGTCCTTAGAGCTTCAGGCCACAACGACAAATACCCACTGGCCAGTCAAGAGAGATATACTGATGAGTATGTTGGAGATGTCCAACGGGGACTCAAGAGCTGCAAGGTAAGTGACTCGTCTCATGACTTTCAAGATGAGGACTTACAATGGCGTCTAGATGTTCCTGTTCTTCCCGTTCTACTTCATCTGTTGGAACCAGATGTGGAATAACCTCATCTCCCAAGCCGGGACCATGGCTCTCCACGGAACACCCAATGATCTTCTCCAGAACCTCGATCCCATTGCACTTTGCTTCTTCATTCCCTTCCTCGACTGTAAGTAATCTACTAGAACATCCTAGCCTACCATTTCCTAACATTAGGTGCTTCAGTGATTGTATATCCCCTTCTGCGAAAGTACAGAATCGACTTTGACCCTGTAACCCGCATCTTCATGGGTTTCATGTTCGCCTCCATCTCAATGGCCTACGCCTGCGTCCTTCAGCATTATATCTACAAGTCACCACCAAACAGTATTCACGTTTGGATTCAAGCGCCATCTTATATCCTCGTGGCCTTGTCTGAAGCCTTTGTTATCATCACAGGTCTCGAGCTCGCCTTCACACAGGCTCCCAAGAAGTACGCATCCGCACGATGATACCTTAGTCAATATACTGATTATGATTTATTAGTCTTCGATCTGTCATCTCAGCTCTGTTCTGGCTGACCATCGCCGTTGCTGCTGCGATCTGCATTGCCCTCGGCGCAGTTTCTCAGGACCCATATCTCGTGTGGATGTATGGAGCTGTAGGTATTTCAGGGTTTATTGCTGGTTGCGCGTTTTACGCTTGCTTCTATAAAGGGCGGAAACAACATCTTTCCCGAGATGAGATCGTCATCGAAGGCAGTTTAGGAAACTAAAACCTGGAAGAATCTACATAACAAATACCTCGTACAATATAGATCGACATTTTTGTTTATAGATCCAATCGGAAGAGTAGCGGACCGTCGGAGATGCGAATATGACCTGACTTTATGACCTGGAAAAGACCCAAAGTTCCGTCAAGTCAGCAAGGAATCACAAGAGGATCATCGGAGCTGATAAAATTAGTCTGTCTCCGCCTCTGCAGATAATTCTGGAATGAATGTCAACCCATTGTCGGCTTGGGTCTGTCAGAAAATCTCCACTCTTTATGAGAATCTGGTTTTACAAAGTGAAAGCGGATTCCAGCGTCAGATGTATTCTGACACTTCCGGGGCCACTTTCCATATGTGCCTGTAGATCACGATACAGGGATCGAAATCCTTGCTCCCGCTCCCGTGAATCTCACGTTATATGACGCGTGCCAAGGGACCCATCAGTGAGACTTCACGAAGCTGAACGAATGGCAAGGGACTTGTTCCTAGCTGAGCCTCGCTTCGATCCACTAAACGCACCAGAAATTACCTAAAAAGTACCTTGTAGATCTAGGCTTCCGCTGCATGTTCTCCGTATACCTTACGGAACGAGAATGAATGTTGCATCGATCGTGATGTCATGAATGAATCTATGGACCAGCTTCTGACAGTGGGGAAGGAATCGAGATGCTCGCTATCACTATAAATGTCGTCTTTGGTCCTCCAAGCATCCAGATCCATCAATAATCACAAATAAATCTTCTCTCAAACCATCATTTACATCTAACGACACTCAAACAAATTCGTCACCATGCACTCAGCCTGGGTAAGCATTCCCTAAATCCCAGCCCTTCCCTCAGCTAATAATCATAGACTCTTGTTACCCTTCTCCTCGCCTCCTCCGCTCCAGCTGTCTTGGGCGGCAAGTGTAACGCTCCACGCGAAGCGGGCGAGAACAACAACTGCTTGGGGGGTTCCTACAATGATTGTGTAGCGAGGAACAACCAGCTGTGCACCGGCGAATGCTTTGGCCAGCCCGCCGGAGGAGCTGGCGCCCCATGCTACACTGGATGCACTACTAGGAACCAGCAGTACTGCGCTGGCTACTGCATGAAGATCAGCAACTGTGATGACTGCATTGAGAGTCTCAAGCAAATGGGTGCTGCGGGATCCGATGAGCAACACAAGGAGACTTGTAGCCAGGAAGGTAAGAGATGCCCGAGAATCTGTGAAGAGTTTCTGTTTACTAACGTAGCTGTAGGTGACTCGTACTACTGCAACTGTGACTCTTAGTAGTCAGCGCGAAATTCTAGTAGATTGACGTTCACAGCATATCCAGGCAAGGGATACTTACATGCTGTTGTTAACTAGATTTAGAGTCTACAAGAGAGATATCAAGCCCTCCTTCTCACTGCTCTCTAATTTGAACTTAATATGCTACTTGGCCGATTGCTGGCCGTAAGATTAAAGTTTAGGGTGGAAGATAACATGAAGGTCCGTGAATGGTGAAGAGATGCATTCCTATGCTAACTAAGTTCATTGTGCTGAATATATGCTGTCGGCTACATGTCTCAACGGCAAATAGCATATCTAGTCCACAATTTAGACATTATGTCACAATGAATAACCAATTGCTATTGCATATATGATAATAGAAACTTTTGTCATGATACTCTATCAATCAGAGCCGTCGTCCGGCTTAAAATGTCTGCGCACGCTGAATATTATTCCTAAAGCTAAGCTGCCCCTCAGTAATTTCACAAGTAGAAGTCTTTTGGGAATAGAATATTCTTCGACTCCTCACCCCCCTGTGACCTCCATCACCTTGATCAGACTTGACCGACCGTCCAGCAAAAACGCCGACGAAATGACCCGTTGGTCCTCCTTACCTACCGAGATCCGCTGTATGATCTTGGAGACCCTGACAGCACACAAATCCATCGCACCGTACGCCTCGGTTTCAACGGAATGGCGAGACTTTATTGAAAAAAAGACCTTTGCTCATCTTAGACTTCATCCCTTATGCCTCGACCACCTCGAGCAGCTCGACGATCACTACAGGGGGAGAATCGAGCATCTATGGCTCAATATAGAGCTCAACCGATATACTTGTCGATCGTGCCGAAAGAGAGAGTCGCTTACATTGTCGTATTCCATTGCAAAGATCCTAAACGAAGCCATCACCAGGCTATTCTCCATCCTGACGACGTGGAGAGAGCCTTTGACTCTGGAACTTAATGCTTACTGCCCAAGCGATTCGGAACACTGGTTCAAAAACAGTTACTTCGGAGCTCCTGGTGAAGACAAATTCGAGTGTCAACCGCATAGCGCAGATCCTATTCACGATCCAGAGCACGGGTGGTATAGGGGCCGTGTAACTAAAGCGCCACCAGACGACGCTCTACGACGTCCTTTTGGACAGGTATCTGAGCTCAAATTTCGACAGAGCCTCCCTTCAGTCCATGCCGTGATTAAATTCGTTGTACGTCGGCAGTGCCGTCAGCAATTCAATCCTGAAACCTTACAATACCTCTGGTCAAAGCTTCCAAACTTAAAAGAGATCAGCTATGAACCGTGGCAATCACACTTGAACATAGCACAGCGAGTTTCAGATATAGGCAAGAAGTAAAATAAAAGTAAATGATGGTATAGTGCTGACAGAATAAATAATAGGTTTTCTAAATACGATCCACAGCCTCCCGGAAAGCGTTAAAAAAGTCACCATATTCGAAGATTTCAATGAGAATTTCCTGGAATTGTTTGCTCTTGGTAGAGGTTTGCTCTCAAACCTAAATCCAGAACGAGTCAGGCTTCCCTATCATTTCCTCGGCACCGTATTTGCCGCGCGAAGCCGGCAGCTCGAGCATCTTTCCGTCGCTTTCATAATCGATGCCCGCCATTTCTTCGATGCGTCTCAACCAAATTGGAGATGGCCTCAGCTACAAACTCTCACACTGACAGCCCGAGCAATCGCCAAGGCCAACGCCCGTCAGGTCAACAAGCTACTTCAAACCGCTGCACAAGTCGCACTCAACATGCCTGAGCTTCAGACACTGACCATGTGGCACGGAGAAAGAAGAGAAGCTTGTGCTTTTACCTATCGCCGAAAGCATGGTTCGATATACTGGCAAGGTACACGAGATGTGAGGCTGGAGTCTGAGACTCTCGAGGCATGGGAGAAGGTAGCCGTAAAATACGCTGGGAGAGTGCTCACAGTTGACAGAAACCTGTTCATGGAGGATATCACGTCTCATGGGGACGCGGTTCACCATTTGGGTCTGCATCATGTTGTTGACAGGGTATCTCTACAGCAAATACGAGCTGAGAATAGAGTCTCTTGGCTTTGAGTACGTAACAGAGGTGACTTTATGGAGAGAAATTGCGGCTATAGCGACTCTTCAAGACGAACCAGACGATCTTACTATCTGGTTCGCAGAGGGGAGTGAGTCCACCTCAGGAAGCCCATCGGAAAGCCTTACAACAAGGAATGTACACTTTTACCAAGGGAGTTTCTATATTCACATATGAAGTCTCACTCTTTGTCAGCTACATGCGTATCCTGCCAAGAAAGATAATTAATTCTTGGTTGCGGGCCAAAAGGCGGTCTGCGAAACGAAACATGGAAGAGAAACCTTCAGACCTTTAGCCTTAGTGATGAAAATAACTAACCTAAAAGCCTCCTTAGTCTATACTGAACTTAGCTAAATCTTTCTCTCACTTAGAATAGAGATCTGAGCTTTGCTTCCTAAGATAACGAAAAATCTGAATGTGTGAGTTTCATAGAAGTTGAGGAGGCTGAAAATAAATGGGTTGACGATGGCAAGTCAGTGACAACTCTGGGAAAATTCAATAGAAAGGGTTTGACGCTTTTGCTGCCTCTGAATGGTAAACTAATGAAGGAACGGGCCATAGCTTGACCTATTGTATCCCATTTGATCTTGGCAGGCAGGTGAGATGTTAGTCAGCTCTGAATAATATCTCGCTTCAGACAATGCCTGGCCTGATTCTAGATATCACCAACATAAAGTTTGCCGACCCTCCCAGCCCAAGCACCCCGGAAATCTCGTATGAGTGCTAGTACCAGCCTATTGTCATGTTTTCCTACAATAGCACAGGAGGCGTGCTCGGCCCAGCGCAAATCCGTCTCCTCCATCTACTTCCAGCACCGGAGAATAACGACTCAATTGAGTGTCGTCTCGAGGTTGTCGCACTCGAAGAAAACCCGATGTATGAAGCTCTTTCGTATTGCTGGGGCGACAGCTCTCAGCTTCAGGAAATAAAATGCAACAATGAAGCATTCCAAGTCACCGAAAATCTTCTCAGTGCACTCCATCACTTGAGGAATGAGCATTCCGAGCGAACGCTATGGATCGATGCCATTTGCATCAATCAGAAAGACCTGGAGGAGCGCCAATCCCAGGTTAAACTTATGAAAGACATCTACACCAAATCCCAGAGGGTGGTCATCTGGCTGGGTCCCGATCCAGCCTCTGATGGAATCAACCACCTGTTCGAACTGATACCAACGACTGAAAATCTTGCACTGCCTCATATTAGCAAAAGTGGACGAGAATTCTTCGAGAAGCATGTAATCCCAGCTGGTGGCTGGTATCAAGCCGAGGACAAAGCTTCCTCCGAAGCCCTGGCTAAGAATGATTTTGTTGTACCCGACCCAGCCAAAAAAGGCGCAGTCGCTCTACTGAAGAGACCATGGTGGTCAAGGGTGTGGACTGTTCAAGAAATGGCTCTAGCTCCCAGTGCGATCATCATGTGCGGCGATTTAGCTGCCCCAGTACTGGACGTCAGTCGCACAGTTGGCTATATCATGATGTACACAATCAGCAACGCTTTCAATACAGGGGATGACGAAGATGTCTTGAATCTGGAAGACAGCATGTTAGCCGACAATGATGGCAAACTTGCCGTCGCCATACTGCGGTTGCGTCGCAGTTTCGGGAAGAACAAGGAGCTTGCAGTGCTGCTCCATCTTCTTCGGTGGCTGAGAGCCAAAGACCCGAGGGACAAGGTATACGGCTCTCTAGGCATCGCCACATCAACATATGGGATCGAGCCGGACTACACGATTTCCATTGTGGAATGCTACGCACGTGCAGCCTTTAAGATCATAAGCGGTAGCTGCTCATTGGAGATTTTCAGCACTTTGGGAAGGCCGTCTTGTATACCACCTACTTTGACAAGCTTGCCTTCGTGGGTTCCTGAATGGAGTTACGACGTCACTAGTGTTCCGGATGAAGAGAGAGCCCCCTCCAGCATCAAGAACCCAATTACAAGGGAGAACCAGCGAGCACCAAAGTTGTTTGAAATGAGGGACGCGTTTCCTGAAGAAAAGGCGTCCAAATCCAACATACCTTTCACTGCAAGACTTCTAAACGATGGAAAAACACTAATTCTCAAGGGTGTCATCGTGGATGAGTTGAACAATGTTGGAGAAAAACTGATATACCCTTACGAAGGGCCTCGAATACAATCTAACGATGTAGTCATGAGCTCAATTCGAAATTTCAAGCGACATGCGAAGATGGCTGAGGCTCTCGGGGGAACCATAGCTGTTATCCAAGGTTGGCAAGACCTGGTGTTCAAAACTGAAAATCTTTATACGATGCCCGGTGAAACCCGAAAGGATGCTTTCCTCACAACCATATTGAGTAACCGGATTCGTCTCAGTGCTAATCGACGCCATGTTCTGGACTGTTTTGGACAGAGTATAGCAGGCTTTGATATGACTACGACTGGCACAGTTATAAACCAGCTGCATCTCTCACACGTGGTACCAAAACTCTATCGCCAACTACTCGGGTACAAGAAAGCAAGCAACATGGAAATGAGCGACATATTGACGATGGGGAAGTCCCTCGCCGACGTGCAGTGGGCTTTTGATCAAAGAATGGCGACGACGAGCTCGGGATATCTCTGTTTGGTTCCTTGGCCTACTCGCTCTGGTGATCGGATTGCGCTGCTTCAGGGAGGGAAGACGCCCTATGTGCTACGGAAGGCAGGGGAGAAATGGAAGATCCTTGGGGATTGCTACGTTCATGGAATCATGTCTGGCGAGGCATGGAGTGATGAAAAGTGTGTTGATATTGAGATTATCTGATCAAAGTGCGAAAGTTTACGGGGAAAGGTGCGAGAAGAGTGCTGCTAGGTGGAGAGACGGGGGCGGGCCTCCACATTTCATACAACCATTTCTCCAAAGTTCCCGATGGGATAACTGTGGTCGCCACCAGATGTTTTAATCCGTATCTCGTTACACAAATCGCTGGGATATGGAACATTCCAAGCGTCATGAACAAAGCTTATCACGATTTATGCTTGAGAGACAAGTTTGTCAACACCAGACTAAAGTGTTTAGTATAAGAGAGGGAGCTCTGCTTGGGGTATTCACCACGACGAGGAACTTTATCCTAATGGGTACACTTTCGACCCATTCGCTTCGTACTGGTACACAAGGATGAGGGTATTCGGGACAGTGCGGATGCACACACTATGATCACTCCCTCACAGAACTATGTTCCATTTGGGATTGGAAAGTTTTCTTGTCCTGGGAGACAATTTGCAGCTGTTGTCACAGAGGTGTTTCTCGCGTATTGGGCGATGAATTATGATTTGGAAGAGGTCCATGAGAAGCCTCGTTTCTTGAGTTTGGGACATCTTCCTGTGCCTGCCATAGGGCAAAGCTGAGAATCCAGAGGCAAGCAATCTGTGTGCAATGTCAAGCTTACAATCAAGTTTGAAGTTTCCCTGAGGTGTCCCTGTGTGTCACTAAGTCGGGTCTGGTCATAGGCCATTGTGACTGCGATTGTGGCATGCTTATCGCGGGGGATGGACCAAGGCTTGATGCCTGGAAGGAACAAGCTGTAGGCGAGCCAAACTCCAATCAGCAGCATGACGTGAAGGGTTTGTTTACAGGCTTCAATTTATCTTGTAGGCAATCAAGCATATCGGAGAATTGTTTATTGTGGCACGGCTATATGCAGCTTGAGTGATGGGTGGGCCTCCTGCATTGACATCGCTTCTTGGTCCTTCTGATAGGATGGCTCAAGACGAAGGTAAACGGGCTCAATCATGTAAGTCAGTCATGGTTTAGGAGTGAAATATTGCAGAAGATCTCCTTTCACTTCTCCATCTTTCATCCTTCATCCTTCATCACACTTGGACTGCTACATTCAAGTACACCCCTGCTTACCAAATCGTTTTTCGAAAGATGACATCTACATCAGCGATTAGCCTCGCCAACCGCGTGGGCCACGGTCAGTTCCTATCCTTCTCCGTCCAAGTTGCGCAATGATAATCTGAACACCAGATCCATCAAAGCCAACAGTGATCGGTCTCTACGGCCTTCCAGCTACCGGGAAGTCCACCGTTCTCGAAGGCCTGGGCAACAAGCTCGGCGAGACAGAGTTCGCATTCTTTGAAGGCTCGGACGTCATTTCCTACCTCGTCCCCGGTGGCCTGAAAGCCTTCCAGAAACTCGAAGACCCCGAAAAGAAAAAGTGGCGAGCGGAAGCCATCACCCACATCAAGAATGAAGCTGCAGCCAGTGGCAAAATCGCTGTCGTCACTGGACACTTCATGTTCTGGTCAAAGGAGGATAGTGCCCCCTACGCTGTGTACACGCCCGTGGACTTAGAGACTTTCACCCAAATCATCTATTTACCCTAATGCGTTGGTTCTCTTGTTTCAGGTCATGAATGATAAGAAGAAGAGATTTGACATGACCAGCCTGAGCGCGGAGAATTGGGTCCTTTGGCAAACCCTTGAAGTCACAACCTTGCGATACCTCTGTCGTGTCGCATCTCAGAGACTTGCATGACCTCCATGTATGGGCCTTTGGTGATAGTCTATTGGACATACCCATGCTTTGGGAAGTGGACCAAGCCGTTGTTGTTGTTGGTGATGAGAAGAAGAGAAGCACGACTATGGATGCAGCCTTGGCCACGGCCATTCAAGATGATCACCTGCGAGCGCGACAGGTCCTCCTCCCAAGTACATCGTCACCTAGACTTGACAATAACAGTCTACCCGTGGTCAGCTTTGACGATGGTGACTTCGTCAAGTCAATTGTTGATCCCCGCCGAGAACGTCGCCCACTGAAGAAGTATGACGCTACCAACAAAGCTGCCTCCAATATTCTCATGTCACCCATGCGCAGCGCTGCAGTATCTGGCCCCATGTTACGAGAAGCACATGCCAATGTCGGCCGTTACCTAGCCACTGAGTACGTATTCAAACTCATTGGTCTTGAGGGGTTCACCATCTCGCACGTGCAGGGCCATCAGACAACCGGTCATCGTCTGCGCAACGAAGCTGAGACTTCAATCATCGCTTTGATGCGTGGCGGCGAACCCGTGGCATTCGGCATCAGCGATGTGTTCCCACAAGCCATGTTCGTTCACGCTTCTAGTGCAGACGATGTCAAGAAACATCACGTTCAGGGACAGTCGAACGTGATCTTGGTGGACTCTGTGATCGACAGCGGCAAGAGCGTCATTGAGCTCATCAAGCGCGTCGTCCGTCTTGAACCCAACATCAGTATTACAGTCGTGGCTGGTGTAGTTCAGACTGAGGCAATCACTGAAGGTCATCTCTTTGCAAAGGTGATGAGACGACACGGTGCTGGATTGATTGCACTCCGAATTTCGGAGAACAAATTCACGGGAACGAAGACGACCGACACTGGGAATCGGCTCTTCAACACGACTCGCTTGGCTTAAGACTCTTCAGCGCGACGCCCCAGCGGTGACTAGGATCACTCTAGGAATAGGTAGATGTAGTCGACTATAGATTTCACGAGAAACTGAAGAACATTTGACATTATCTAATTGAAAGGCGATGTGATCCATTTGTGCCTCCACTTCCATCAGCCATCGCCAACACCCACACAGAAGTCTTAGCCCTCATTGTTACAGTTCGTACAGTAATCCATAACAACCTTACAAGAGTTCGACAACTCAATGTGTCCACACATCCAAATGTTGTCATTGTTCTTCGCATTCTCACGTCTGTATCCAAAGTTAGTAAGTAATCCTCAATCAACAGCTGGTGAAGGGGGACTTACGCTTCCTTGATGAGCTTACCGCTCATACCGATACCATAGTCATCACAGCTAAACTTGGCAATACAAGCAGCCTGTCCCATAGACATGACCATGAGAAGACCCTTCTTAGAGCGGCTGTAGCGCGTAGTGTAGCCCGTGTAGATGGTATCGTCTTGGAATTCACCAATGGCGCGATCACATGCGTCACCGAGACCGGACTTAGAGAGACCGTCGCTAGTACCGCACTGCCCAGATCCATCGTTATCGACGTGAGTCTGCGTAGGGACCGGTGTAGCGATAGTCTTTACGTCGCCAATACCGTTGGAGAAGGTAGCTGTGACGTCCTTGTAAACCTGTCCATACGCAAGGGTGTAGGCAGTCCAGGCGAGGACAGTTCCATCAATGGTCTTGGTGAGAGGTTCGTTGATGGGTGCTTGTGTAGGAGGGGGAGATTCAGTAGCTGGGTCGACCTTGGAGGGATACTCGGTGTAGGCTTCACATTTATTATCGATGAGTGTAGCTGTCGCGATGTACTGCTTGCCTGAGACGGTGGTGGAGCACTGGCAGTAGGCTGATGTGACGCGGGGACCGCCGTAGATGCCGCAGGGGTAGTATGTGCGTACTGGGGCGGTGGTGATGCCCTCGGTTGAGCCGGAAGTGATGGTGTCGGTGGTTCGGTCGGAGGGACGGGTTGTTGTGAGGAGGGTGCTGGGTGTTGTGGTAGCGGGGACTGAAGTGTCAGTCTCCTCGGCCTTGGAGGTCTCTTCCGTCTTGGTGGTTTGATCAGCGGTGCTAGTCTCATCGGCAGGCTTGGTAGAGGTCTCTTGGACAGAGGTCTCAGCAGCGGTGGTAGACTCAGGACCTTGGTTGGAGGTAGTCACATCAGCAGCCTCAGTGGAGGTAGGCACATCAGAAGTACCAGTTTCGGCCGCACCAGCAGAGGTCTCGCTACCAGTAGCGCCATCGCCGCTCGTGGGAGGCAGAGCAATCGAAGTCTTAGGCTGGGTATCAGAAGCAGCGGGCACATTGGTAGTCTCCCTCATCTTGCAAGACCCCGTAGTCTCAGTTGTCTCAGCAGAAGTCGTAGTCTCAGCCTCAGTGGAGGTAGGCTTCTCAGTGGTACTGGCCTCCGTCTTGCTCTCCTCTGTCTTGGACTCTTCCTCTTCAGTCTTAGACTCCTCCTTCTCAGTCTTGGACTTATCCTCATCTTCCTCCTCCTCACTCTGCTCCTTGAGATCATTGCTGTTGTTGGTGAGAGTGCTCACAATGGGAGTGACGCCCTCGACAATGCCACCAGTGATCTTGCCAGTAACATCCTCAAGGTTGGAGACGACACAAGACAAGGTGTTGATGACGTTGGAGACAATGTCGAGAAGTCCGCGACGTCGCTTACCGGGACAACCACCAGATTCATTACCGCCAAGATCCTTGATAGCACCCTTGACACCATCGATCAAGTTATTAATCTTGTTCAGCGTATCTGTCTTGAGACCATCAGGGTTATTGGTCCAAGCGACAATGATAGGGATGATGTCGTCGACCTTGGAGTTATACTCTGAGGCAGTGACCTGAGCCTGAGAAGCAGCAGCAGTGGCTTCTTGAGGAGGAGCAGTGACGGGGGCTGAAGGGGCATCGCTGGGCTTGTCGCTTGGCTCAGAGGCCTTTTCAGTTGTGCTGGGGATGTTGTTGACGGGAGCAGTGGTGCTAGGAGCATCGGCCTTGTCGGTTGTGGTTTCGGGAGGGGGCGCCTCAGCGCTGGTGTCGGTGTTTGGAGGAGGGATGACAGCCGAGGTAGTCGTCTCAGCGGGTGCCTGAGCCTGGGTGGTGGTCGTCTCAGGACCAGGAGCAGGAAGATCAGTGGTTGTGTCGACAGGTTCAATTGCGTTGCTGGTAGTCTCAGTCCCAACCGGAACAGCAGTGTTTGTGGTGGTGTCGACAACCGGAGGAGGGACGTCGCTCGTAGTCTCTGTTCCAACAGGAGGAAGATCAGTTTTGGTAGTCGTACCAACTGGCTCAACAGCCTTGTTGGTAGTGGCAGTCTCAGTACCAGCAGGAGGGGGAACATCAGTGCTGGCACCAGGAGTGCCAACAACGTTGGTCTCTGTACCAGCGGGAGGAATCCAGTTCGATGTAGTCTGTTCATCGGTTGTAGTAGGAATAGGGTTCACGACAGGAGCATCAGTGCTGCTCAACACATCCACGATAGCTGATGTCTCGGTACCAACAGGCGCAATCTCAGCGCTGGTGGTAGCATCAACAATCTGGCCAATAGTGGTAGGAGTCTCAATCACAGGAGCAGCATTGGTAGTTGTGTCAACGACAATAGCGTCATTGTTGGATGAAGTCTCAGTGTTGATCACAACAACGTCTGAACTTGTAGTAGGAAGAACGTCAATGGGCGCGACGGCGCTGGTGGTAGTAGAAATGAAGGAATCAGTTGTAGTGGTATCAGTGTTGACGTCTCGCTCATTAAGCTGGTAAATTCTATGATGAATTAGCTCAGCCAACTCACTTTCGACGGCATGTAACTCACTGGTAAGGAACGGCAGAAGTGAACTTGGCTCCGAAAGACAAAAGAAGGAAACCAATGCCAATTGGCATGGGAGAGTCTGTAGGGCGCAACATAACGAATGAAGAAGCTAACCCAACCAAGGTTTGCGATACTAAAACAATCGACAAAAGAGCGCCTGTAGGAAACAAAAGACTTTAAGTAAAGTCAAGAATAATAATGGACTTATTTACAGACATTTACATACAAGCCTCAACATTAAGAGGATGACTTACATGGATTGTAAGCCATCTCCATAATTCTAAATTACAGGGCCGATCCTTCAGAAGAAACTTCCGAAGGATCTCAACGCGCAGTAGCAAAACACGCTGCTTACATAAGTGCGTCGAAATTTACCTCCAGATTCAGCATAGACTGCACGGCATCGCATCTGCCGATAGTATTACGAAGCAGAGTGAGATGGTCAAATATCGGGACTCCTTAATTTCCATCCTTCGGAATCCTTAGAGGGCTGCAAGGCTCCATCCCGTGCGCTTATCGGGGGCTGTTAGTGGGTGCCCCCACTTGTGTTCTAGGGCTTAGCTGACTCCACTGGAGTAAACGGACAGGGGAGTTGTAGAATAGCCTACTCTCATTGGTATGATCGGGCTGTAAATAAGAAATCTGCCTTGTAGTATTGTCTATTATAGATTCATTTATTTCATGCGTAGGATTTGAGATCAGTGAGTATGTCATCGTTGCAATAGGATTCAAAGCATGTAAACAATCAAGGTAGATAGGCGATCGCAATACTACCGCTGAGCCTCGTCACCATTCTCATGATTCACCATCTCTAATCATCTCGAGGTCACTCTACGGGGCGTGCAAAGGCTGAGCCCCCAATCTAAGCACGTTTCTACTAAAATCTCATCCAGACCCCAATCTTGATCCCATAGACACGGCAAAGACGGGAAAATCTGGGGCCTCGTCTCACCTTTCAAGCCTCCCGCAAAATGTCTCAGGAAACCGCCTGAATCTTCGGTTCACGAGTCATCAACACGCTATAACTCCACGCACATACAGTCAGCTCAGCCCTGTTTCATCGGTAGTGGAACATGTCAGCACAAGGATCTCCATTAAAGCTCCTGTTTCAAGTACAATAAAATTTAGATGAACTAATTAAACGGATTACGCCAAGGATTCAGCATGCATCCTCTGAAAAACATGGGATATTCTTGGTCTTGTAAGTCACTGTCAAAAGATTGACAGGTCTGTTAAATAAACGCACCACCCAACATTGTGAACGGCCCTAATAGCAGGTCGTTGGTATTCTTCCTACACTCTTTTGGATAGTCATTCTCTTCCGCGACAATGCTTTTCTCAAGTCGCTTCACCTTTGCCCTTGGGGCTTTACTCTCTTTTATCGCCAACGCCAGCGCCGCTTCTGGCGAAGGTAGTTTTCCTGATTTCATCTCAAATTGGGCCCTCTTCCGAAGATGGGAGGACATCACTGCTTCAATCCCCGTCTTTGACGTCCCCGGCATGGAAGACCTCATTGTCGGCGACTGGGTCAACTCTGAGAAGAAGTTGACCTGGGAGTGCTACACGCTCACCAAGGACAGCACCGTCGCTACTAGCTTGACAGTCCTCATCGACAAAGCTACCTTGACTTGGACCGATACTGAGAACCAGCCGCAGCAAGAGACTGTTGTTAGTAAGCGCAGTGGTATCAAGTCTGGTGATGGCAACGCTATCATGTATGGCGCTCGTCTGCAGAAAGCCCTCGATCACCCTAATATTCTTCCCATTCATCACATCGTTTATGGCAAGGGTGGCGTGAAGGACTATGGTTTCGCTATCATGCCTTATGTCCAGGAGGGCTCCGTGGCTGATAACCTCGGCAGCCTTTCTGATGTGAACGGCGCTTTCAAACAGATGCTCGCTGCTGTTGCTGCTGTCTCCGCCGCGGGCATCATCCATCGTGATCTCAAGCCCGAGAACTTTCTCAAGGATGGAGATACCATTAAGCTTATGGACTTTGACCAGTCGCGAGACATTGGTACTACTGTTCAGATGGACGTCGGCACTCCCTCATACACTGCCCCAGGTACCATATCCACTTCTTCCATCTCAGCTGTAAACTAACATTTCTCTAGAAATCATCATTGGCAGAGACTACACCACCAAGGCTGATACCTTCTCTCTGGCCATGAGTTTCCTCGTCATGTCTGTTCCTGACCTGCGAAACTCTGATGACCGATTCCAGCTTTGGAAGGATCTCATTGAGCCTCCCAACACTAGTTACGAGCGTGTTACAGCGGACAAGACAGAGGAAATCCTCCGGGGGAGAAACTATGGTGTTTTTAACGGCAACGATGGTCTTCTCAAGGTCATTGCCAAGGCTATGTGCAGCGAGAGTGAAGGACGCTACACTCCTGCTGAGTTCGAAACTGCTTTTAACGGAGCTACATAATTGCCAGATTTGTCAGGGGGAAGAGTGAGGTTATTAATATTTTGAGTCAAGATAGTTGAAGTATTTAGACTTTCTATGTATCCTCAGATTGGTGATCGCTACACTTTGGCCGTCTCAGACAGATCGTCTCTCCAAAGTGAAACGCTTGGAACATGCTGTTTCACCTTTGGTGCACATACGGCTTTGTATCTGTGTAGAGATGATCCTTGTGCTGCTCAAGGCTAGCCCGCCACTTAACGATTTGTTTAGAATCATAAGAAGTAGTTATTGAAGAACGACGAAAAGTGAGAGCGCAGAGTAAACATTTCCAGGCCTTTGAGCATATTCCCTCATTCCTTGCTTATCGTTAACGCGTCTGCCGCCTCTCTCAGGCGTTCGGCAGTAATATCCTTCCGCGATTGCACTTCAAGCTACAAATCATCAGCCAAATTCACCACGACAAGGCCAAGACTTACTGTAGCCACATTCTTGATGTCCGCTTTCTCTGCATGCCAAGTCAAATCCCTTCTCAGCCGATGCTGAACTCGCGCGTTCTTGGTCGAAGCTGTAGCAGGGAAACGTGTCCAGATCAAGATTACAGCACCTGACCCAGGATAGCGATAAAAGGCAAACTTCTTTATTCCAGGAGCGTCAAAGTACTCGGCAAGATCTTCAGGCGCTACCTGCTTGACGTGATCGTCGAACTCGATGATGTCCTCCTCATGATCGACTACCTAATTCTGGGTAAGCTTGGCTCTAAGGACGTGAGATGGTCTTACCATCTTCAACAGGTCACCATCCTGGAGTTGAGACAAAGCTGCTGCGCTGCGAGCATCGAGGAAATAATCTGGCTCTGTTTTGGGCTGATCTGTCGTCCCGGGAAGATTGATGGTTCGGCGTTCTGTTGATCCGGATGACATATTGAAGTCTGTTATTTTTTATGTCATGTGTCTTAATGAAAAAGTGATTGAAGATGTAAGAAAGTAGTCTTAAGTCTACTACGTCTTGAGTCTCTGGTGCCTGAACGTGCGCTAGACCACTGTAACAGCGATTAGTCAGAGGGAATAGCCACTAAAATCAGTAAATACTAAGTCCTACAGCGCACGCGCCATCGCAAGTAGGACTTGATCACGGATTGTGGTGTCGAGAAGATGCGAACGATTTTATAGGCCCCGTCTCGGGGACTAACATAAATTCTTACATGGCTACCTTATCTTTATCATCATTTAAAGCTTCATCTGCTATCTAACTAACCGTTTGGCGTGTAATACAGAGATTCTTCACGACCATTCAGCCTACCCTAGAATCGGCTTTTTGCCGTAGGATTACTTTATTATCTCATTTGTTGGATTGTGGTCAGAATCCTATTTGGATGTTCCCTGGATCTCACATTCCTCACCAAGTGGTGGCTAGTCATTTTAAACTTGTTTTTATGCTTGAAGTAATTAGACTATAAGCAAATCTGTCCTTTCGGCTGAGGTTTACTACCGCTCTAACCGCAGCCTAGTCCAACCCCGTTAAACCAATCATTATATTACAAAGAACAATAGAAAGTAGGTGATTTGTATATCACGGCAAGGAACTGAGATATATCTTTATCCCTTGAATAATCTGACAGATGTGTTAGATACTTCATTGCATTTTATCTGAATAGTGCGTCGCACATGATATTCTCTTGAGAAATGTTATTCTAGTTCATATATACATCATGAAGTCATACGGATTCGCTCATCATCTAAGAAGCATACTCAAAAATGTCCTTGATCTCCTCAATAGAAAGCTTCTTCTCCAACGCAAGCTGGAGCTGAATGCGTGCTTTGGAAGGATTCAGATATCCAGCTCCAATACCAAAAGGTCGCTCGTCAACATATCCCCAGGCAGTGCGTCGGCTAACAACGACAGGAATCTCAGTCTCGTTCAGAACCTTCTTGATCTCCTCAACAGCCTTATCGGGCCAACCTCCAGCGCCAAGACCAGCAAGAACAATACCCTCAGCACCATTCTCAATAGCTTCTTGGAAAAGCTTAGGGTCAGTTTCTTGATGACCATACAGGACGTCAACTTGAGGAAGAGCAGTCTTGGTGGAGCTGGTGCTGATGTTGAAGTAGTGATGACCGAGAGGTCTAGTGGCGGGGTACCAAAAGATGGGCTCCACGTTCTCGAAGGAGCCGAGATAGCCTTGATCTTCGGCTTTGAAGGTGTCGAGGGAGTTGGCGTTGGTCTTGATGGTGTATCGCGCAGAAGCAATTTTATCGTTGAGAACGATCATGGCTCCTCGACCCATAGCGCTCTTGCTGCTGGCGAGTCTGACGGCAGAGAGGAGGTTGAGAGGGCCATCAGCGGAGAGAGCTGTAGCAGGGCGCATAGAGCCCACCATAACAACAGGCTTCTCACTCTTGACAGTAAGATCCAAGAAGAAAGACGACTCCTCAAGGGTATCAGTGCCATGGGTAACAACAACACCCTGCATGTAATCGCTATCAAGATCATCCTGAATGCGATGCGCCAAAGTAGTCAGAATAGTTGAGTTGATGTCTCCACTATCAACATTGGCGATCTGCACGCCCCGAACATTGGAGACGTTGCATAATTGGGGAACAGCGTCGATCAACGTCTTGATACCCAAAGCACCAGCCTTGTAGCCCGTAGTCTGATCAGAAGACCCGGCTGAACCAGCGATTGTACCGCCGGTAGCGTAGATAGTGATATTGGGAAGACTGGCGTTGTAGCACTCAAAGTCGCTGACTGCCCGGGTGACGAGCTGGGGTATCTCGGGGAGAGGCGAAGCGAGGGCCGAGCCTACAAGGGTAGTGAGAGTGAACAGGGATTGAAGAGAGGGCGACATGTTGGGCGGTCAGGACAAGACTATCAACGATACAAGACAACTGCCTGAAGAACAGAGAAACAAGAGCATGATGAAGGGGAGTTTGGGCATCTTTTATAGTCGTGATATCTTGGTATCTTGGCCGTGATCAACTTATCCTGACCGAGGATATGCGTGCAACCCACCGTGTTACCTTATCATTAGTTAACAGGTCCCGTCGGATCGGCTCTCTAGTTCGAGGATAGTAAGATAGCCAAGAGCAAGTAAGGTGAGGTAGAAGGTTCTCACCGTGCGCCCTAATTACGTACGGCGATAGGTGATCAACCAGGGATTATGGGTTTCTGCCAAGATTCTAGTCTGCATTATTATCTTTCGGCCTCTAACGCTGACATGCCGATGAAGACGCGGGGAAGTCAGCCACCGTGAACAATTGGCTCGATGATGGAAATTATTTCTACATCTAGAAATAGATAGAACTTATATCACTTACCAATAAACTGGTTTAAAGATATTAATCAAGTTGACATGCTTTCGCCAAGTGATAGACGATATGTAACGGCCCATTTAGGCATAGCCTCTAAGCGGGGTGTAGCAGTTCCCGAATAAACCAGCCTCTCCAATCCCCACGAACTCGAAATCCACTTTCCCTCTTTTCTCTGTTGGTTCTTGACTCAGTCGCTCTCTTGTCCCTTGACATTTGAGTTACATCCTATCGCTTGCGGGAATTTTTCGTTTCTTTCGTCTTATTTTTCTTATCTTTTCGTTACCTCATCCCAAGGAAACTTACTCCCGTTGCGGTACCCTCGACCCACGCACGTGCGCGATTATCGATCCTTTATCTCTCCCGCTGTATCCATACCTGTACTGTACACTACTCAGATAAACACAGTAGACGTGTCTTATCTGAGGCTAAGTATCTATGCCCGACGATGATGTCCCCCCCGCCAAGCGGACGCAGGTACCTAGAGCCTGTCAGCGCTGCAAGACGCTCCGCCGAGGCTGTAACGAGTATCGGCCGTGCAGAAGATGTGTGGATGCAGGTCTAGGAGATCGCTGCATTGGACAGTCCGGCGCTCCGAGCATTCTCCAGCCTATCCACGGCCATTACTCGGTACCGTCCAATGCACCTGTTGACGCGCTGCATCGACTCATTGAGCTTGTACCGGCTCAGGTACTCGATCATTGTGTTGAGCGCTTCTTTGCACGGCTTTACCCTACTATTCCTATTCTGACTCGCGATTATGTCGTGCTGCTCAGATCGGCGTCATCGTCGGCGACGCCTGAATGGAGACTTGAGGCTTACTCCGTCCTTGTCGCCATGTGCGCGCAAGTTCTCCTCCAGACAGAAGAGCCAGAGAATTTACTGTCGCAAGGCATCATCGCTGAGAATAATGCGACATACGGTTCAATGATCGTGGATCAAGTCGTCACCGTCCATCAATCCACCCCCCGCACAATGAAACCAACCCTCAACCAATGCCTCCTCGCATTCTTCCTCTACGCCTGCCAAGCGCGTCTCTCGCACCACAGCCAAACATTTCTCTTCCTGCGCGAAGCAACAACACTATTCTGTCTCCTGCGCCTCGAGGACATGGACCATTCCGCAAAGGCGTTAGCACACCGACTATTCTGGGTCCTTGTCGTATCAGAGCGATCTCACGCCATCCGATATCGCCGCCCCATCACATTACAAATAACCGACGAGGCCCCAGAAATCGACATGAACGATCCTTCGCTTTCTGGCTTCTGGAGTCTTTCGGCGCTTTTTAGACCCATCGATACTTCGTTTGTTGCGCTGCTGAATCAGGAGCGCTTTGCTATCTCACCGCCTCTTTCGTCGCTGGATTTCGTGGAGACGGCTGTTAATACGGCTATAAAGCCTGATTTGCAACTTCATGAAACACAGAAAGCGAATCTGAGAATAACACAGCTGTGGCTACGGATGATTGTGTGGAAGTTGCGCCTTCGACTGGGTCATCTCAGTGAAAACGCGCACCAGCATAGTCTCACTTACCAATACCCTCTAGTCGTTGCCAAGGATCTCACGCTCTCAACGCGAGATCTTTCCATCGACAGTATAAAGATCCACGGCATTGGAGTAACAGAGAAGCTTTACGACATTGTCTCGGCGGTAGTTGACGTACTCGCTCGTGTACCAGTCACGCCTTCAAGTCCCCAAGGCCTTGCGATGGGCACGTCACCTGAAGATGACTTACTATATATCCGGAACCTCATAACCAAACTGCCGGGAGGTGCATCCACTTATGAGCCGCTTCTAGAAAAGCATATACAACAGGCACTGCCGAGTCCCGGGCCTAGCGTGGCCCACAGTAGTCCACCAATATCGAGAGTAAATTCATAATAAACAATCTGTACATCAAGCTATTCAAAACTATATACCCACATTACTATCATACACCTCGTTTCTTTTGATTCCATCAACACCGATACATTATTCCAATGCCTACTGCAAGTCTTTCTCGTTCAACTTCTTGTCAGAAGTAACCGAGTGCGAATAAGGATCGATCTGCGTCTTGGCAAACTTCCTTGCAGGAACCTTCTTCTCAAAGAGAACATCCAACTCAGCATAAGTACGATCCTTAGGCTCAGGAAGTCTGAAGAAAACCCAGATAGCAGAGAGGAGACATGTTCCAGCCCAGAAATAGGCGGTGCGAGCTCCCCAGTTCCACGCCGACGAGGATAGCTGATAGTTTGTCATGACGTTGACAAAGATGTTGCTAGCATTGTAGGCGGCGCGAGCCATGACGATGGTCTTGGCCTTGAGTCGGGTCGATGAGAGCTCGGAGATGAGAGAGTATGTGACGGGTCCAACGGTGAAATCGTAGACAAATGTGAAGAGAATGAGCATGCCGCCAATAGCCCAGACGGAAGAGTTGTCTTTGGAGAAGGAGAGGGAGCCGACAATGATGAGGATGAGGAGTTGAGAGCATAGACCTGAGAAGTGAATCGTGCGTCGGCCAACCCTGGACATCAAGAACCAAGAGCCCATGGTGCCAACCATTCCAAGAGCATATTGGCCCATGGACAGAGAGAAGGAGTTGCTTGCATCCATACCAGCTTGTGTGAGGAAATATGAGAAGTAACCCATAAGATTCTGTCCACCAAGAGTCTGCACAAGCCAGATACCAACAACAATCTCAGTTCGGCGAAGATCAACACCCTTGAAGCAGTCCCTATAAGTAGTTCCCTCCTTCAAGTTCTTCTCCATCTCATTCGTATGCTCAATCATGGCAATCGTCTCGTCGGCGTTAAAGTTGGGTTGTTGGGGTGAAGTGAGTCTCAGAAGCGACTTCTTGGCTGCAGCTCGGTTACCCTTCCTAACATACCACCAAGGTGATCTATCACAACATTAGCTCAACAATCCTCACCCTGATGATGTGACACAACTTACTCCGGAGCAAAAATAACACCTGCCAGGATAGGCACAGGCCAAACCCACTGCACACCAAAAGGAATTCGATAAGCCCACTCGTCACCGCGACCAACAGAACCTTTGTTCACAGCAGCTGCAAAGAATTGACCAATCACCCAGCACATGTTGATGAAGGTCGTGAGGTAAGGTCGCAGAACAACCGGTGCTACTTCGGATGCATATGCAGGAGTAACGCTTTGGAACGCGCCCCATGGGATACCTTGTATCGTTACATTAGCGAATGGCACAGCTTTGGTGGTATGATATGATACTTACCGCAGAGGACTTCTCCCAGCACAAGAATCTTGACGTTGGGAGCGAAGAAGAGAACAAAGACAAAGGCGATCATGAGAACGAGAGAGCCGATGGTGGTCATCTTGTAGCCGTATCTGTCAGATGTCCAACCGGCAATGATGAGACCAATGATCTCGCCGGCGCGAGCACCGTTGGACAAACCAGATTGCCACGCAGGAGAAACAGCATATTTCTCCTTCTCAGCATTCCACGAGCCAAACTTCTCATTGAACACAGGAGAAGCATACAAATTGCCAAGTAAAGCAAGGTCATAGCCTTCCATGATGAGAGTCGTCGACAAAAGGACAGACCAACCAATGGCCTTGGGATAAGTCTTGATAGCTTCCCAGAGCGTCATATGATGCTCAGCCTCCGCAGCGACTTTGGCCTCTGAAGCAAGAGCTTCGGGGCTAATGGTCTCGTCATGCTGAGCGTCGATACTCTTCTCAGGATAAGAAGCCATGGTGAAGATTGGAGTTGGGAGAATGGGAAGAGATGGGATGGCGAGATGCTGGGGGAAAAGTGAAAGGATAGTCGGTCCTTTATGTACTTTCGTGGAGCCGATGCTCGCTACGCCTGAACCCGACAGCTCGGATGATGATTTTTTCGCCCAAGCTTAAGTTAATCCCCCAGAAACCAGGAACTGTACATCATCTGGTATGAAAAGCATGGGGAAATCTGGGGATTGAGTGTGTGGGGTGATTTTCAAGAAATGGGATTGGGGCACGAGTCTTCTGAACAGGAGACTCCGCGTGCTAGCGGAGTTTCCACCCTTCGGAATATGTTTCACTGCAATAATTGGCTGCTTTGGGATTAGAGATCAATAGTGCGGAACAACTCCGATGGTGGGAGCGCTAGAGTCGGAGTCTCCGCTGGTCACACCCGAACCAGGGTTTTTTAAGGCGAACCCCTCTGACGTCGTAGGGTAAACTGATGGGGTGAGAGCCAGCCTCGGCTGATCTTTTACGAGTTGGCGATGGATGTTACGCTCCATTCATTGAGCGGAGGGTCCGTTACATGCGGCGTTGATCAGAGAAAGGATCTGATCTCCACATTCAACGGAGTGATGTCGGCCGATAAGATGGGTAAATAATAAACACCTCGTCTTCCCCTCTCAACAATATTCCCATGACCATTTGCTCCCATCTCACCATCCTCTCTCATCCTCCTCTACCTCTCAATTTATCACAGCCATCATGGGCTCCATCATCTGGGACGATGAGCATCAATACATAGGCAAACAGCCCTGGTGGAAAGCCGCCTCCTTCTACCAAGTCTACCCAGCCAGTTTCAAAGACTCCAACAATGACGGCTGGGGCGATTTACCCGGTCTCATCTCCAAGCTCGATTATCTAAGCGATCTTGGCATCGACGTCGTATGGGTGTCGCCCATTTTCGAGAGTCCCCAAAAGGACATGGGCTATGACGTCTCAGATTATCAGAAAATCTACGAACCCTACGGCAGCGTTGAAGATGTCGATATTCTCGTCAAAGAATGTCATGCGCGTGGTCTCAAGATCATTCTCGATCTTGTTGTTAATCACACATCAATAGAGCACGAGTGGTTCAAAGAATCAAGATCTTCAAAGGATAATCCAAAGAGGGATTGGTATATCTGGAAACCGGCGCGATATGATGAGAATGGCGTGAGACATCCTCCTACGAATTGGAGAGGATATTTTGCGTGCTCGACGTGGACTTGGGATGAACTCACCCAGGAATATTATCTTCATCTTTATGCGCCTGATCAACCTGATTTGAATTGGGATAATGATGAGTGTCGGGAGGCGATTTACGAGAACACGATGCGCTTTTGGCTTGATCGCGGTGTTGATGGGTTTCGCATTGATACCGTCAACAAATACTCCAAGAGGAGAGATTTTGTCGACGCGCCTATCACAGACCCTTCATCGCCTCATCAGCCTGCACCCGAAATGTGGTGCAACGGACCGCGCATTCATGAGTTCATTCACGAGATGTACGAGAAAGTACTTGGTCCTTACAACGCCGTATCAGTCGGCGAGCTATCCAACACGCCTAATCCTTCACAAGTCATTCCCTATGTATCAGCCGCTGCGAAAGAACTCGACATGGTGTTTGAGTTCTCCATGATCAGACTTGGCAATGGAAACGGCTTTGGTGACAAGTACATATACCAGCCATTCCCATTATCTAAGCTGAAGGCATTTGTCTACAAGTGGCAGAGCTTCATTGAGGGTACAGATGCGTGGGCGACCGCGTTTTGCGAGAATCACGACAATGGTCGAGCTGTTGATCGTTTTGGTGACGCGTCAACGCCGGAGTGGTGGCTCAAGTCAGCAAAGACTCTAGCTGTCTGGCAGACAACACTCACGGGCACTTTATTCCTGTACCAAGGACAGGAAATTGGCATGACCAACATGCCGAGGTCGTGGGGAATTGAAGAGTACAAGGATATCGAAAGCAGCAACTTTTACGCCGAAGCCGTCGCGTCAGGCGATGAGAAGCGTGTTAGAGACACGATGCACGGACTTCAAATCATGGCGCGCGATCACTCTCGCATTCCCTTCCAGTGGGATGACTCACCCAATGCTGGATTTGCTGGCGCGTCGGCGAAGCCGTGGATGAGAGTCCACGATGACTATCGCGATATCAACGTCGCCAAGCAAGTCAAAGATCCCAACTCCATTCTCAGTTTCTACAAGGCCATGCTTCGCCTTCGAAAGCAGTATCAAGATATCTTCGTCTTCGGTTCCTTCAAGCTTCTTGATCCAGAGGACGAGTCATTATTTTCATATGTCAAAGAGAGCATTGTACCCGTCAAGGGGCGACGGTCTGAGAAGAGGAAGGCTGTTGTCGTTTTGAACATGAGTCGCGAGGAAAGACTTGGTCCGGATGTTCCTACTGTGTTGGGCTGCTCTAATGAGGACGTTCGCTTGCTGGCTTATACGAGGGAAACTGCAGGAGGATTGAAAGGGGGCCGGCCGATGCTTTCGGGATGGGAGAGTCGGGTTTATGTTAACATTGAGCTGGAATAGGCGTTATTGGGCACTTGGTATAGATAATTACGGAGAACTGCAACTCAATCGGATTCATTTCTAGATCATCAGGCCCACGCTGTATCCCTCAATATACTCCACGCTGAGATTACTCTACACGAGTTTGATCCATTCGGGTTTTAACTGCCCACCAGGATTAGCAGCTAGTTTCTCGAGAACCTCGCCATGCATCAAATCATAGACATAGCACTCCCCGACTACCTCGTACCCATCCCCCTTCGGCCTCAACACAAACGGAACTTCCGCACCAAACAATACACAAAGCTTATCGCCAATCTTCATATCAACGGGCCCAACCCCAAAGTCTTTCGACGCTGTCTTAAACAACCTGTAAGGATCGCGGACAGGTTCCACGGCGCTGATATATCGACGAGAGTTCCCGCCTTCAACGATCTCATTGAGATACTCGGATTGTGTCATGTCACCGCCTTCTGGCTCGATAACATCTCGCAGTGCGATAAGATCTCTGACGATCCAGTGGCCACTTCTTGAAAGTAACAGAGCAGCCAGATCAGCGAGATGCACAGCCTCGTCATCAACGGGATATGCCCTCCCCTCGCCGCCACATGTTAAAGTCAGGGCACATTTTCCCCACGCTTCTTTGCTCCATCTCGGTTGACTAAGAAGATTCTCGCGGCTTTTGTCGTTTTGATCAAAGATGCCCCAATAATCACGATGTTCTTGCATGGAGGAGATGTGATCGATGATCACGCCTTTGAGGACCAGCTCTCCTGCCTTATCATCGGGATTCAGTTCCATTCGAGCAGCAGATGCGCATTGGAAGCCTGGGCTTTGCTTGGTCGGTAATATTGTCCATGGCCGGCGCTTATGCCAGCTTGGCACCCACGATGGCCCTGAGCGATCAAAGTCTCCAAGTGTCCCAGCTCCCGAAAGAAGCGTCAATGGGGACGCCGACTTAAGCATGAGTCTTGCAATATCCTCGAAGACCTTCTCTGAAGTAGTTACCTCCCGGTAGTCTGGGACGATCTGTTTGCCAACAGAGTCTGTTGTTTCGATACCCAAGAGGCCATAGATCTTGTCCTTAGGCTCTTTGCTCTGGAAATGTCGAGTAACTTGGAGTAATTGTGCAAACGAGAATTCTAGTCGCGGGAAACATTTCTGTGAAATCGATAGTCGATACATGAGATAACTATTCATCGCTCCGGTAGGGATCATGTCTCGCCCATAGCCACTGGGTGACAGCTCCGGCTTATGAACCACTATAGCTGCTGCGAGCCCAACCCACTCCCACGGGATCTGGTACAAGCCGAGTTGAACAAGTGCATGCCTGGCTAGGACAGCTTCTTGCAAGACCCAAATACGAGAGAACCAACGCCGTCTGAAAAGCTGCATCATGGCAGAGCGGTTGTATTCACCATTGTCGGTGTTGGCGCGTTGCACGGTAGATTGGCCATCTTTTGAAACCTTCGAGTAAGTTGCTTCTAGGGTCTCTTGACCGGCCTGAGCGAGCCAATCGTTGACGACTGAGCATACTCCTGAAAAGGCTTTTGAGACCGAAGAAAGAGATGTCTCAAGGATCGTCTTTCCACACATACAGCGGTCACTCTCCTCACCGACCCATACAACCACCTGCCAGGCGCCACTGAATATCTGTCCCATCAGCGCTACCTGCTGGCCTCTCTCTTTGACGTCCTCCTGGTTGATACAGATGGCATCGGCCCATATCACTCTGCTGGCATTGTTTCGACGGAGCTCTCGTAACGCGATGTGCAGACTACCAGAGATAACCATAGTGTGACTCGTGCCGTTACACATGATATCAATCTTTTGGTCGCTGGAAGAGTCTGGCTTTCCCCAAGTGTATGAAAGAGCTTCATATGCTGTCTCGTTCTCTTGCAAGCTACATACGTGGAGCTTGCATTGAACAACATCACCATCTCCGGCGAGAATCTCTAGTAGTCGGAAAGTACTGTTCTCAGGTAAGGGATGATAGATTCCTGAGGTCTCTTTGGCTCGACGGCTTTTAGTCTCAAGTGGAGTGAAACAGCATATCGGCGATTTCGGATTGGTGATTGAGAGCGCAATCTCCTCAATGTTGGAATCTTGCTCCAGGTCGGAGAACAGAGGCAGAGGGATTCTTGAGTCACTCTCTCGATCAAAGATAAATCTGTTGCTCCAAAGTCCTCCCAAATATGACTCTATAGATCTTGCGCGAAGAGAGGGATTCATCTATCGATTTCGACATCAGCCGATAAGCTCCAGAGGTGGATAGCAGGAATAAGTTTGCCATGCTTCACAAATGGTCACCTAGCTACATGCAACGAGGTAAGGAAGGGTATCTGGAGCTGGAACATTTACCAGGTTTAGAAGTGAATTAGTTCTCAATGCCGCAGGGACTTTGAAACTGGAACAACTATCTTTCGAGTGGCGCTTGGAGGACTTGGCCTCTGACTTGGGCTTCGACGGCCACATTGGAGAGTCAACAGCCGGCAAGAGACTCTGGTAGGAATGGAAAGATGATATGTGCTGGTTTCACATACACTCTTTTGTTTTACGTAGGCTGCCTTGCGGATGAGGTCTTGAAATACCCCGCCTCACTGAAAGACCCACGCAATGGCCGCCTGACACAGCCACTCAGCTGACCGCCGTTGTCCAACTTTTGCTGTATGAGGTAAACAACGTTCAGCCGCTGCAAGGCAACCAAATCAACATTATGTGTCGCGACTTATATAGCCGAGTGATGAGGCTGAGATTTTGCTTTTGAGACCTTCCATATCATTTCTTATCTAAATACTATAGCTCATCACGAGCTCCTCTTTCGCTCTGATCCGTGATACTGACCCCATGACTTCCGCTCTGAGCAATGAAAGTATCGAGTTGTTCAACCGTCAACATCTGAGTGAAGTTGCCTTTGAACGACACCACCTCATTTGTGCCAGCGCGATACAATCTGATGGAAGGATATGAGTCAATCTCAACTGGTACATCATTCGCATCGACGTTGATCGTAGCCAGAGCAGCTTTGTCAGAAAGTCCAAGCTTTGCGTATTTGGAACCAAGCTCGTTCATCACAACTTGCAAACTATTTAATTTGTTAGCATTAGCGGAGCGTAGAGACAGTGTCGGCTTACTCGGTACAGTATCGACACCATGGTACGTTGAACTCAACCAAGACATCTTTAGACTTGTCGTAGACCAAGTCGTCAAAATTACTACCCACCAACTTTGTCAAAAAAGGCTGGGAAATCGACACTTCAGGCACTGGCTCTGACTTGATGGTAGGTATTAGTGAACCGGCCAGGTAAGCAGCCACATGTTTAGCGACCCTATTGGCGTTGAACACCGTTTGAGACATAGGATACGCCCTCCCTTGTTGATTTGCGATCGCGAACCCACGCTTGATGTCCTTGCTAAGATGCATCTGCTCACATCTTTTGGGGTAATCTGGCGCAAGGACTGTCATGAAGGAAAGCTGGTCCTTATACTTCTTAGCAAGCGGAGCCAGAGACTTGACAAGCTCAGCCCGATCATCGCGTTTGTTGAGGAATATTTGGGCCAGTGGTTTCTCATCCTTGAACGGTTAGTCGATGTGAAGCGTTGAGGGAGAAGTTGGTTACCTTGATGGCTTCTTCATGAACGATGGGGTCATATTCGCGAATCAGCGGCTGGGTTGCATCTCGCAAGAAGGACTCGACATCCGCGACAGTGAAAGGCCCGCGGTAGTAAACTCGATCGTCTTCCTCTTGGGTATAAACAGCAATGGAAGGGCCCTCGCTGTCTTTCTCAAGGCCATGAACAATGCCAAAACTGTAATGTGCTCGCCATCTTTCGGCAACAGCGTCAAAAACCTTGCGTTCATGCTGATTGTCTGCGCCAAGAAGGGCAACGACCGCCACACGAGCTGACCGCGCGAAATCGAGCTGGTTCTTTTCGGTAAGATCTACAACGGGAGAACCCGATTGCCGCTCGATGTATTTCACAACCCTGCAATCATGATTAGTGATCCACAAGCAATTTCACAGCAACCGACGAAACCCACGATGACGCGTCTAAAGCTTCTCTGTAAGTGACCAACTCATTGTTGCCGGCTGTAAACTTCAACGTGGGCACAGTGAAGACCTGAGAGTCATCGCACACAGTTGGTTCGTCGTTACAGTTGACTGAGGCGATGGCGGTCTTCGTGAGCACTGGAGACACCCTGTCCAGCACTGCTTGCACTCGATCACACTCTTTGCAGCCGTCTGCTGTAAACAAGATAAGCGCTGGCCTTGAAGATATCAACACGTTGAACTCTGTTTTACGGAGTTTGACGGCTTGTGTTTGAGCAGCAAGAGCAACGAGTGACAGCAGAGTTGACGAGCGCATGATGGTATGCAGAAGAGACACAGAAGATGGAATGGGAGACTGAAGAGCCGATCCAGATAATTCCTTCTTGGATCATTCATCATATCAACACTTATCAACTATTCCAACCCCACCAATACTCATTTTAGCCCATTTTAGCCCAAATCGGCATCCCTCTAGCTTATCATGAGACCCAATCTCGTATAGCCATCCTTTAATTTCAGCTCCCCCCAAAGGGCTTAGTTCATCCAAACACAACTGCCGAAATGCCCCATGCGCGATGTCGGCCAGGCCGCCGTAGGGCACAGGCTGAACCCTGCCAATTTCTAGAATGTTTTATCGAATGATGGATCCCTCACCAATAGAATTAGGAAGGTGACCTGAAGTTTAAAAAGATATCCAGCCATTATAATTGGTGAACTGAGTCTCTATCCATTAGCTCCACAAACGGCATGAACCTTATGTACGAAAAGAAATGCGGTGACTAGTGGACGTGAAACCTGAGTCGTGGAAAAACATGAAACTTGGGGCCACGAGCTTTGGTAACCTGGCGTTTATAGTGGGTGCTAAGAGAATAGTTCTAGAAGACTTGTTCCAATTGAGGATATTCGTGTAAACGTTCCTATCAGGGTGTTTCGTGAAGTCATGTTATCTGTTTAGTACAAACTTTGACGATCATCTCCATTCAGCTTCTTAGTTAGGTCAGGTACATGATCAGGAAAAGCTTAGCCTGAGGATGGGATGACGGATGCCTATCATGGAGAAGATATTTGCTATCGAATATGCGGCAAAATGGCGATACAGTCGCGAGAGAGATTGATTTGGCGTAGAACAGTATATATAGATCATTGAATCCCACAGATATCTCATCATCCTCATCACAGCCTCACTTGTTCAACCATCTCAAGTCTTTCAACTCTTCCACCATGAAGTTCACTTCAACTTCTCTTGCGCTTCTCGCAAGCATTCCCCTCGTCTTCTCTCTTCCCACCGAGGTTAAGCCATCTGAACAGCTCGAACAGCCTCAGGGCTTCGACAAGATTCAGAAAGCTGATCCCGAGCACTGGCTCCAAGCCGTCAAGGAAGAAGCTGCCCGCCAAGAAGCCGCTGCTGCTTCTACCTTCAATGAGACTGAGGCCCTCGAAGCCCGAGCCAGCTGGATCTACCAAGTCCACGGCATGTACACCGACAACCTCGTCAACGTCGGTGACGTCGACACCTTCTACATGCTCTGGACGCGCATGTACGACTCCAGTGACGATAAGGGCGGTCTCTCAGACATCACCCGCAATGCCTGGAGTAAATTCTGCAACAGCCCCTACGGCAACAATGGTGGCGTAACGACCAGATTCATCCTCGACGGTCAGTGGGGAGCCGTGGGCCGTCTGAGCGGCTGGTCGATGCGCGACGCCCTGATCCACTCCATGTGGCAGACGGCCGATGGTATCGGAAAGAAGAACGGGTACACTGTGTACAATGGCTGCTACGGCTTCACCTGGCAGGAGAGTAAGCCGGGTAAGGCCAACTCGGCTTGTGGAGGACGATCGGGCAAGGCTTGCCCGTATAACGATGACTGTCCGCTGGCGGGTATGGAGTGCACTGGCCTCAAGTGGGGAACCTGGATGCCCAGCATCATCCGCATGAACGTCTACAACCGCGATGGATCTCTACGCGCTGATGCGTACCAGGCGAGAATCTCTTCGCAGGCTGTTGGCTCCGGTGGCTGCTCCAAGGCCCAGACTATTTCTGCCTATGTTGCTGACTTTATCCCCATTGTTGGGCCCTACTTCGCCACTGGTATTCGTATCAACTGTCTGTACCAGAGCTAAGTTCGCTCGCTAAAGGCGGACCTTGCCCTGTAGGGTTGTTGACGAAATGTTCCAGGCTTGCTTCAAGCGACTGGGGTTCGCGGTGAGACTGGGTCGAGGTGTTGTTGGAGACCTTTGTCATTCTCTGTATATAATTCTATTACTTGAATATAAAAGCGTTTGTGCTGATCAAACATGGTATCACAAGGTCATCAATATGTGGCGAAAAGGCCTGCCGGCAATAACATTTTATACTTCAACGTTTGGGCCCCAATAAGGGTCATCTCAAATATGGGCAAAGACGATACCAGAGTCTGAGCCCATGATCATTTTCCTGTCAGCCCCACTTTCCAGACCGGCTTTCTATGTCTGAATTCTCTTCCACTCCAAGTACAACTCCCTGCTCGAAAGGCCACTATTCATGAGGCGGTAGAATTCCTCCGACGATCCCTCCTGTCCAGGCTCAAGCTTCAATCTGTATGGCCACTTGTCGATGATGGTGTGCTTGTCCTTCATCGCCGCCTCAGCCATAAGGGGCATAAACGTCAACCGAGCCTTTTCCACAAACCTTGGAACATAGTAAGCATAATATTTGAAATCAACCGAACAATGCTTGTTCACCTTTTGAGAATATGATCATATTTCTGCACATGGCCGTGAGCGTACGCGACCATGGTGATGAAGGGATCGTTACCACCCCTGATTGGCCGCTGAGGCGGAAGGTACTTGAAGACGCGCTCTGACGAAGTTTTCACACTCTTCACTTTGTCCTCATTGGTCGAATATTCTTCGACCATGTTCATGAAGAGCGTGATGAGAGTCGCATGTGGATTGATTGAAGGCGCTCGAAGGAGTGGGGCCATGAGGGCAACGGTGCGATGAACACCAAGATAGCGCCAATCGGAGATGTTGGAGACCTGAAAGGAAGTCAGCTGGTTTCCATAAGTGCATCAATTGGAATGCAAGTAGTGACACCTATGGAACGTACATCGATGCGATCAAAAGAGCCGTCAAGATGATTGGGAAGGGTTTCGGCATGGACCTGAAGAAGCTGGAAAGCAATAGCCGATTTGGACATTCGGACCATAAACTTCTCCAATGTGGATCGAACGTAGTAGAATAGTTTGCCATAGATGTCGGATGTGGCGAGTCCCATAGGAGTCTTGTCAACCTCGTGCAGCGACCATCCCAACAGCGGATCAGCACTATCGGACATTGGCCAGCTGTCTACGGACTGAAAGTAAGTCCTACAAGATTCAGCTTCATTTCGTCACTCTGGAAAATACCACTCACGGATTCGGTTCGCAGTGTTCGCTCCGCCGGGCCCCAAAGGGGAGGAGAAGGCCATCCTGACGAAACCGCTGTCTCGCAACCCGATGAGAAGGAGATAGAAAGAGATAGTCGCGGTCGCGGCGATCGACGCGGGACCGAGCAAGTGTAACAGCCTTGCGAACCTCATTTGCTTTGTCGATAGTCAAGCCATCAGGAACATCCATAAATGTCAGCAGTTTATCCCACGCCTCTTTCTCCAAGACGAGTCTGACAGATCGTTTCTCGAAAGTCCAAGTCTTTCCTAGGATCCTTTTGGCAGGTTTATCCTTGAACTTGTGGCAAACGTTCTGGATAAGAGGTCGAATGCGCTGCTTGAATATGTCGACGTGGGACTTGCAGATGGAAGCCGAATACCAAATGCGGAGGATGCAATCGACAGCTTCATCTCGATCGTCTGCGGTGAGTGCGAGAAGAAGAATGATAGCGTTGCGGGCAACGACGTCGAATTCACGATCGTTCACGATAATGTCGATGGGCTGCTCGTAGCTCGGAGGAAGTTGTGCAATAGTTTGGACGACGTTCCGCAAGTCGCCAGAAGCTTGAGTAGAAACATGTCGTTAGTTTGAGCTCGCTGAGCCATCAGGGTAAGGGAATTGCACACCGGCGAACAACAAGTGCAGCTGGCTTCCATACGCTTCTCCTTCATTCGCACCGAGGCGAAGAACATCTAGCGCTGGAACGTTTCCAAACAAGTACTTCATACCACCAAAAGGGGTAGGGGCCTCATCACTCATGAAAGTAGGTGTTCGACCCTCCACAGACCACTCAGGCTCCCATGTCTTCTTGTTATATGGTGATTTGCAGTCGAGTTTATGGATGGGCCAGTGGGCTTTCTGGCATTCAGAGCTGCAGTACTACAAGACGTGAGCATAATGCATAGGAGTCGGAACAGCATCGGAGGCAGGATAATTACAACGACAAGACGGCAGTTGGCGCAGCTGGATCTGCCAGTGTTCCGACAACTGGTGCCGCCTGGGCTGCAGTTTGCGCAGGGCAGTGAGGCCGACGCCATGATGTCTGATGTCAACTTTGGTGACTGGCGAGGAAAAGGAAGAGAAAAGAGGAGGAAAGTGGAAGCGAAGAGGAGATGAAAGCCTTAGCTTTGGTTGGAGCCTGGGGTTTGATGAACATTCACAGGGTGTTTGCTGCAAGCATTGACTGGCACTGCCATGGCGGATACCTACATTACATTTGCGACCTCACTGTTTGCTCAATTGTGGATCCACGACTATTCCTGTTTGGATTGATCGATTTAAGCAGGAAATCAGGCTCCCTAGCGACAATCTTGTATCCAGTGGCTATGCAACGAGGACATGGAGTTTCTGCATCCTTTGATCCATCATGTCATCAATCAAGGGACGTAATGCATCTTCCTGCAGCGAAGAGTCCCAAGATCTGGCGGAACTGTTTTTGGTGACTTAACTTTCAAGCAGTGTATGTACGATTGTTTCCAAGTAGACATATTGCTATGGGTAACTCCCGGCTATCAGCCATCCACAAATGGTGGGTGACAACCCTGAGATGCATCAATCGCCAGAAGGCAGCATCCTCTACACACGTTCGCAGTTTGCACAAGCAATATCGGTCAATGAGGCCAAAGGTTCAGTATCAGGTATCTTGACTATGAGATACGGAACAAAATTGATACACAGATACTTCGGTAAGTAGCTATTAAAGTGCGTACAAGATGGTCGCTGTCATAGCTACTGCGCCCGCATCAATGCCCTCACTGAGGTACTCTAACAGTCCCCTTCATGACCTCAACCGCCTTTCCACTAAGATGAACAGTCTTGACCTTTCTCTCCCCAGCTCCATCCGTCTCGATCTCAGCATCTACTACGATAAGACTCTCCCGCCCCATCTCAACACCCTGCGTGATATTGAACCTGATCGAGTTCGCAGATAGTTTGTGCAACGCCAAATAACACGACAACGCGCACGCAGCACTTCCAGTTGCTGGGTCTTCCATATTACGCTTGACAAGTCTCGTGCGAAGATTTTGCACATGCTTTCCGTCAGGTGATGTCTCACCGTCAAGCAGCGTATAGTAGTAGCGCCTTGAGTCAAAATCGTGTTTCCAACCGTCGTCCTGCAAGTCACCGTTGATGTAACCCATGGCACCGACCTTGGCAGCGCCGAGCAACTCCAGAGATGGGAGATTTACGAGCGCAAAAGTCATCCCGTTGACGATGCTAAACAGCGGTGCGCCCTCGTCAGCGGCAGCAACTTTGGCGAGTTTACCATCCCAACCAGCTTCAATTTCATGCTTTGGCACACGTTCCTTGTGAAGCTTAACATCGTGGGGGATTAAAGCACGCGGAGAGCCGTTTTCGAACTCAAGATCAATTCTGCCCGCCTTTGCAATCATTGTCTTTACGCCCTGGGGTTGAAGAAAAACAGCTGTGCCGATAGTCGGATGCCCCGCAAATGGCAATTCGAACTGTGGAGTAAAGATATCAATCTTCCTCTCGTCTGTTTCTGCACGGTTTTCAACATCATGAACAAAAACAGTCTCAGAGAGGTTGAACTCGCGAGCGATACGTTGCTTTTGAGATTGGGTGAGGGGAGCCTGCTGGCTTGGTGGGGGTATCGTCACCACTGCCAAAGGGTTGCCTTCAAAGGCGGTGGTGGTGAAAACATCGAGAGTGGTGAATTGGAGACTCATTTTGGTCTTTACTTCGGGTTTGTGATATTCAGGTTATGAATACTTGGCAATTAGAGGAATAGGCGATCCTTTTAGTACTGAGCCATTTAGGTGAGTGAGTCAGAGGGAGCTGCAGTCATAATACGATTACTAATTCAACCGAGAACAAATCAACAACATCGGCGCGTATTCACCGAGTACAGTATAGTCCTGAGTGAATTTATTCCTGGCTAGGAAAAGTACCGAGGTAACCTTGCCTCACTCTATAACTTGACTTTTAGATACAGGTAATTGTAATTTCGTTGTCTCGCGGCATGAACCAGCGTCTTAGTTAGTATCTCATCTCTCTTGTCACGGCGCTTCGAGCAATCCACCGATCCTTCTTGCAGGGGCAGAAAGGTACACCGCGCGTTCCCTCTCTTTGATTCCCCACTGGTATGGCTGTTGGAAATGCTCCCCGCGTCTGTTTCGAGTTTCACGGCTTGCTGGTCTCCTACAGCCCAACCACCCAATGCCACTGAGAACCAGGACACCACCAAGTGATGCACCGATGGCGATACCTACTATCTCAGTAGTTGTCAATTCAAACCTTGAACTGAGCCCAGTGTTCGCTTTCGTTTCTTGACCGGAGGGTGCTTCGGTGGCTGTAGCGTCAGAATCGGACTGGGTGGTGGATTGTGGTGGTAGCTGTAATGTGGCTGACTCCTGTATAGAGGTTACAGTTTCCGAAACCGTGATGGTGTGAAGTTGAGGAGGATCCGGAGCGGTGATGTTGAAGTATTGGGACTCTGCCAATGGAGTCTTCTGATCGCTAGGTTTATATATTCCAAACCAGTAAACAGAGTCTTCGCCATGTCTCAAATAGTGACCCATGTCGTACTCAGCCTTCCAGCTGGTGGAATACAACAGGCTAACACCTGAAAACCAGATCAGTACAGTTTCAAAACGTTGCAAGAAGGTATTTGTCATACTTTCTAACAGTGCATGTTGGCCTCCTTTCTTGTTCGTAGGATTCATCTGCCAGACATACAGATCGAACTTGGGCTCATCTGACTCGAAAATGATCGCGATGGTCTCGCTGTCGCTGTAGCGTATGTTCTTGCCCAAATCTCGATCGGCACCCTGGTTTGGGTCCCATTGTGGTGGCCGTATGAATTTCGACTCACAAGCTGCGAAACTAGCGAACGTAGCAACTATCGAGACGAATACCAGATCCATTTGCATGGTGCCCTTTTGGAGGTTGGAAACAAAAGGCGAAGTGCTTGCGTGTTGCCCGTCCACATCTGTTGACTTTCTGTGGTTCAAGAGAGCCCAGGGCATGGACGAAAGGGATTCATGTCATTTTTGAAAACGATGGCTGGCCCCGTACATTCATTCAGGGCCATTGTCAAACGCCAGTTCAACATACGCCAGGGCTCGCATGCCCCAACAACAATGCCGCCACTGATGAGTCCGAGGCTCAGTAACACTACCAAAAATCTGGCGGCGTGAGGGGTGTTCTGACGATATCAGATTAGACTTTGGAAATCTCAGAAAGCAAAACGCCATCTATAAACATAGATACACCATCCCAAGCATGTAGCACGTTAATTACTCGGATACTATTGTCTAATGGGTCATGACCCCGCACGCTGATTTAATGGTAATCTTATTCAACAAGGTTAATGTGTTCCTTTTTCAACAGGACAGATATGTATAACCACAAAGTATCAGAGGATCCCAGGAAGTCTATGGCTTATGCGTTTACTGAGGAAGATGAGGTATTTGAGAGCCCTTGTTGTGAGTTAGTCCTTGCTTGGATTACTAATGCAACTGATGACATCGGAAGGGCGCAGTTGTACACGGCAGACAGAATACCCGACTTATCCGAGGTTCTAACTAAAGTTAGTTGGTCCTTCGAATGGTCTTGACGAGGTTTCACTTTAAACATCATGAGGTATCTCAGTGAGTATATGACCTGAACTAGCTCCAGAAAGAACCTAATCCCATAATATTTATAAATTATCGACAGATGAGTACACCTCCCCTCTCATACTTCAACTTAATGTTTCCTATTCAACCATTCCCTTCAATCATTCCCATCACGGTGCTTCATGCAGCCCAGGAGGACTTCTAGCATAGCCTGAAGGATAAACCTCCACGGCCGGGTCACCAGGTAGCTCAGCCTTTGTCTCGGAAGAGTGGAATTGCTGGTGCTGACTTTGAGAACCCAATGAGACGTCCGTATCCTTTTCCTTCCGTGCCGATCTTCTACAAACCAACCATCCGATAACACCAAGAAGTATGAGACCGCCAATAGTTCCCCCAACAGCTGCACCCGTAAGCTCTCCTTTGGACATTCCAGACTCGGAACCAGCATCTGAATTTGCTTCTTCGTCCGAGGATAGATCTGTAACAGTAGGTATAGGAATGAGTTGCGTAGGCGGTACTCCCACTATTTGAGAGGTTGTGCTCTGAGTCGCGGTAGAGGTCTGCAGCGTGGTAGAGGTTTCGAGCTTCGGAGCGGTGACATTAAAGGATTGCGACCTTGTAAGGTCTACCTGAAGATCGTCAGGGTCTGCTAAGGCAAACCAGTACAAAGAGTCTTCGTTTCCCTCCACTGATCCAACTACATCCCACTCAGCTTTCCAGTCAGTACGAGATGCTAGGTGCCCAGGTCAGCAATGGCGTATACGAGTACCAGATTCTAGGAACACCCTACAGTCTAATATTCTTTCCTTCACAATTGATCCTATCCGTTGGACCAAGTAAAGCTCAACTTTGTTAAGATCAGTCTCCCAAAGGAGCTGTATCGTATCTCCGACTTCGTATCTTATATTTTCTTCGAAGCCAGTTTTATCGTCGATATGGGAGTTCCATTCTGGGGGACGGAGGAATTTGGTGCTGCATAACACACGACTGACGATTATCGAGAGTACTAGAGTGAGCGAAATGGCGAGCATGCTGGCGACCGAGAACGCGAAGTCTCAGAAATGATGAATGATGGGCCGCTCGTAGGTAAAGAGGACCCGGTGCAGGACGCGAAGATCCAGCACTGGTCGGGGTGGACAAGCTTATTTGTTTTGACTGATTCGTGAGCCGAAGCCAAGAGCAAGTTGACAGGGGCCATTAATTAAACCAGGACCACCATCCCCGGATAATATACAGCCGACGACCTAGATAGGATTAGCTCAGGCCCGAGCCGCAGTCTAAAATGTTACGGTTGAACCTGATGATCTGACTCTGTTCCCACCACCGTTTTATCTCCGACACAAGTGCAAAGTTAAGAAAGGGAGATATTTTATATTAAGAGATATTCTTTTAATAGCTTCTGAAATATTTATTTCTTTTTAATGCTAAAAGCTATTCCAGAACCTTCTTTGCTATGATCTCCGGTGCAATTCCATAATTGTCTAATTGCATATGCAGGCTTGACAGGGGACGACCAACAGCACAACAACCAACAGAGGGTCACATCGAACTGGGCCCAGTGTCCTGGCAGTGAAACAATTCGCACAGACATACTGCCCAGTAGAGAAGGTACTTAAATGAAAGCTGAAAAGAAAGAAGCAATCTTGATATGCCCAGTTTCTGAAAAGGGGTTTTGGTCATCTTTGACGAATTGTGATTGCTCGGGACAGTATCTTCGGAAGCCTTTATCCGTACACAATATTAATGCTCCGTATTTGCCGATATTCTAGGCACAAGTAAACCGTGTACAGATAGCGCCCTGATCTGCTTACCGAAAGTGCCTTATAAGGCTAGAAAAATCACCGACTTTGCCCTTTTACTCTTGGCTCATTTGCCAGGAGGCAGATACGCTCAATGATTATGAAATGACATCAACGCTACAACCTTTACTCCAGGTAGTGAGCAGAGGCAATCACGGAATTTATGTCTCTCACAAAGTCGACGTAGCTAAGATATGAAGCTTATATCGTCTTATACCCCGTGACGGCGGGCAATTGAGTCATCTTTTAGGTTTTCATGATATCAGCTTTATGCTGTAGCAATTGGTCAGGCATTGTGGTATAATGTCTAAGTTTTGAGTCAAATGTGTTAAATGCAGTTGAGACTTGTGGCTGAGAGCTTATATCAGCACAGGGAACTTAGAAGTTTATATCGTGCGTCCTCCTTCGCCGCTCTACGAATTCACGGCAGATGTTAATGATAGCGAGGAGCTGATGGCGGGTGCATACACTGAAGATCATGAAAAGCATATAAGTTTGTAATTGTTTCCAAGCTATGGCCAGCTTGCAGATAATCTGCCAGGCAAGTGAAGGGAAGGTCCGATAATCCATAACGGGCGTGTTTTCAGAACAGTGAAACCCATTCCCACTGATTATCCAAACAGTATGCTTTAGCCAGACTCAGCCTGCTTGTCACAACCTCCCTGCTTGAGGCTACACTGCGCACCAGTAAAAACAGCTTCCTTACAGTTAGTGAAAGAGGCACGGCGATCCCGCCCATTCTTGACAAAGTCGATAACGAGGTTTCCTCCGACCCCGTTAATGTTCAGACGCCCCCCATCAACAGAACGGTTGATACCCTTCAGCTGACCAGTGGCGTACTCCTTGCAGGAGCCAGGGAAACCGTCGGACCTCTGCGTGGAGGCTCCGTCGACTGGGGAAATGGTGATAAGGCATTGGCGGTTGCAGGCGGGGGAGCCCGGAGTGCCGCCACCAGGAGTTGAAGCGTCCTTGACTTCGAGGGATAGGGCACTACTGGTGAAGGCGGCAATCATGATCATGGTGGTGGTCTTCATAATGGCGGTCTGATGGGAGTTAGCAAAAGACAAGAAAGCTAACAGTCAAGCGGTGCGAGCTTACTGAGTTGAAATTTCTTTCTAAAGCTTTTGGTAACTTGGTATGCTTATGTGAAGGTTGTCGAGGAGTTGTATTGGTAATAGCATGTTGAAGTGGTCGATTGATGGCCTTTTATACTTCAGTAAAGCCTCTTAAAACAGTATCCATCGAAGTGACAACAAGAGAACTCTGAGAGAGACAATCGACGATCTGATCTTGAATAGACAGACAGAATTGCTGAATAAGACTGACTAATGGGATCATCAACGGATATGCAGTTCGAATACGAAGGTTCGTGGTACTCAGAGAAGCCGCTTCCCAAAGAAGAACGACAGGTGCATTCAATACATGCTTTCAAGAATCGAGTTATCAGTTAGCTTGTGATATTGAAGCTCTCAGGACTAGATACGATCGCCGTACTAGTAAATAATTAGGTTACGTTGTATGGTTCGGCCGCCTTGTGGTTATGCATGAGCGGCCGCTTTGTAGGATTCGGCCACCATGTAGGAGAGATCTGCATACATCCTATAATCCTTCGCCCCCGAAAATACACACTTCTCGTATAAAGAATGCCTTGGCATGGAACAAAACTCTATGATTGAGACTTGTAAAATTCCCGAGGCCCTCGCCACTGCAAGGGTACAGAAGATCAAGAATCACGGACATTTTATGATCTCGATCTTTGCCGGAGTTTCCGTTCTCAGTAGAACCAATTGTTGGTAGAGCTACCTCGTGAGGGGGGGCTTTCGAAATTAATTTGAATGTCACTTCAGCAGTACCTTCTTGAAGAGAAAGGTCAAATGACTACAGGCTATACGAGTGTAATGCGTGTGCCAGACCCATACCATTCACTAATCCATCTACCAATTTCCCCGTGTTCAAAAGTCCCAATGCGTCTGAAGGTAGTCCCTGAGACATGCTCTAACATGATGAATACGTTTGTTCCACCTCCATATCCTCCATATCCCCCACATAGCGGCACACAAACCCCTTCCACCTCCGCCATCTCTTTGAACTTTCGCACCATATCCGCGGTGTCAAGGTGTAAATGTTGTGAGCCACATTCCTTTCTGAAATAGCAATCATGTCTAACCTCGTCCTTGAATACCGCGAGTGTGGTCGACTGGGGCGTCCAGCGGTAGCAATACAGCATGCACTCAATATCGAGCTCTGCTGAACGTAGTAGGCCTGTAGGATCATCCCCTGGCGGTTCCGATACAATTCGCTCCGCAACAAGGCTTATAAGAGAGACTGGGATGCCTCTATATTTTTGATAGACCTTGCTGAGTGTCGTATGCCCCCCAACAACGGAAGCCCAGCTCCATGTCGGAGCATACGACGAGTCACTGCGAAACACCTCAGCCCCACCGCTAGCGTCAGTCTTCCAGGTCAGATCGGAGTGGATGACCTTCTTCCACAGTCCAGCTAGGTATGTGTCTTTATTAGCCTCCTGGAAGGTCTTGGCAATACCGGACATGGCGATGAGCCTGTCTGATTCGTTTGTCAGAGCGCAGTTTGCGTAGATCGACACAACGTCACCCCAGAGATTGAGATAGGCTGTTTCTTCATCCCGCGTTATATACTGCTGCCCCGAGAGTCCTTTGGAAAGGCTCCTCGCGATTTCCCGTCCCGCCGCTTTGTGTACTGTCTGAATAGGCGGGCGCAAATGCCAGTTTTTGGCAAGGATCTGGAGTTCCCCGCTTGGATCTGCTTCACAGACCGTGGTCTCTAGACACTCCCAGTATATCTGGTTCTCCGTAAAATGGAGAACTCGAGGAGCTAAGAAACGTTCCTGTACAACCCACCCGCGTGTGCTCAAGGGTGTACTTGCGACGTCGTCCGTCCAAATAGAATCGTTGAAAACTACACATGGCCCAACCCTGAAGCCTCTTTCGTCGTCCAAGTGTTGCCCGTGTATCTGGAAAGGGAATAATAGCCTCAAAGGAAGTCTTCTCCTGGAAAATAGGCCGACACTACTGGGATTTGAGGACGCGCCTATGGCGGAAATGTTACAAAATGAATAACGATATACATCTACCATCGCCTTGGCTTCTTGCTGCCACTCGCTGAGAGAGTCCTGAAAGATGCACAGAGAGTCGATCCATATGTATTCGTAGCCCATACGGCGAACGAGCAGGCAAGCACCGCGAAAGGTTGGCGACAAATCGCTCACTCCCATGCCAAACCGAAGCTCATTCTCCGTGCTTTGCGAGAGTTGCTGGATCAACTCAGGATCACCCCATCGATGTGAGAGTGTCCAGTATGCAGGATACCCTCTGCTTAGGCCTTCAGCCTCGTGTCCCTCGCTTAAGAACCCGGTTTTGACTTCGGATCTCTCACGGAGATACACTGTTCCGTCTTCGACCCTGTCGACATCAATAACTCTGGTAGGGAAATACTTCCCTGGACTTGAGCCCCGTGAAAGACAATATTCATGCCCTGCTTCACAGGACGAAAGCCAAGCTTCGACCTGACGAAGAGATCTGCTCGCTCCCATATGGTCGTCAAGATCAGTCCAGGTTTGAGCATCAAGCAAAGTCCAAATCGGCGGAGGCGAGGAGCCCCGGCTGCCGAGATCTTCCATCACGCACATAGAGACTGGTTGTGTTGGTCAATGAGCTGTCATCGATCTTTGCGGAATTCCTACCTTTGAGCACAACATTCATGGCCCAAGGGCATACGGCAAGAAATTTGAGATTGGGTCGATCAACAGTGCAATAGGTCCGAAAGCCGTCAATCTTTGAAGGGTCGTTATCGCGTAGAATTGGCAACTTGTTCCATAATCACGTACAAACAAAGCAATTATTGCCCTTACTGACAACCAAGTCGTCATAATTTTGGTGGTGGTAGTCGCTGAGAAATGACTACCATATGAAGAATGATCCTTCATCTTATTTTGCCTCTCAAGGCTGAGATACATGTATCGCATAAGTAGCCCTCTTCAGAGTCCATGCATAGGCAACTTATGTATTATTAGATGTCTAGAGAGTTAGACTTTCGTAACTCTGGGGTTTTGGCACAACAGGCTGGTATAGGCTTCGAACAAGGAGACCGTATTTGACTCTTCTTTCACGGATATTTGTCAACGAGATGCTTATGTGGCCAAATTCATTGCTGCCCCAACCGCCTTTAGGCCAAAGTGAGATGCAAAATGTGACTGCATTTATGGTATCTGGCTATAAAGATACTGATATGCTGTGCAGCTGTAGACATCTGACAACAGTCCTAGTAAACAACCCATAAAAATGCGGTATGTCATTCTCCTAAAGTTCCAACCGCAAACAGTTACTCTCTTGACAAAAGAAATCAAACGATCAAGGCACCAGCAGTCTCTAATCCAAACATGACAACGTTGCATCCCGCCATAACACTAGCTGGTGTGAGCCTCGTCGATGGCTCAGGGTCAAAAATCGCAACACAGTAGGAAATCCGCCCGACATACTGCACCATATTCGAAGTCTCTCCAATAATAGCCAATGATCGCATCTTGCTGACAGGCTTCTTCGAGAGTTCATAGAAATGATAGCAAGTGCAGAAAAGTGCAGGGAACACCAAGACCGTGTTGAACACCGCTCCAACCTTGCGGTTGTCACTCGCCTTCGTGAATGAGAGATAGCCCTTGGCAAGGTACTTCTGACCAGGACCTGAGAGAGAAGATGATCTTGGAAAGAACGGTGGTGACAGTTGTGATTGTGCGCATGGTAAAAACTGCCATGTTCTTGATGGGCATCTTGGCAACGAGGAAATCTGCGCCGCCTGCTGCAAGGGCGCCGATCACGCCCATGATGGCTGAGGGCATTCCGAAGACATTGGTGGTACTGACATCCATCGCTTCGGCGAAGAAGAGAAAGGTCCCCATGAAAGTGACGAAATCGGCGAGAGCATGACCCGTGGAGTAGATCATTTTTCCAACCTCTTGCAATATTCCCAAGTCACTCTTCTCCTTCATATAAGATGATTAATCGGCCTCAGTCGCTGAGAATCCCTGCTTCGACATGGCAGAGAAGAAGGCCCAGTCTTGAGCATCTGTCAATGCACGAGTTGTGGCGTTATCAGTGAATGGAGCTTACCCATGAGCTAAGTTCTCTGTACTAGTATAAGCTCTTACCTATAAGTCTTAATTATAAATAATATATCATACTTATAACTTAGATATTATATTATAATATTTAACTAATTATTATAATGTACAGCTAATATAAAGAATACTTCAAATTATAACTTTGTAACCTATTTTAAAGGTATATAAGATATTTTAATTCCTGAGCTAAAACGGTCAATTCCATATTATAAAAACCCAAAGTCTGTTTAAAATAATAGCTTCAATAAAAATACCTTCGAAGATAAGGCAGGGCACTTAAGCAGAGACTAGAGATAGAGCGGATAGTTAGTTTAATTACTTATTTCATGGTTTAATAGAAACTATCTATTTCCTTAATCTCCGGTCTTGAACATACTAGCGTGGTATATCTTCTGATAGTGCCACCATACCCGCCATCCACCCGCTGTGATTAAGGTCAAGGGTATGCTAACTACCCAGTAAATCCAAAAGTTCGGGGAAATCGTCTCCTTACCATCCGACTCCCAGTCAAACATTGGCATACTGAAAAGAGTCTTGGGAAGATTAGCTTAAAGACACTTGTTGATAGTAAGAAAAGAACTGACAGCAATAAAGGTTGCAGGAAGAAAGGCTATCGTAACAAAGGTGAGTGTCTTCATAGCCGCACTGTCCAGACCAGTCGTAGACGCTATCCTAAGATTGAGCTCAGCGTTAGTATGTGCGATAAGATTATATAGCTGAGGAAATGTACTTAAATTAGCATACTCTTTGATTTTTGTCAAGTGATGGGTTTTCACGAACCACATTCAGTTCTGTTTCCAGTCTTGAGTGCAAGAAACCAGTAAAATTTCCAGCTGATTCAACATGACAATACATAAATTGTATCAGGCTAGACAACTCTGAGTCCAGAGCGATGGCACTTCGGCCGTGGCATTTGTCGATTTGGCCTTTGACTTGATGAAGAAACTGGATGCATTCTTTGTCCCACTTCAGAACCCTCGTCACATTGGATACATCTGTCGATGCTGAAGTCAGTTCGGACATCAGCCCTGTTCTTTTTTCTTCTTGCCCGAAAAGCTGTTTCATTTGATCCGTGACACCAATGTCAATCATAGCAAGTCGGCCAGTACGTTCGATACCAAGATTTCTCTCAATAGTTTGCACCTCTCTAGATAGTTTGCTACTTTGCATATCGGCTCTCGACAGGTGTTCACGTAGGAAAACTAGCGGCAACAGCAGTGGATGAGTCCAAAGAGAGTGTGTAGATTTGATCAGCTTCTCAATTTTCATATGGTGAGGTTCCACACGATTTCCGTTGGGGAGTGTGTTCGTCCACATATTCCACCCATGTATGAGGGCCATTGTAGTGCCACTCTTCAGAATATGGGTGAGCGAAAGTCCGAAGTTTCCTAATTCCATCATTTGTGGGACCTTGATTGTGACGGCTGGAATACGCATCAATGTCATGCTGTATGGTGTAACCAATTCCAATGGCTTACCTATAGAGCTCATCGACTCATTGTCGTCGGCATCATTCCACATGATATTAGAGTAATATTGTCCTCGATGGAGATTCAGGATCGGTAGCGCTTCGGGTGGTAAGCCGAATGTAGTCTCTGCTGATAAGAATGAACGCTTGCTCATGGCAAAACCAAGTCGCTCAAAGTCCAATCGCTCACACATCAACACACGGAGGGAGCATCGTGCGTCAGTTGCGAATCGACCACTTTGAGACAACCAATCTTCTACCTCGGTGTCCGGCAGATAATCTCTCTTGTAATACGGTGATCGAGTCGTGCCTTCTAATACAGTCGCTTAGCTTCAAACTAGGAACCGAGGTGACATGATTAACACGAAAAGCGATGGGGTAGCCATACCAGCATCATAATAATCGCCCGCTTCTATGTAGCCCAGACACTTATCAAGTGGTTTCCAGAGACTTGACTCCAGAAGTTCTTGGCGATCTGACTCGAACATTTAGGGCGTCTTAGATAATGTTTTTAGGCGAAATTAAGCTTTCAGTAGCGTTTTTAGGCATCGTCCACTATAATCATGCCTGAAAGGAAATGCTTGAACATACGAGGTAAGAATCATATATTAAGACAAACGCCAAATGTAGGCTTCTTCTTAAATACGTAAAATATTGATTGCTGGATAATCTCCGTGGCTGACAGGTGAGGGGAAAACTGATGTCTGACGTGGCACATCCGTATATCAGGCCATATACGCATTGATCATCCCTGAGCAAATGGCCGCAACCACCCGTCTGCACTTGGCTATGCACGCACTCCGCCGTCTGAAGATCCCTTCCTGAAAGGGTGGGTAGGCTCGCCGAGAAGGTAGCCAACGTAAACGCGACGCGTTCGTGTTTAGGTTTCCTGATTTCATTAGTGCGATACGAGGAACGCAGTACGTTTCCATCGGCGGAAATGTAGGGCGAGAATGTTAAATGATGGATGATCGATCAAAAACAGGAAACGCAATGGGTCTCTAATGATACTTCTTGATTATGGTTCGATATGCCTTGGCTACTACCAGTTTAGAGGGAACATAACGAGGCAACAAGTTGGTTGCGACCAACACTTTTGATGCAGCACTGTGCTTTTCTTTTGATGGCAAGGCGAGATGTTTTCTCCATCGTGTAGTAGTAGTGTTTATTACGCCCGGGAGAACGGATCTCATAGGACCTGAAGCTTTGTACTCTCTAGGTAATATAGAACCAAGCGAATTACTCTACAGCATAACAAGGCTTACATGATTACTTGCCCCTACGAGTAGTATAGTCGTCGTCGTAAAATCAATATCCTGCAAGTTTGTGTCTGCTACATACATAGTATGTAGCGAAAGTGTAGTGAATATGAATAATCGTCGATTTTCGCTACTTGAGCTCACTGATATCAACCGCCCGCACACCTGACGTCGTGGCAGAACGAGATAGACAGCCCAAATACATACTGCATATCAGCTTTGGCAACATGGCAACAAGTTTGAGTCCCCTCTTGCTATATTAAAACGCATGACTGTCATTTTTAGATGGGCTTGTGCCTATTCTCAGAATCCGTGGCTAACGCTGTCAAATAGAAATCGATAATTCCAATTTATTGTAATCAATAGGAGACTCTGGATCACGTAGTTGACCATTAATCAGGTTTCGACGGCCCAGTTTTGAGACCTTGTTATGTGTTATGTTTTCTTTTTATATGGGAGAAATACCTCCCCTTTGATCTTCTATGGATGGTCTGGCCTACACTAAAGGTCCAGAAATCGAGACTTGCATACGTACCCTTCATGGTCCTGGGCTTCTGTCGCGTCACGGGTCATGCGGGATAGGCACTGGACCTCGATTTCATTCGTGGTCATTCAGGAAGCGCGCTATATCCCTGATGGCCCAAGCCACATGGGTGACTGCTCAGAATTCTCAATTGCTCTACAGGCTCCCCTTATTGATGTGAAATATTACACCCGTGGGCGTATGAAATGGTAAGATCACCAACACAGCTATACCATTGGAAGACATTCGCGTCGAAGAGCTTTGTGTTAACGACTATAAGCCCGATAGCCCTTCAGATGGATCAGCAACTACAGGATGCCCCCCCTGCCATTGGAGGATTCGTTATACCACTTGGTGTGAATGTCGAAGACAGTTTTGCTTTCTGTGGTATCCATGTTATCAAAAAGCTGGGAAGTGACGGCTATGAGCGAGTTGGCCATGTTAGTATCAGCCATAATGCTTTATTAATAAGCAATTACACCAAATTCTCGCAACGCCTAAAGAAAGATGATACTTTGCGAGAGCCAAGCATGGAGACTCTGGAGAGCACTTCCAGAGCCTACGCTCATCGTATAAAAGGGCTGCTGGAAGGTTTGCAGGTCTCAGAGATTGTCTTAGTGTAGAGGTCGTTTCTTCATTGTCGCATGTAGAAAAGTTAAATGCTGCGTGTTCCTTTAGACCTGTCTCAACCCCTTAGCTTCTTATAGTTTATCTTAGCGTGCATAGCTGCTCCATCCTGCACTACCGCCCCCATTACTATTCCCGTATCCTGCGCTCATCTGGGCCGCCTTCTTGCGAGCTTCCTTCTCGTAGGAGTTGCCGTACATGTATCCGTATTTGCGATCAAGTTCCTGACCCTTCGTAATGATTGCCTGAGGATCATGGAGACCATAAAATTCATCGCCACCCATGAGCTTCTTGACGAGCCGGTCTAACATGCTGAAATCTAGCATACTGAAAGATTCGGAGTGGTGTATTTAAATGGTTTCAATTTGTTCGAGATGATAGGTGACTCTGATATAGGAGTTTGGTGTCTCATGTGCAAAGTGGTTTATCACTTGATTTTTGTAAGTGGTAACTCGCAAACCTTAAGCGACAGGGAAGTCAGCTCTATATAAGTACTTGATCCTACCTGGAGAACATTCACGGGGATTGTCTTTGGCTTGCAAGACATCGTGTGACGAGAGATCTGCATGTAGATCACGTACGTCATTGTGTCACACAGAGTTAGCCAGGCATAAACGAAAGGGGTAATTTTCCTGCGCTGGCGGATCATCTAAGCTTAAAAATGCTTTTCGTAGCGCTTCATTAAGATACTCGATGTATAAGCTGGAATTGAGTGGAGGTGCTCAAGAATTGTGGCGCATTTTGTCCAAATTGCTTTCAAACCCAAAAACAATCATGATTTCAACTTGATGTATATATCAGAGGTATTTTATGTCTGAGATGAAGAACGCATGCCCTTCTCCTTCACCTTCTCAAAGAACTTCAATTCTTCCGCCATCGCCCGTGTTCCCATATCCAAAGGCCCGGCAGTGGAATAGAAGGCCCTCCAAACCGACTTCGCGGACATGGACAGACTGCTCTTCCTTGGAACCAATCATCATAATTTCCACAATATTTCTGTCACCGTACTGGGGTTCTTGGTAACATCTTGAGGGTCAGCTCAGCAACATGTTCTGGCTCCAAAGCAACGTCGCCGCGTTGGAGTCTCGCGGCAGAATTCTTGCTCAAAGATTGGTGTCTATCAGATTTATTAGCAAACCACGTGACCATAGCAGTAGAGAACATACATGAGCCGGGCCAGGGCAAATGGCGGCGTTGCGGACACCGACAGCCCGCTTCAAGCCACTGAGAGATTTGACCATACTGACAAGAGAAGCTTTGCGTTGCAAAATACAAAGGCGTTTGCGTAGAATGCATGTAACCTCCCATACTGGCCACAAATAAAAGGTTACCCTGAACCTCTGCGTGTTGCTGCCAGTAGTCAAGAGCAGCCTGTGTTAGTCTAATTGGCCCAACCGTGTTGATGGTAAGGGTCTTGTATTGGCCGACATATGCAACGTCAGGATCCTCTGCGAGGGTTTAAATGCCTGGGGGGTTCCGGAATGAACTTGATGGTGACTTCGGCTTCAGGACGAAGGCGTACGTTTGCTATAGCGACCCAACATCCTGCGTTGAGGAGTAGACGAACGAGTGCGTGGAAGATGCCTGACAGAGTGAGTATGCGGTCATTAAGAGTCACAATGAAAGAAGCACTGACCTGAGCCACTGCCAGTAAAACAATCGCAAATCGATCCTTGACAGACCAAGACATAGTTGATCGAGACAGTGGAGTCAAGGTAATCATGTAAGGGGAAACAAAGGGAAAAGGAACCTCGCCTCCTCAGGGCCCTAGTATTTATCTTGATGTATGTAGTCGCAAGCAAGCGCCTCCTGTTCACGCGGCTGGCAATTGTGACAGAGCATCGGTTGCGAGTATCGTCCGAGTTCAATATTCGAGTGCTTACCTGAAACCTGAGCACTTCATCTGTACGTCCTCTCCTGTTCCCCAAGTACGACTCCACAACCAACCAGATTCAATCAAGACCAAGTCGGAAACATCATTCTTTGGACAGTCGTCGAATGCGGAGTAGACATCGTTGCAGGCTCATTCCCATCACTACGAGCATTCTTCAAGAGTCTGGCTCGAGACAAGAGTACGAACGACTACAGCGGCTCTCATCATACAGACCTTTTGACGATCGGGCGAGCTTGAGGATGGTCCAGCCGGACGGATGCCATGGAGCTGGGGGCAGGTAGACCGGGGAGTAACGAGAGAGCGGAACTCATGGACAGGATGACGACAGCACCCGCAGGATCATCATCAAAGTTGCGCGGTGGTTCAGAGTTGAAGAGACTGGGAGTGATTATGTGACAATAGAGTTGGAAAGGATACAAGGACAAAAAGATAACACCGGCGCATAGAGCTATAGACCATGTAATACACAATTATTTTCGGGATTGAGGAAGCTACGTTGTAAACACCTCTCATCATTGACTAATCCGGTCATCAACCATTATTTAGGCTTCACAACAAAGTTATCCATCTTAAACTTCAGCGTCGAAGTCTTAGTCCCCTTTGACCCCGGCCCTATAACATACCACTCCATAGAAATCGTCCAAGTGCCAGTCTGCAAATTCGGAAAGTCCGCCACAAAATTCGCCCACTGGTCAACCTTATGCGTACCCTTGAAACTCGGAGTAAAGATGGTGCTGCTGAAAGTCTTGGTGTCGAAGCTGAAAGAGCCCATTTGATACCACAAACCATCTGGAGCTTTGGCCTCGACATACAAGCCTGGTTTTCCAGGCGCTGTATACTTAACGCTATCTTTCGGGAGGAGCATGGACCACGAGAGTTGGAAACGCGATGCTTTGCAGATCTTGAAGGTCTGATAAAGTTTGTTGTAGCTGGTTGGATCGTTATATCCGGAGGTTCCCGCGGCTTGGATCGCGTGGTCGCTTTTATAGCCAGATTTCGCGACTGTTGCGCTACCGAGTTTGACGTATGTGGGTTGGAAGACCCATGGTGCTGAGTGTGTTAGTCATGCTGGAGACGGTAGCTCATGTCGTTTTGGGGCAAACTCACTGAGAGCGCTGGACTCAAAACCCGGGTTTTTGAGGGTATTTGCTGGGGTAGTGCAAGCTCGCGTATCCAGAGGGCTGAGAACATCGGCTGGTGCGGAGAATACAGGGGCAGCGACCGCTAGCCAGCTAAGAAGCGCTAATTTGACCATGCTCACGGTCTTGAACCAGGATGTTTATACCACTGAGAACTGCAGAATAATGCTCGCAAGCAACTGAAATTTTAAGTCTGAGGGGAAAACGGCGGACGAGGGAATGTGTTTGTTTCTTATAGACGAATTGAGGGGCAACAAGAACCCCGTGGGCTCGGTAGTTGAGCATTATCATTCGATACTCGAATCAATAGTTTTGCGAGGCGTTGATCTAGACCTCTCAGCCGCACTGGCTAGACAGGGCATCTCCTGGTTCTAGACAGGTCCCCTGCATTATACTAAAACAGAAGTGTGGTTTCTAGTCTTCAGCTGGCTATCTTCCTAGTCCCATCGCAAGAACAGAGGTCTAAGCCCAACAATGATGCCCTCCAAACCCGATGAGGGATTCTTTCGTAGTTGATCCCATACACACTGGTGACATGGTGATCCGAGAACCATACCTGCTCCTCTGTGCCTCCACCTTCTGTCGCTCGCAATTCTTTCCCTCCACTCTACCAAAACTGAACGCCATTTAGCTTCTGCCCAAACCAAACATCAACCCAGTATAGATACTCTCAGGCTTTGACATCCACGTTGCTTGTACTGGCGGGTTCGACCGCAGTAGATTCATAGATCGCTCCCCAGGTATCACCGTACTTCATCTGCGGGAGGTCAACGTGGGACTTGCCCTCTACACGACCAGCTGTGATCTGATCATTATCTTCGCTTTGGGCGTCGATATAATCATGCATAGCGGGACAAAGTATATTGGAGGGCACTCGGATATGCTTTGCGGAGTTCTCAGCTTGTGTCCTGCTATCGAGGCAACAGAAAGCTGGAGTGACAAATTAAGAGGTGAACGTGTTTTCCTTGGCAGCGTTATGGCAAGTCTTGAGGGCTGGCTAGGCGTGTGGAGTGTCCGAACGCTTGAACTCTGCATGGAGAGACAAGCAAGGAGCGCTGGGTCCTTGATAAACAGGTTCCCTACGTCTGCCAAAGAGCCGGGACCCGTCGGAGAAGTAGTAGCCCAAGTCCGACATGCGAGTCTCCAGCCAAAGACCAAGGGCGAATCTTCGTGGCTGCGGAAACAGATCCCAACGGTTATGGTGGTGCCTTCGCACTCGCGATAAAAGATGAAAGGCTTGCCAGGAGACTACCCAGCAGGTTGCATCTGTTTCATCATGCGACCAACCGTGGCGGCGTGGAGAGCCTTATTGGATCAGAGCATCGATCGTTGTTTGCTAAGGGTAAATGTTGGAGTTGAACACTGGGAGGACCTGAAGGCAAACCTCCTTCAAGCTTTTGAAGCTCTCTGCAGAGAGAGCAAGTAGGCTATATGATTAATTTAACGGTCTTAAGAAGGGCGAAACTGTAATAATAACTTAACCCGAGCCATAACACTACTAGAAAAATGGACTATTGTTCGCAGGCTAGCAGAACGGTGAGATGACTCGATATGCATTCTGACGCTAATTATTTACTTCAGGATAGTACTTAGGATGGTGGTTAGGCTTTTCTTAGGTACTAGCCCCTGACTCTTCCGCCCTTGCTCTCAATAGAAACTCTCACGGTATATTTGCTGTCCTTTGCTCCCCTCTCCATCTATTTGCCTTCTTTACTGCCCCCAACCTCTCCAACCTAATCGCATTGACCTGAAAATCAGAAACTCTTGCCTCCCTGCCCATTTCAACTGAATCTTCGGGTAGTAGTGGCTAGGAAAGATTGGGCTTTCGATTGAAAACTAAGACCTAACAGAGCAGCGTAATAGTCTGGAAACCCAAGCACTTATCTCGTCTCATTCTAGCTAGTCACTTTCTCGTCGTCTCACCAGCCCCAATATGAATATGCATAATATAGAAGATGAACAAACTAGCAAGTGTCTTTAGCAACAATAACATTGTAGTTGTCAGAATCGAACTGTTGCCCTCGGACCATATCGACAGACCAAGAAGGGCCGCAAGGCCTGACGGTACAAGGAGGGCTGTTGACTGTCCATGAGCAAGCTCTGATGATGTGGTCGATGTAATCAGCTAGGTAGGAGCACCTAGGTGAAATAGCGTGCCCGTTGTCGTTGCAAAGGATGATAGCATCGCCAGTAGCGCAAGCGATTTTAGTGCACGTGTGAGGCCCTGCGCCCACATGGCACACATTATTCCCTAGGGAGCGAAGGTAATTTCTCTCCCGGTGGGCGGCTCGTACATCCATAGCGCCAAATCCACCAACTTTACAAATAATATGACCCTAGTTCGTGTGTTAGTAAGTTTCATGATAAGAAGGATAGTGTGAAGTCTTACTTGGCTGCGCTTTTCAATCTCAGGTTCGCTGGTGTTGCCTTCTGGAAACACGTAATCTGGGTTGAGCTTCTGAATCTGAGCAACAACCTCCTAAGTCGCCATTAGTATTTTATGTGTTCTTAGAGTGCAATACTAGCTCATTTACTTACCTCAGCAGTACCAGACAGGGTGATAGGATCGGCTCCATCTTTAATAGAACCTGTCCATTCCATCGGAATAAGCGTATATCCTTCGAGAGGGTTATCAACTGCCTGAACACCATCAGGAAGGGCCTAAGTGGAAGTTAGTTTATATATAGCCTCTTTCATCAATGAGAAGCTTTACCGCGGCAGAGACCGCTACTGTAGCGCTGCTAAGAAGAGTTAAAAGCGTAGCCTTCATCTTGAGTATTTCTGTCTTTATAGAGACTTAACAAAAACAAAGAAAAGAAAAAGGATAGTGTTCGAAGGCTGGCTGTATTGCTCCAGAGATGTTGCTTGTATATTTAAGATAGCAGAGAATTTTTGTCTTCTTATATAGTATTTACAACTTTCTTCCCTTGGAAGTATTCAAGCTGCACCTTCCTTTTTTGTGTAAGACGACCGTTGTACAAGTCTGCCTAAATAGTTCGCGTCAAGGGTATCTTGACCTCGTATACGCCGCATCGTAAAATTTGCAGAAATTCATGCCCGCACCTTCCTGTTTTATGCTAGACGATCGACGTACATGAGTACTTGCAGTTAAGCATATCGCAACACATCGAATAGCAAGACCATAGGTCCACTTTTCCTGTGAGGCGCCTTTAAGGTTATCTTATCTAACCGCCTCGATCGACCCTATGTGAGGAATCTACAAGCTACTAAGTATAATAAAGAAAGTATAGACCAGATTAAATAAGGGGTCAGGAACTACCTACTCGTGCTTCTGTTATCTATCTATGAGATTACTGCTACCTGGCCTCAACTGTATTACCCTTTCCCATGGATTGAGGTTCTGACCCGCGCTAGGTATATTCTCTATATCGAAAAATTTGTAGGATTCATGCCGTAAGCTTACAAGACTTGGCGCTTATCCCCTTGTCTGTGAGGGCGCTACACGGAGGTATCGTTGCCCCACTAGGTCTCTGCGACCTTTGCCCTTACATTACAAGCAGTAGACTTAGAACTAGCTCCTACAGGCAGGTGATGTTGATCAGTACTTTGTGATTTCCCTACTAGGAGGTGGTAAAAGACCTCAATGATTACTATTGGTAAAATTGCCATTGGTTTATCGGGTTTAGAAGAATATGTGATTTGATTCGAGGCCGGAACTGGTACTTTGGTATAGCGCCTCTATAGCCAAGGGAATAGGACAGCATTCCCAGTATTTTCAGCTTACATCCATTCCGGCTTTGAGATATTTTCTGGAAAGAACATCTAGGACATCACATACGTTCCTTTGTAAAGGTCCATATTAAGAGGCTATGCACATACCCATGCTACTAGGACCAGTTGCCACGTATTATTAAATACTCCACTCTCTTTACAACACCAGCTACATCTTGTCAGAGTTGTGATTATTTTGAACCCCGTATCTGTAATAAATATATCATAAACATAGTAGGGTTGCATTGGTGTCCTAATTGACAAATAAGAAACTAGCAATCGCCAAAGGGCATCCTCATAACCTGTTACCCCCAAATCCGAGGCGACTAGGGGGAGAGCTGCCATTCAATTAGTCGGGTCTTATTGGACGCCAGCACGTTGTAAGGATGCCGCGCTCTTTTTCTTTTAACGTGATTATGTAAACTACGAGCCCAGCCAGAAGACACGTCTCGCAGATCTTAATGTTCTGGGACCCATTTCATTTGCTATCAGAGATCAAGCAAGATAATGTCTCAACAAGCCCCTAGATGGCGTAGTTGGCCCAGGAAGACAGAATCCATAGAAGCGTGGGTCGCTCGTGAACGTGCTCTGCCGCATGTACGATCACAACGATACTACGAACGAAAACATCAGTAAGCCGTGCAGCCCTCTCTCCCGCCAGCCGAACTGCACCAAACAGATTAATAGCTAGGTAGGATAAGACGGTTGTGTAAACGGGAGAGCTTGCCCCCATAGTAGATTGACGCGCTACGTTAAACATGCAATATGGGAATAAGGTGCTTATTCAACCTGTCAGCGTGACAAAGACCAGGCGGGAGAGGCCGACGTACTGCCATTCCCGAAACCACCGTCCATTCACGACTCAAGTCAGTCGGGGTGGTGTCTTTCGCAGTGAGGAAGGCCGTGGGCAATGCCAATGCCCCAAAGATGGCATTATATGTTGCCCAGGTTCGACATTGGTGCCGCCTGGCGCTCCGTCATGTTACTGGCAGGCTGGTCTGTTGGGAGAGTATGGTTGCAGCCAACTTCAGTCGGGTCAGGTCGAGGATGCTGGAATTCCGTTGGTGTTATTGCTTCAAGTCTTTGATCCATCGAGACGATATGGTTGCTTCTTGACCAGAGATGGAACTGCAATCCAAGTGTCCGCAACTCGACGTAGGACATCAAGGCTTCTCGCAAATACACAGGACGTATCAATTATGTCATAGGTCTTAACCAGACCATTCGCCAACGCTGGTCGACGACCACGTCCACTCGTATCAGTGCCGATCGCACAGTCAAGCCAGCCATAAGCCGCAACAGCAGCAGCACTTCCACTACTGCTTCCCGCATGAGACTGGTACCCATTCCCTCTGGGATTTAATGCTGTTGAATAGTCAACGGCATCCGCGGGTTCTTCTCGGGTTGGGTTATCACTGAGCTGAGCTTCGTCAATCCCAGCATGTGTGCGCCGTCATTGATGAGAGCCTGAATCACCTCAGCTGTGAAAGCTGCATGCTCGCTTAGATCGTAGTAGGCTCGGTTGCAAAGTGATATCTTAATGACATGGACGAGGAAATAGTCCTTTACTGCAACACGTAGATTTGGCGGGGAGTTGGTAACGAGTGTTGGTGCTCGAGACGGAACGGCAATTGCGAGGCCGGTATTGGAGATACTTGCAACCCCGAGTCGCTCAAACACTGTCAATGGCGATCTTATCCATATTAGTGGTAGTCAGAGGCTTCAATGGACAAATTACTTACAGATCCATGTTGGGTTTCAACCCCAAGAAAAATGCTCCTTTCTCATCATCATACAAACGACAGACGGGGTGAAGCTTATTATCGGTGTAGAATAAGGAGCTGTAGGAAGATGCGTTTCGCCGCCTTCAACTACAATATCGAGCCATTTCATTCCAGGTTCTTTCAGGTATTCCCAAGGATCTTGAGGCAATCTGGCCACGACGCGGCGTCGTGATAATTACACCTGAAAGGAACAGGTTGCGATCATAAACATCACAGCCGTCCAGCTTGTCTAGCAACGTCTTTATCCACTCTTTGCTAAGGGGTACACCGTCATTGTTCGCAAGAACGGCCACGAGTAGAGGTTCCAAAGGAGTGTCAGCTTGGGGCTGGAACTAGTTCATTTGGGTCAGATGTAAAGAGCTTGTAGCATTACGCAGACGAACGTACAGCGACGGTTCCTGTTGTGACATATCACTTGCCTCCAGCCTCAAAAATAGTAGTCGGGTTGAGGGCGGCCATCGGAGGAGTCATATGAATAGTTTTCTGCCCTGCCACTATTGAAGGAGAACAATGAAGATTTCTGTGGCATCGCAACAGCGAGGAGGTTGGTTTCACTGAGTAATCGTCCTCCGTAGAACAAGGACATGATTGAGGGGGCGAAGCCAAAGCTTCAACAAGCCAATGATATCGTTGTGCAGCTAATGGACACAACATTTCTAGTACTTCTGTTACAAAATACGTCGCTCATAGGCAGTCTACCTTGAAGCTTCGAAAGAACCACCACTCGATATTCTTATTGGGATTGGATCTGTGATTCGCGGAGAAGCTTCACTGCAAGCTTCCTGCCTATCACCTCAGCCAATGCTTTTATCCAGCCAATAAAATCTCATGGACCAGTCTAGGCGTCTTCTTCACGCCCAACATCACCGAGGGATCTAATCAAGAAAAGCTTGACTTATTAATTACTTTCCATCGTGCCACTCAAATGCCTGCGAACTGCCAACTCGGCAAGCTAAGAACTGTAGTCAGACGGCACAGACGAAGCTAACTTTCAGCTTTAATCGAAGAGTGGATCATGATCGTCCAACTCTTTATATGAAACCAGCCTTATGCCCTTTGATGTAACATCGTGTAAATCGCCATGCCATTTTGAGCTAGGAGTGCGAGGGGCGCGAGGGCAGAGGCCGTGATGCGCAAGTCGACGTATGGCTCGCGATGGTCACCTGCAACTAATAGCGGCGCAATCTTACCCGAATCCAGTTTGTCGGTCTGTCGGATAAGTATAAAGAACCCCGACTTCCGCTAGTCAGACCCGCGACCTCGACAAGCTGCCTCGCCTCATCTTCTCTGTACCCAATTGACACCGAAACCTCTGTTCAATCTCTCATCATGAAGTTCACCGCCGCTCTCCTGCTTCTCATCCCCCTTGCCGCCGCTGGCCCCGCCATCAGCACTGCTGAGGGTCTCCCAGACCTCGCTACCTCCGGCGAAGACGGCTACAGCCTCTCCCATGGGGAGGCTCTCCAACTCGCTGCCAAAGTCTGCCCTGCCAAGTTCCCCCGAAAGTGCTCTATTGGTAACTTCTGCTGCCGCACTAAAAAGTGTTGCAAGAAGGAATGCTGCAAGAATACTGCTAGATATTGCAGCGCGGGCCGATGCTATCGATAATTGTTAATAGGGTAAGAAATGAAGACATTGGTAAGCTGTCATGGACTGAGTTTCACCGTAAACGCTAATGCAGAGTTTCAGGTATGTGTGGTGTGAATGTATATAGTGTACAGGAACGTATTTCTGTTGAATGGAATCGCAACCTTTCGTTGCTGTTATGTCACTCCATTCCCGTCCAAGAAACACCATTCTGAAGCACTCCAGCCACAGACTGAAGTACTTTGGAATTCGGGGCTGAAAATCCATAGTTGATCATCGAGAGAGTTTGCTTTTATTATATGTCCCTCAACGTGCTCATTCCAGGCAGTTTCTGGCTCCTGACTCAACCAACAGCGTAGAATAACGTCTGTGCAGCCACCCTCCAACTCCGCCAAAAGGATCCTCCTTATCACTCGCTTCTTTCCTTCCATCAAACGTGATGACCTGGAGTTTGAGAACGGCCACCTGCTTTGCTTCATCTAGCTCCGCGCGAATCTCAACGAGATTGTCGACGTCCATGGGCGACGGAGGTAACTGGTGAGGATCGAAGCAACCTCTCATCGTGATGCATGTTGGAGTTTTTGATAGAACCACAAAATGGTTAGTGAAGTATGTGCCTGTTGCGTGTCAGAAGAGGGAACAGCAAAATCAGGAATAGCATACCTGGTTCATAGGTAGATTCTCGGAGATCCTTCTTCTCCCATAGGTCGTTCTTGTTTGCCTCGTTCTTGAAAAATGTCATGATTCTCCGTTGGATACCATATCCTGCTCATCATCAGCATTATAGATAAATCACCGGTTCTCTTAATCCTTACCAAATCCTCCCCACATTCCCGCAATGAATCTCTCAACTAACTTGGTCCCTCCATTCTTTGCATCCTCCAAAAGCACCTTATCCAGCTTGTCGAACGGCACCTCTCTCACGCACGAGTCGGCAGAACCCGGTTTATTCCAAGGATTGATCTGCTTCAGCAGCGGATGCTCATACAATGATCTGCCATTATCCGGTCCAAAGGGCTCAAAGTAACATTTCCTTGTGACGAGGTGAAAGCTTGCTGCGCCGGTGATTGAGACTCCAACAGCTACTTTGGCGGCAAGGATCAGCCGTTGGCGGAAAAGAGGCGATATCCGAGACATGATTGGTGTTTTCTGCCAGGTTGACCAACAGACCAGACCTTACGCTGCTGAAAAAGGGAGAGGCTGCCAGGAATAAATAAATACTGGCCAAATTTCGGACTCACTAGAATGCCGAGGTCCGGAAAGACAAGACTTATATAGATCTGAAACTCCACATATTCGGAACCGTTTCCATAATTTACGGCGGTTGTTTGGACAAATTTGATGTTAGCAGCTCCAGCTCGTCAAGACTTGGCAACATTTGCTCAATTTGATTGGATCGTGACATGTACCCACTAGCGATTTCCCGCTGACGGTGTGAATTTCCCGCTTATATAACCAGTCTGATCCATACTGCTAACCCTAGACCTGGGGATTCTTGACAACCGCGTTTACAGCATCGACTACAGCCTGCGATATAAATTGAGGCCATTCCGCTGCTGGAAATATCCATGACTAGACATTCTTTTAACACTAACGCAACTACACGTTATCCGCGTGCCCTATGCCCTAGCGCACGATTCGTTCAGTGGAATCTCGTGGAAGATCAGATCGCTATCGGTGTTCCAGCCATTCTTTTGCAAGTGCTTGTCATATCTGAAGCAAGCCGAATGCGCCCACAAACTGGCTTCCCATCATTTTAATCACCTACCAACAGTCATGGGAATTTGTACTTCAATTTTCAGATATTAACATATCATAACGCTCATTGTGTCGTCTGTAACCCTTCACAAAGTGAACGCCTCCAGATACAGCGCCATGCCGGACCTAGACAGATACCTGATCTCGAATGCGCCTTGTAGTGGGAGCGGTACCCAGAAGTGATGTGGATCAACGGGTATGGATGATCCGCAAAGCCTTCATTCCGTGAACAATAAAGTTCAGCCGGCATCCGAATATCTCAACCCTACAGCCTCCAGCTAATATCCGGCATGACCGTCAGCCACACGAGGCGTCAGAGTCGATGAACTTCCCCGGACTTGGCCCCGATTCCAAATTGCACTTGTATCTGTCAAACGGACCTGTGCAGTCCAATACGAAGCCTTCCCGAGATGGTTCGCTTTTCTAAACACTAGAATTATGCGAAACAGCTTTATTCAATGCCGAATAAGCACAAATCAATAACCAGGTCACAGCGCTCAGTTGATGATATCATTGGCTTGCCCTGCCGGCAACATTGCCGCAGCCAAGACCCATCCTCACCACCAACAGATTAACCTCGTGAACCCAGACCCTAGCTAAAGCCCTGCCAAGAACTCCCCGCCAATTTCCCACTCGATTGCATAGCAAAAACAAGCCTAATCTGTATCCCTGGAATGCATAAGCATATCCCATGAAGATCTCCGTGGCGCTCTATTCTAGCTCCTTTTGGTGTGATGAGCACGGACTAACACGACCCATTGGTTTAGAGTACGGGAAGCTCGTCTAATCCAGACCAATGGACATGGTATGCCTGGATTAGCGTCGACAAAGCAAAACACCTAGTCCGTGCCCCTGAATTCTTAATGAGACAGTGTACCCCGTCATACAACGGGTTTTGAGTTGTTGGGTGCTTTTCTCCTCGATGTTTCGCCTGCGCGGTAGACCACCATGAAGCTATTCGCAATACTACGCTTGTTTATTCTCATTTTACCGTCTATATTTCAGCAAGTAGGCGCTAGCTCACCGACCACCGCTCAAAGGCTAGAGGACGCGTCGCAGTGTGCTGTGCGTATACCCCATCTATCTCGCGCTATAGATTTATTAATCAGTTGTAGATCAAATGTTTCTCGCAATTCGTTGATAAGCCGACATTCTCGACCGCCAACAAAGAACGAATATGCCATGATCACAAACTCAGCAATGCGGTAGCCAGCAGTATCCGCACAGCATGCCCGATACGAGACCTATTCGGTAGGGAACCCTCAAGATGGGCTTTAAAAGGATCAAGCTACTCACATTCACGGTTGCTTGGCAGACTTTCTCAAGCTTGAGCAAACAAACTGCGGCAGACCAGAGCTCGACAACGATCACAACATTAGGGGGATAAACTACACGATCCTCGGGATAGCGGTGTTTTCCATCGTCCTTCGAACTGTCACGAAATCTTATCGCTTTTCACAATGGGGTGCTGACGATTACCTCATCATCGCGGCGTCGGTAAGGATTTTCTTTATGCGTCATGCTGATTTACTAACATTCTAGGTCTTTACCGGAGTTCAATGCATTATCATGGGCCTGAGTGAGTTCTGAATCATATAAATGTCCAACCAGCTGATTATTTATTCTGTGTAGTGACATTTGCGGGCTTGGGCCGGAATATCTGGACACTTGACGACAGTACCATTACCACGTTTCACATGGTGAGTCCATACACTTACCCAGCAACCTCGGCTAATAAATATAGTATCTCCTCGTCGTTCAATATGCCTACGTTCTAAGTCTCTGCCTCATCAAACTCTCAATACTCTATTTTTTTCTCCGAACATTCCCCGATCCAACTTTCAGATTGATCATCAAGTATACTATCGCATTCAACATTGTCACGACAATTATTGTCACCATATGCGGCGCACTGCAGCGACAACCAATTCACTTACTCTGGGATGGATGGAAAGAGTATCCTCCTCGCGGGATCACACTTAATATCCCAGCAATCATCTTTTTTCACGCTGGTGTTAACATTGCTCTTGATGTCTGGATGTTTGCGTTACCCTTGACGCAGTTATATTCTTTGGGTCTTCAGCCGAAGAAGAAGGCTGGCGTTATGGTAATTTTCGGTGTTGGTATTTTGTAAGCCTCCCATTCTCCGCTGTAGCATTCATGTTAACATTCGTCTAGCCTCATTGCAGCCAGCTGTATCCGCATCCCCTACTTACTCGACTTCACAAGAACGTTGAACGCATCATGTAGGTAATTCCCATTCCCACCAAACTCTTTCTCTAACGGTCAAGCAACAGCAGACGCACAAGGATTCGTCGTATGGTCCAATATCGAAAGCGGCGTAGGCATCTTGGTAGCCTGTATGCCTCACATGCAACCAATCTTCCGCGCTATCGCAGCACGAGCTAGATCGTGGAACATTCTACCTAAAGGCTCAAGCAGCAGCACAGAGGGAATATTTGTGCAAAGATCTCTGGCGACCATTAAGATGTCAAGGACTGATGGGACTACTTTGGTGGAACCGGATGACTTGGTTTTGCATGATAGAGGGGGTTTGTTGAGTGAACCTAGTCCAGCGAAGAAGGTTGATAGTAAGTTCGGGAGTGTGAGTGAGACGGGGACATTAGGGTGAGGCATTCGGAAGCAGATAATGCGTTCCATTAGTTGATTCGGCATTGATACAATTTCGCGGGTTTGTATCGGAATCTCTTGGAAGCATAAAGCGTTGTATCAGCATAGCATAATGGTCCATCCACTTTGAATCTATTTATATCATTCTAGCTTTCCATCTACACCACTACCTTTCGTGGCTTGATAAACACTCTGTCAGGGTTCCTAGTCAAAGACGACACTGGTTTAGGCTTCGCAACGTCCGCTGGCAAGGGCAACAACTCAAACGTCCAGATGACTAGAGTGAAGAAGATCTTCATCTCAAGGTAGGACATCCTCCTCCCAAAGCAACCTCTCGGACCTAGCCCAAAGGCTTGGATGGGGAACGCCTGAGAATCGAAGCTCACGGCCTCTTTCCCATCTGGACCAGCAGCCGTCTTGAGCCATCTCTCAGGCTTGAAACTCGAGTAGTCATAGTCCTTCTCCAAAGGTTTCGGTTTGCGAGATTTGACCCATTCACTACTTCGTGACTCGTCGAAGTCGATTGGAGGTGATAATATGCTTGGACCGTTTGATAAGAAGACAACCGTGGTGCCTTTTGGCACCCGAGCACCAAGAATCTGTGTGTCAACTTGCACTTCTCGGAGAGTCATACCAAAAGGATACGACAAGCGAAGAATCTCTTCGACGACTGCATCGAGGTAAGGAACACGAGCTTGGATAATCTCAACGAGTGAAGGCGCACGTCGCTCAGATTTAGCTTGAGGGTAGGCTTGTTGAAGCGCGTTGCGAAGTTCGGATTGAGCTCTTTGCTCGGCGCTGAGATAGCTTAGGCCCCATCGTACAGCTGAGGAGGTTGTTTCATGGCCGCCAATAAGGTAAGACATCATCTGGTGATACGTGTTAGCACGACGCTCTTTATCGCCTTTCATAGGGCACTGGTACTCACTTCACTAGTGATCACTTGGGAGTAATAATCAGGCTCTCTCCCCTCTTTCTTCGCCAATGCCTCTTCTCGAACAGAGATCTCATCAAGCGCACACTTCATAGCCTCTCCATTCGCTCTTCGCTTAATGCCATTGGCGATTTCTCGCTCCTGCAACTGCTTGGTAAGGGCAAAGGCGTTCTTCAGGGTTGCCGAAAAGCTTCGATACATCCAATGGAATAGCGGGGGAGAAGGTGTCTTGATGATCTTGGCAACGCTCTCGGCGACAGTGGCCAAGGCGTTGAGCTCTTCATTGAGAGGGAGTTCTTTGAACGCGATTTCGCCGTCGATCTGGGCTGATGAGGTGTTGGTATCTGGAGTGAGCTCTTGAATTTCTTTGACGAGTTGAGTATGTTGAGTGTCGAGACCAAAAGCGGCGCATACAATGATATCAAGGGCGGCGTTGTGTACATCCTTTGAGGCTGAGAAGAACTGTCCATGGGCGTGCTCAGTCTTCATACCCCAGAGCTCAACCAGCCGAGAAAACTTGTCATAAATTTCGGGCGCAGATACCTTTACTCAAATCAGCCTCTTGATCATGAACTCGATACTCTTATCTCACCTCTGACAAAAACGACGGCGTCATCAAATTCCTCACAAGCTCTTTATTCTTCCTAAACTGCGGATCCGAGCTCGTAAGCGTGATATGCGCCCCCGGCACAACACAGTTGAAAACAGCAGTGCTCGACGTCCCTCTATCAAACTCCTTCACCCGATGTGTGCAAATCTCAGCGGCCTCATAATGATCAGCGACAACAACCCACGGCTTCCCAAAAGGGCGGATAAAAGCCTGGAATAACGGTGATTGGTGTTTAATAGCCTGAGTCGCTAACCAGTCGGTCAAGCTCCCGAAAGCCTTGACGTCTGGAAGATCGCCCAGGATACGATTGGTCGCGGAGACGTTATAGGGGATGTCCGCTAAGGGACGGGGTAGCATTGAGCGGTAGAGGGTGTAGGCGATGCCTGCTAATAAGAGACATCCTAATAAGACCCTCGTGGACGACGAGTCTAGAGCATCAAGCAACGACATGGCTGCAATTTCTCACTCCAAAATGTGATAAAGTGAACAGACCCGTCAAAGCGGACCTACGGGCATATTTATCAAGCTCAACATGGAGATAACAAACTGAGACAATTAATTCAACGTTTTTGCTAGCTACCCCTAAAATGGTTAGATAGTTTCAACGATGGTAAGCCGCAATGGAGAGGTGCTCCAATTACAGGGCTAGCATTACGAGGTTGGTTGCACAGTTGGGGCCTCGCTAAAGCCCCTTTAAAATCTGATGTGAGAACGCCAAGGCAATTTATTGGTATGACAAGATCATCCCTGGGACTTTGGTGATTTTGATTGACGAAAGCGCCGAACAGAGACGTTTATACGCCAATTGACTGACTGTGAGTGAGACAGTGATTGTTCTGTAGCTGATACGAGGAGATGCTGAAAGGTGGCGCTCGTCAGATTGCAGGCCACGTAAGATTCTTGATGCAGTGCTGATCTGTTTCGGAATTTCATAACCTTACTATTCATGGTTGTTAGTGCCTCCGCGGTTGCCCAGATGCTGCAGTAAACCGTTGAGATTTAAATGCCACAAAGGGATCGTGCAGTAATGACTACCTTAGGCATGAGATAGCATGTGCCACTTTCGGTAGTTCACCGCTGGACCAGTGGTATCCGGGTCTCCGGAATCGGCTCTCGGCATCTTGACACAGACTCAAACCATAAACACTCATGCCCACGCTGCGGAGGAGATCAGACAAATTTACTGAATGCCGAAGTCTGCTTATATGGGTCTTGGTGCAACGATTCCCCGACGTTGGTTGGGTGCACCTAACAGGGATGCTCCACTGAGCCTTATAGGGCACGCGGGTGGCCCCATTCCCCTGCGCTGAGATGCCTAACTGCCGAAGGCAGAAGTGCTATAAGCTCCAGTTATGCTCACCACAACCAACCAGCGCCAACAGAGCGGCGAGAGATTCAGGCAAGTTGTGTAAGGATCAAGATCCATTGGTTTCCGTACTCGAACACTCCAGGCTATTTAATGGCATGTATATCACTGTCTTCTCATGCAAACCACGAGCCTTAAACTCTGTTAAGAAAAGAACAAAAGCATTACGATCAAGAACAACAGCAACATGGCGTCCGATCGCGTTGAAGATTCCCGAAAATTGGAGGACAATGAACTCATCTCCAATGTGGATGTTGGGTCGGATACTGACCAGGCTTTGGACGATGGCAGTAACGCCGTGAAGGAAACAACTTCTGATGATGCACCGAAACCTAGATCGCCTCCAGAAAATTTATCCAAAGTCACTCAACCTCTCCCCGGACATGTCTCAGGGAATCATAAGACTGATCAACCTGCCGGTCGTCAAGATACTCATGAGGACAACGTAAGTATTTGTATGGTAACCTTTAACCCGAATTGGTGGTTAACAGTCTAATAGACGGGCAACAATGAGCAGGACAATTCTGCAAATGCAGAAGAACCCAAAGACGAGGAAGTTGAGAAGGCGACGACAGGGGATAAAATACAGTCCGTAGTAAGGATTTCTTATTTGGTTTCGCGACGTATTATTGATAGATGGGCCGTAAGTTGGTAGGAGAAGGCCGTAGAGACCACTGAAATTAAACTTAAATCCAAGCAGTATAGTTAAGAAAGAGAGCAAGGATAATTAGTAAATATGTAAAATCTATTTATAGATTAACAGTTTAAGGTAAGGTTGTGATAATTAACAGTCATTTATAGTTAATATTTAGAAGGCTAGAGCTAATTATTTATTAATTACTCTAAGAAGCCTTACCCTAATCCTCATTTTATTACTAGCTAGACCTCTATGATATGAGATTTCGGATGCTTTTGATTTAAACTTTCTGTGTATTTAAGTCATAGTAGTTATACTATGAGCCAGATTGGTAGTAATAGAAACCTCCCATTTTCATCTGCTAGCACCTGGTTGATGCATTGCCGTCAGGGTCCCGTCTAAAAGATCAGATGTCTAGAGACGCCTGCGAAGGCATTGGGTACCCGGGAAGATTTTCAATAGAAGCTTACATTGCAATGGGAAAAAGAATCAAATCCTAATCATCTCTATTAGCAGCCTAAAGTTTAATCTCATGGCTAGCAATCATTCACCAATACCCAACATTTAACTGAAACTCACATATATAAGCCCACATTCCCTTGCCCTGTAAGTCTTTTCTTTTGACTCTTACACCACTTCTACAAAGGATGACAAACTCGAAAAGCTCGAATTCTTCATTTTTGCATCGCCGCACCCCATGGTCCCGTCGCCGCAATGCCAATGTCCCCGCCTTACAAGAAGATGAAGAGTTTCTTCTCACGAGATCGGCATTAAATCTTATCGAAGATACACAAACAGCATAGACAACAAGCTCACTTCCGATAAGACATCCCTCTCGGGTCAGTCACTAGATCCACAAGACGATATCGGTTCTCATGGCGGCACACTGCCATGTGGCGATGGTTCTGCTTCTATTCAGTATTGCAGATCCTGTCAGCTAGCCAGAGCTGCTTCTGGATATGCTGAGAGCGTTGCCAGGTTGATGGATCGCTTATACTGTGCGGCGTGTAAATGCGAACACCCCGCAATACTTTTTTCTCTGTCATCTCGCCAGAATTCATCGTCGTCCAGAGCCTGCATTGCGCATGGAGGACATTTGAGTGTTTGTCTCCATCTGAAACTCTCGTTGGAAGATATCAGGTCTTTGCGAACTATGGGAAAATCGGTAGATCTCGACTGCGAAGAAGGGGCATGCCCATGCCCCGGCGCCAAGATCAAGTACTTCGTTTTCGACTACTCTCCAATGCACGACTTTGTCTCGATTGGGTGGACCGCATCACTAGATCACCCAAACCCCAGCAGCTCTTTTATGCACCAATGTATTTCGACAACTAGTCAACTACATGCACTGTGGTCGTCATTATTTTGTCCAGCGTTTGACACAACTCCGGATCGCCTATTTCAACCAGATCAATTCACAGACTTTGCACTGGCGACAGAGCCACCAAGGCTTAAATGTCTCTGCAGTTGTGGATTTGGTGTTCACTACGATCAAGAAACAAACATGGTCAACGCAGAGTGCCTCTTGCACCTATCGGATAGTCGAGATAATCCCAGACCACTAGACTGGATTGAGATGCTAGACCCAAGGCAGTTACGGCCACTTCGAGGATCCTGAGACTCAGAATATCACTTGGTGTAACGATCGTTGCTGTATGACAACACGCGAGTTGATTAAGTTCTATACCATCATCAAGTCTTTTCAAGGTGACTTCTCCCGCAAGAAGTTAGCAGACAACCTGGCAGATTTAGACCACTCAGTTAAGCTAAAAGTGGAAAGTTCTATGCGTTCAATGCCATCATGCTGAATAGGGAAAGAAGATGAACTGCATTACTTGCGTTCGCCAGGATGAACTACCTGTTGCTGATGCTATATAGGCGAAAGCAGACATGGGGGCTAGTTAGGGAAACAAAGGAGAAACAAATCAACAAGGGATCACCCTAGTCTAGTTCGTGCATTGGCCAATCCAAATCCACTTTCGACGTGTCGCGCGTTTTGTATGAATTCTAATCATTTGCCAACTTCGGACTTAACTTGGCAATAGCAAATCTCATGGGCAGACATTCTGGTTTATTTCATTTAAAATAAGCAAATTGATACGTTCGAGGTGCTGTGAAGTGACGAGGTCAAACCCTCCTTTGTGATATCAGTTACCTCGTCGCTCCCAACCCCATCTGACCTGTCATCCCCTGTCGTCGCCTGCTCAACTTCCTCGTCCTTGGGCTTCACACGAAGAGTTTGTCATTTGTGAGTTCATTGATTGGTTCAAATTAGATCAATTCAGGCTTAGCATTTACCGTCATAGGTAGTCGGGGAGTCAGTTGGGCTTTGTAAGTTGCTATTACGCCAGTGCACTTTGAGAGGGTCGGCATAGAGAAATAGTGACTTCAAGGACCGAACCATAGTATGGCTGAAATAACTCAAAACCATCATAAACCATATAAACACGTGAAATTAGATAGCGCTTATAGGTCTAAGCTACTAATAGGCAACACCGAGGTGGCAGTATGATTGGACAACTCGTAGGCCGATGGACCTGAACGGGATTGAGGGAAAGGTGTTCCGGTATAGAGCATTGCGTATTGGCAATTTCTCTGAAAAGCTCCGACAGGCACCGAGAATGCAGTATCCGCAGGATATCGCTGGGTGACGTAGTAAGGCGACTGACCCTCATCGTACCAAAGCAAATGGTTTGTCGGTAAAAGGTCATCGGCGGCGGGAGGAGATACAACTGCAGGCGGTATCTGGTGCGGCATATGAAGAAGAGAATAGTCGGTTTGGACCAGACGATCGAGCACAAAGAGACTCCAGTAAACGCAACGACGTTCTTCTTCCTCATACGGGATCAAGGCTTCCCGCTCATCCTCAAGGTACTTCCCGGGGCCCACGTGCAGAATCAAAGCCATAGTATTAGCATCTCCAATACTGACGTAGGCACGCCCAAGGTCCTCGTGGCTATACTCGTAGAATGCGAGCAGAATAGAACACTGAATAAGCTCGATACTTGGGCTATTAAGGGCTCGCAGGATACTTAAGATTTGCTTGGCAGCCCGGTAGATCGGCATATCGACATTCTCCTCTCCTTTGATACCTGAATCGTCGCTGTGAGAAAAGAGCTGCATGCATACAACCAGAAGGGTAGTAGCAGGGTCCTGAAGCTCTTGATCGGAAAAGGAGTCGGAGCCGGTATTGGTGCGTAAGGCGAAGAGTTCTGGATGAACTATAGTAAGGTAGGGGTTTATAGTCTCCAAATAGTGTTTAATAGAGTGATCCGGGATGGTGTTTCGTGAGGAGAGTAGGCTCAAGATCATAGAGCTGGAAATGTCAAGGAATGGCTTGAGCATCCCCGGTATGAGAGGTGGAGATTTTATGGTATGCTCCGGTCTTATGACAGTAGTGACTGAGGGAGTATATACATAGTCATAACAGCATTTGTGACTGAGCCTGGCCAGTTAGTCACAGTGATAGATAAACTGAGAATAGCTCTTGAAGCTGGACAGATTTCTACATACCGCTTACAGCGCGAACAACCGGGCAACGATTTGTCGCATTTTTTCTTGGTACGTGTGCACTTTTCACAGGCTCTATCAGCCTTTTTCAACCCTTCTGAAAATGTAGGGCTTGGTGAAAGTGATGTGAAGCGAGGTTTGATAGATCTGCATGAGGGACTCATGGTGTCTTGTATATGCTTTATACAAGTATGCCTCCAGATGTGAGGTCTGGTAAAATGGAGTTTTCGGAAGGTCCTCCTGATAATATGGTGTGAGATGTAGATCTTAAGATAAATACCATAAAGGGAGAAACAGAGTCTTGGTATAAGCAAGAAGGGAAGAGTGCTATTTAATATTTATGCGACATAGAAAGTTACTACTTCCTATTTTATCCTTGACTTTAAGGCTGCAAAGCTAATTAACCGCTAGTTTGGGGGCCATGTAGGTGTCACAAGCTATGTGAAGAGGGCTGAAGATGTTATTTTAAGACAGGAGGTTGAATGCGCAGTATTCTTCCCCCGAGTTAATCTCATCAAAACCGTTGCTCTGACCATACAAGCTGCCGAATCACAGGGATTATTTCCCTCTGGCGTTATCTGTTCTTGGGGAAATTTAGGGCCGTGAGAGTGGAACTTTTCCAACCAAGACAATTCAGGCTAGTGACTCGTGATACGACATTGTCGGAGCAGGGATCAGGTCTTGACTGCATAAGTTAGTGCAGTATGCAACGGGATTATCCGTACTGTTTTCGTTATCTGATCGCTTACGTTTTTGAGTCCTTCTGAAAAGGTCTAGATGCGTCGAGGACGACAAGGGTTTTCCTTGCCGAGCTGTCAAAACAGCTTGCGCAGCAATCCTGCTAAATTATTCCCACGTGAAAGGATTCTGTGATAGACAATTACAACTGGGTTTCTGACCTGCCCCTCCACCCGCGATGTCAAGGTACTAGCCAAGTGCAGTTGACGGCTCGCAACGGGCGTAACAAACTTTGCCGTTTCTTCAAGCTGTTATTCGCGCCACCTGGCTGCGTTATTAGGACCCTCGCGTAGCAGAAAGTAGCGTGCATCACGTGCTGGCCTGTATGGACTCCAGGCTGAGGTATGTCTGCTGTGGCATCATGCCCCCTGTCCACATCATAAATCCCACCAATAGGTGTATGTCACGACTCAAGACCAGACGATATTGATTTTCAGCAGCCCCACTTTGTCGCGGTCTTGGAGGGTTTCCCGACGCTTTCCGGCCGTCGGACTGAGAAGGTAAATCCCGACGATGACTTTGCTGCGGCGGTCTTGGAGCGATTCCCGACACTTGTCAGCCGTCGGGTTAAGTAAACAAATCCCGACGTCGACCCCACTCCCATGGAAACGCTTGTAGACTAGTCAAGTTTTAACCCCCGGAATCAGCTGGGAGTTATGGGGACGTCAACACAGGATACCACTCTGAAGCGCGCAATTCACGATACGTGGGTTAGCGTATGGATCAAAGAATTCAGTAATTTCTATTGTATGCTATCAGTGGGACTTTGTAAATACGGCCCGAGAAGATAAATATGCCCCCTTCATCGCTTTCTTTATATTATGGTCAGACGTTCCGCCATCTCACGTCTCGCATCTCTCCTCTCCATGAGCTACCAGCACGACGGACCTAACGAAGCGGCGCGACGAATATACTTATGAAGAAATCCTACAACTCATCACCGTGTACGCAGCTATAAACGCAAACATTCACCCTAGAATACAGAAGTCATGTTATACCTCACCAGGCGATAGATCCCCCTCAGGCTCATCCAGCGGGAGATGGTGTTCCACCAGAAATCTCACCATCCACTTGTCGAACTTATAGGTTTGCATTGCGCCGGGCCTCGTACAAGTCTTTTGGAACAGTTCGAGACGTTTCACCTATACTTTCTGTCAGAAATTTTGACTGCTAATACAAGTTTCGCTACTGACCGAGTTTTGAATCGAAGGCCAGTATTTTTGAAGCTCATAGATGGTTTCATAATTGGACTCCAGCTTGGCTCTGATATCAGCCGTGTCATCTTGCTGGCCGAAAATGAGTGTATGCAGCAGTACCGCAGAAGAAGCAACTGTCATGTAGCCCACTCCTCCAAAAACCATTGCGCAATTCGGAACTTGGCGCGAGAGTTGGACGAGTTGACTGATCGACCTTGCGTGATACTTGCAGAGCTCGGCATACTCGATTGTCTTGGGTGTCTGGGCCCGATTGAGGTCCAGGAATCTGAACAACAGAAGCACGAAATGCTGGTGGTAGCCTGTATGTATGGCGAGGAACGGTCCCCCAAGACTTTTGGCACTGTGTGCCCGAAGGTTCTCCTCTGTCGCTTTCTTCTCCTCGGGAAGACCCGCTTCCCAAAGTTGTAGGCCTTCTGCTAGATCCGCGACGCGTTGCATCACGTAATCTTCGGAAAGATCCTCCTGATTCCACTGCTTATTCAAGTCCCGGATAGGCCCCAGCTTCTTTGCAAGCATGATATTGTATGCCCAAAGTCCCAGTGTACGAGGGCGCGTAGGGGATCTCTCACTACCTTGGTCAACATCCAGATGATGGAAAACATCTTCATCCATTGGCAGGGGAGTCTCCTGATTCAAGTCCGGCATCGCGCGACGCAGGTTGCGACCGACCGAACTCCAACGGTCCGCCATGAACAATGTCCACCACACCCTGCATTTTGTTTCACGTAAAACCTCAGAGTCCTCCGGATCCGGACGATCCAGACCAAGAATTTCGGCCATACGAATGCCAAGGGCAACAAAGAGGGCTTCAGATTCAGGATTCTTTGACGAAGACGATAAATTTGCGAGCAGGACGCACGTCTGGATATTCTCAAGACAGATATTCTCCATATCCTGCTTCAGTAGGCTTTTGGCCTTTTCCATGAAAGCAGGCCCAAGGGATGCTATTTCAGGCTTATCATGGAATCGACAGCCAAATGCCAGTATGGCGGACAGCAAGGCATCTCCCAACGTATCTTCTCTCACTGCAGTTCGCAAGGTGGGTAGATGGAAGAGAGTATGAGGTCTGTCAAGTATATAGTAAATGTAATTCTCCACAAGTTCTTCGATGAGGTCATGCGAGAGAGAAGATTGTGGGCTCAGATCATTGTGTTTGGCCGAGACGTGCTGTGGCTGTGGAGAGACACGTCGTGGCTGAGGAGAAGTCGGGACGAGGGAACATTGATGATGCTGTTTCTTAGCACAGGCGTCACACGGACCTCCAGGTTTTGTTCGGAAACACTTTTTGCGCCTCCTTCTGCACCTCGAGCACGCCGTAGGTAGTTTCATTGTGCGGTTTCGATTGGACCTCCATAGGCTGTGATAAGATGAAAACACATGAAAAAGAGGGGAAAGAGTTGTGAGGGCCAGGTTACTTAATCGGCTGACTAACAATATTCGCTGCATAAGACTAGTTCAGAAATAGCAGCTAAAGCGCCCTGTTAGTTAACCTTGTCCAATGCAGATGGATGCAGGGTCTCGAATGCCTGGTCAATACAACGGTATAGGGCGGCCGCTGCTAACCATTCTTGTCCAACTCAACGTCTACGTACCTACAATGCTTCTAGACCTGGCCCTGATTGTGGATCCCTTCCCCGGCATATGTAATCGATGCACCGCGCAAACTTCGTTCAACCGACGACTTTACCCTTCTCAACACCATTTTATGCCATCAACTCGCTGTTCTTCACAGTAAATTAGGCAGCGCTTGCCCACTATGCTCTTCAGCTCGAAGAAGGCGAACCTCTGGTTCTCTTGCCTCATTCCTTGCACTTGTATGGCTGTCTACGGTTATGATTCCTCTACTTTCAACGCAGCGCAGGGTTCAGTCCATTTCATGAACTACTTTGATAATCCCGTATGCTCCTTTCCACCCAACACCATGCATCGTTTAGCCCTTGATCTGAACTATTTAATGGCCAGTCCCCATCCACTATCGGCTCCGTCAATACCGCGATGAGCGTAAGCAACATCGTTGCAGGTAATCGTCCATCATTTCAGGTCATCGGCTTGATGCTCATATCGTTCGTCTTACAGGCGTTTTCCTGTCGGCTCTGGTCTCCGACCGATTCGGCCGCAAATGGAGTATGTGGGTGGGCGCCATACTTGTCATCATCTCGACCTTTGTTTCGGCGTTTACACCTCCTGTCATCGGTGGTTTTATCGCCGGTCGCGTCATCACCGGTTTTGGCCAGGGATTGATGATGCCGGCTGGACCGGTTTTCATCAACGAAATAGCACCGGCCAATCTTCGGGGCACTATCATGAGTTTCTGGCAGCTCAACTTCGCTGTGGGATCTTTTGTCGCATATTGGATCAACTACGCATGCTCCAAAAACGCCGAGAGCCTCGGAGAATGGGACTGGAGAATCGTTATGCTCCTTCAAGTCTTTTTTCCTGTCATCATCATTTCGGGACTTTTCTTCTGTCCTGAGACTCCAAGATGGTAGGCCGTTGGAATCCCCACTGTCTGAGGCAGACAGGATGCTATTCTGAAATGCGATGCTCATCAAGCTGCAGGTATGTCCAGAATGACAGATTTGAAGAAGCATACGATACCCTCTTGGAAATACGCGACGACCCAGACCTCATTGCCCAAGAGATGCAAGATATACGACAAGCCATTGCGTTTGAAAAAAAACAGACAAACAGCACTTGGACCAGATACAAGTTGCTGTGGACGGATAAATCTGTGAGAAGGCGTATTCGTAAGTTTTATTGGCCCTGTTCATGCTCATTGCCTGACTTCGCTAGTCCTCGCGGCTGCTATCAATATTGGACAACAACTTACCGGAAACAACTCCCTCGCAACATACTCTACCATCATTTACAAAAAGGTCTTTACTTCAAATAGTCAGATCCAGCTTATCAACGCCTTAGCTGGAACCTTTAATATTCTTTTCACTCTGAATGCCACCTGGATGACGGATTTCCTGGGCCGAAGACCTATCCTCCTCATTGGTGTTGCTGGTATGGCAGTCTGCATGTTTGCAGCCGCAGCCGTCGTCACCGAGACGCCGACTCTTGAGGATGGATCCAAGTCTTCCAGTGTAGGCATCGCGACCGTCTTCTTGATGTTCCTGTTTGCACTGTTCTTCAAGCCTTCTTGGGGTGCAACAGTGTGGATCTGGACTTCAGAGATCTTTTCCATGAACATTCGTGCGCAGGCCGTTGCTATGACCACTCAGTGTCAGTCTATCGCAAGCATCATTCTCCGCAAGTATCCATATTCGCTTTGCCCGACCTGATAACTAACAAATAGTGCAGAACAAATCTTTCCCATATTTCTTTCCGCGAAGGGATTGTATGTTACTCCAATTCTGCCTGAAATCTCAACGTACTAACTTGTTTTTGACAGCTACGCTATGTATATGTTTGGTGCTATTAATATTGTTCTCTTTGTCTTCGTTTGGTTCTGTATCCCAGAAACTAAGGGGGTGTCCCTGGAGCACATGGACGTACTATTTGGTGGCGCAGATCACGCAGATGTGGGAGCTGTCATCGTCACTGAGAAGACTGTCCATGATGACATGGCTTCCGTTCATGCCACAAAGACCCCGACGGTTCGCCAGGCCAGGTATGACAGTGCTGTGTGAGCGGATGGAATTTATAAAATGTAGGCATAGCATAGTAAAGGCTATATAGCTTTACGTTATCCAGGTCAGTAGGTAATCCAAGCAAAGAGGAGTTAAACAATTTTAGATATTTAATAGAAAACAACTGGTTTAAATACAACGTTCAGTACAATTATGCGCGACGGTACCATAAGCCATCAGTGAGATCTGTCTTCAAGCTCCAACACACATGGCTCCTTTAGTTGTTCTTCATACATCCAAAGCAAAGACCGAGCTTTTTTCTGATCCCTGCAATGAAATCTCGATTATGTACGATATCCAGGGTCTTGTTCTCAATACTTTGGAAGGTCATGTAGAGGCGGCCATCAAGGACGGGGATGTCGATGCGGAAATTGTGAAGAGCATTCCAGTAGCGGCCTGTATTTCTCGTCTCTTTTGAAGCTCATCTTGAATTTTCTCAGAAAAGCCCGGAGCCGCCTTCGCAGCCACAGTAGCAAGCTGTGGAAACTCAATGGTCTTAGTACTGCCTGACAGTTTGTGGATGACCATCTGAGGAATCCAGTCGCATGCATCGCCCAGACCTGACGAGTTCTGCATTGCGATGATAGCCGTCTCAGCTTCGGGTATGAGATAAGCAGCCATGTTGAATCCTTGGATGCAAGTTTTTTCTCCTCGGCCAATATTCCCACGAGGGCGGCAACCATGCCCTTGGTCACAGACCTGATGAAATAAGTGGTATCGCCATCCGGGGCCTTCTGAGCTCCAACGTCTCGGAAGCCAAAGTGTTTCACGTATGCTTCCTTTCCGCCTGACACAACAGACAGCGGCAGTCCAGTTGCGCCGCTGACGTTACAGATATAGCCCATCTGAGGCTCAAGGCTCGTCATGACGTCTCGCATTTTGGTGGGGGATTGACTAAACATGATGACGGCTGTAAGTGATGAGTTTTGTTTGTCAGTGTGAGATATTCTGTACGGAGAGAAGTAAACGAAACAAAAGATTTCTGTGATAAATGTAGTTCAATGGTGTGGTATGGTAATGCAGTGTTCTTTGTTCTCTCATGTGCGGGCGTAACCTTGATGACTGAGGGGCTAACAAACACTGAATTCAGTTCTCAAAACGCATCACCGGCCCAAAGCCGTTCCCACGCATCCTTACAAACCTCCGTTTCCAGCCTCTTTAGGAATTCATCCATCTTGACATCCTCTTCCCCCTCAATCCTCACAACACCATTCTTAACTCCACGCCAGCCCTCGACAGGAAGCTTGAGCTTACCCTGACCGACGCCGTAAAAGTATCGTCCCTTGAATGGCTTTTCGCCACGCTGCACGGCATCGCACTCTGCCTGGCACTCTTCGCATATCATGCCTGATGCAAAGGTTACGTATAGATATGCGGAGCGATTTCCCCACCATTTGAACTTGCGCACTGGGTTACAGAAGCCACCGCAGCTGTAGTAGGTTTCATCGGAGAGGAGATCTCCCTCGTCGGTGGGTGGAGGACCGGTTTCTTCTTCCTCGTCGCTTGTGTCGACGTCTTCTTGATCTTCTTCAGCGGAGTGCTTTTCTTGTGGAACCACCTTTACATCTTGTTCCTTTGGGCTTTCGTCAACCTTTTTATCGTCATCCGCCTCTTCTTCAGCCTTGGTCTCCTTGTCTTGATCAGGATTAACTATCCTCGAAAGCATAGCAGACCCAACAATACGAGCATATCGACGCAACTTCTCGTCGTTTCCAAGAGCTTTACTCATCAGCGCTAATGTTTGCGCCAGCATCCAAAAATACGGCGCATCGTTCCATCCAACTGTATCGTTCAGCCCAGCGAAACAGTCATCCAGCAGAGACTGAACCTTCTCCTGGAACTTCTCCAAAGGGCCCATGACGAGGTACATATACGCCAGTCCAACTCGATGAGAACTGGTCCAGAACGCTGAAGTTCGCGGGACATCCAGAGACAAAGGGCGCTGCATGAAATTAGCCTGAGAGGCAAGGCGTTCAGCTTTGTACACGGGATTGCGAGATTTGCGGAATAATTCCAATTGGACGTTGGTCATGCAGTTCACAGCGCGTGTCATCATCCATAGCGCTGTTCCACCCAAGATCGGATACCTGAAGCCTGTTGCACGGCTATCGAAGATCTTGTCAAGTATCTCAAGCGCTTTTTCTGGTTGGCGACATACTTCAAAGTATGTAGTCGCAAGATCAAGGCGCACAGGCGTAGCGGCATCGAGGTTATCCAAGAAGTCAATCGCTTCCTCGTAGAACTTGACCATGAAGTCCTGTTCACCTGTCTCTGAAGCAATGTCGCAAAAGATTGCATGTCTGTCTTCTCCCTTGTCGGCGTAATCGGATGCGATCCAGGTGATTCTCTCAAGGAGGCTCCATTGTTTGAGCATTTGAATGTAGGCACTCTTGTCTGCCTTTCTCTCAACGACTTGAAGCTCGTCTACCAGATCTTCACCGGGGGTAATTCCGTCGGGGTCACTAGCTTTCGCTTTGGCGAATGACTCGAGGGCGGCGTCCAATTGACCCAGTTTGCGCTGAGCTCTAGCATATGCTGTGTACACGATTCGCTTGAGGGGAGGAGGAACTTCGTTGTTTGGCAATTCATTGACTGCACGACTTGCAACTTCGAAAGCTGCTTTCTTCTTCTTTTGCTTCAAAAGAATCAGAGAGAGGACGTTTGACGCTCTGTACCACTCATGGTCAGCTGGCTTGCAGAGCTCTAAAGCTTGTCGGCATGTCTTCTCGGCAGGCTCGGTGAAGTTATACTGATCGAGGACCTCTGCAACGGCTCGATATGCTCCTCCGTCAGGCTTGACATCGTCGCCAAAGAGGTTCAAGACACCCAAGGCAGCTGTGGCTGCATTATACGCCTCGTCGTCACTAGCTGTGCGGTTCCGATCCTCGTACTCTTTTGGGAAGTTGATCGCGGCTTGGTCCATCAGTAGCTTTGTCGAGCCAGACTAAGATGGGTCAGCCCTGATCTATACTTAAACAGGATATTACTTACCGCATTTAGGACACCTTGAACCTCTTGGTACGCTTCTACTGCCTCCTTCGGGGTCTGTGCCTGGTACAGTTGTTGGAGAAAGCCCTTGGCAATGTCAAGACGACAAGCTGGCGGATCTGGACCAACTCGCTTCCACCACTCGATAGTGAAGCCATCAAGCTTTTCACTGATCTCTGGTTTCTCAACCAGCTTTGCCCACTGAGACACCTTCTCGTTGGTAACGGATGTACCACCGCCAGACCCTCCATACGTAACACCAGACTTGCTTAGCATCTCAGCAAGCCCTGTTTTATTAGCCATCGTCTCTGAGAAGGCCTTGAGAACTTCAATCTGCTCATCAGAAGTATGCTGTTCTGCATCGGTCTCGACGAAATGCGAGATCAGAAACAGAGCAGAGTACTTGAGTAAACTCTCATCCACTTTGCCTCGGTGAGATCGCAGAAGCTCCGCACTGGTCAAAAGCATCCTTCGATTTGCTTCAGAAGGTCCCCATCGAAATTCAGAAGCGCCGGACGAGATGTTGGTGAAGTAGTGTCTCATGGATCTCTCTTTGAACGTGACCGGAAGCGGCCCATCGTCGTAAATACTGTCATGCTTATTCTCCTCGTCCTGCTTCAAGTCTTGCACAGCGGTAGTCTCACTAGCTGCAATCCGCGCCAGGACTTCTGTGTCGTAGCCAGGTCCACCGACTCTAAGGAACTTGTCAAACAACTCCCGAATCTCTTCAATGTCAAAACTATCGTCTTGGGCGAGGTATTTGAGAAGGGATTGAACCTCGGTGAGGGTGAGGAGTCGTTTGGCAAAAGCGACCCAGTGGAGCAAAGTGGCAGAGACTTCTTGATGTTTGGTTGGCATGCGACGCTGACATTCTGCGAGCAAGATCTTGTAGATATCATGAAGGTTCTTGGGCATCTCTTGGCCGAGAGCTCGGAGGGCAGCGCCCTCGCGACCTAGGTTGTCAAGACGAGCAAGCAGATGCTCAGCATAAAGCATGTCTAGAATAATTGTCAGTCAAGTGATCTCTATATGAAAAAGGACGTTCTTACTTGGAGAGACTTCTTCAATCGTGTCAGCGACTCTCTGCTGGACGTAGCGACTAAACCTCTTGAGATTATTGAGCGAGTTGATACGATTCCAGATCAGCGCCCTCATATCTTGACTCTGTTTCTTCTTATCCGCCTCAATGCGAACAAGCTTCGTGCTCTTGGGAAGATCATCCAGCTGCTCAGGTCTCGAAGTCACAGCAAGCGATATCTTCAGTCCCTTCTCGTTGATGAAGTCCGAAAGAAACAGCTGAAAGTCTTCGGGGTCGCGAAGCTCATCCAGTCCATCGAAGACAATGAACAAGCTGAATTTTGACTCTGGTCCGAAAACTGCCCCGAGGAGGTGCTCTACGAGATGCTGCCACAGATCGGTATCAATCTCAATGTCATCCCTCGCAATCTGGGCATTGAACTTTTCACAAGCTGCGTGGTTGGTCTCGGCGATCTGGTTGATGACGGTGATTATACCACATAGAAAGAAAGCGAAGGCATCTTCCTGCTCTCGGAAATAAAAGTGTGTGACGCAAGTATTCCCTGTTTCGTCTTCGTTGGCTCTCTGGGTGAGCTTGTCATGCACTGCAGCGGCCAAGTGGCTCTTGCCACTACCAGGCTCAGCTGTAAGAGCGAGGATCGGGCGTTCTCCATCTGGAATCTTTAGCCATTCCTCCCATTCCGGCTCAGAGAAGACCCAGCCGCATGAATCTGGGAGAAGTGTCTCTTTCAGTGTCTGGTACTCGTGGCCATCGTTGAAGACGACCGGCATGGCATTTCGGATGCTGTTTGCCGAGGCTGGTTTCTTCGCTTGAGGTTTCTCCGTAGACCTCTCTTTCTTCTGGCCACCGAAGAGCTTCAAGATCTTGGCAATGTCACCCTTGATGTTCTCGGTGTTCTCTTGAATGGTGTCAATGGTATGTCCTACACGCTCGAGCATTTCAGCATGCGACCTCTGGTTCTCGTCAAGTTGAGAAGCCATTTTGAGAGATTCTTCGGTATTGCTCAAAATAGCAAACTCGGTCGCTTGCTGAAGATGCTCAAGATTCTTGTTCATGTTCGCACGTGCACCACCAAGCTCACCATCATCGCCTTTGAACAAATTGGAGATCCATTTCTTGAAGCGACCGAGTTCGATGTACTTGTGTGCGAAACCGCACATGGTAAGAAGAGAATTAAAAACTTCCATCAAGCAATTCTGATACGCTTTGTACTTTGGAAGTCTTGTCTCCAGGATAGTAATTCTTGTGAGGAAGCTGTTCATATCCTCAAAGAACACAATGATGATGTCGTAATCGGCCGATACAGATCGGCAAGCCTGAAGCATATAGGTCAAGGCTGTTCCGATGGCGGCAGCTGGTGGAAATGCTGGTGCTGCAGCAGCGATGATCTGGTTGGCGCCCTTCTCCACCAAGTCCAGGTTGGACGAAAACAGACTTCTCAAGCGATCGACTTTGCCCTTGTCGTGTCTGAATTTATGAAAGTTGTTCATCTGGTCAGTTCCAAAGTCAAGCATAGAATTGACATTGTCGAATTTTCGCTGGAGACCAAAACCAACGATACTCTCATAACTCTTGAGAGCTTCCTTCCACAAAT